TTCTCTCGGTGAGGAAGTTTTCTTGGTTCACACTAATCATTCCAAGCTCTACTTTTTTACCAAACTTTCCACTCCAAATGAGCATTTTTGCTTTCACAACCCAAATGGCTGATTGCCACAAGAGGAAAATAACAAAAAGTTTATGTGATTAAATTAAGTAGAAAAATGTATCAAAAGATGATATAGTTATAGACATGCATTTTAATTCGTATCATCTGTTTTGTTGCTTAGTTTACATTGTTGTCTGACGTTGTTGTGAAATGAACCTTAAAAAAAAAAAAAAAAGAACTAATTACAGTAATAGAATGACCTCTAAAAGTATAAAACACACACTAGATGCACCAACCTTGCGGTAACTTTTTCCCCTTTTTAACAGGTTCAACAACTTTTAATAACATTATATAAGCATGATACGTACATATTAGAATATCCTAAGGGTAACAAATTAGCTCGGATAGCAACACAACCAAACAACTAATTAAATTCCTTTTCAAAAAAAAAAAAAAAAAACCCTCAACTAAATTCCGGACATTCGAGTTGGCTCCTTGTTTTTTTTTTTACCATAGTTATTTAATACAAATTTGATGAATGTGCAAAAATCGAATGTTATCATCCAAAACTGTATGATTACCAATTTAGGCAAGTTTGGACAATATTTGAAGATTAATTAAAAATGATTATGTTGTCGTTTCAAAATTTCATCTCCAAACAACAATTTACACGGATTGAAATGCAACTGTGAATGTCAAAATTTACCCGTTTAAATGAATTTCACAAATTCTCAAATCTCGAAACGCATGTCACCATTTTCCAACAACTTTCATATATCTAAATAAATAATCCACTTATCATCATTTTAGTGATCATCTGGATTCATTACGTGGATTATACGCTTAAATCGTGAAGAAATATTGAAATTTATTTTTCGTTTTTTTTAATCAGATGGAAAAAAGGGTAATAAGAACCAAATATTAAATTCATCTTCAAAAATTCAAAAAAGCTGAATTGAACTTCAAATTCATAGTCAGACTAGTTGAATTTTCTAATTGATTAAAAAAATGCTTTTGAAAAAAATGACCGATTCTACTTTTCTACTCGTGGCGGTTCCATCCTGCCTATATTATTAGGAACCACGTCATTCCATTATTAATTAGACTCACAAATCTCAAAGACAGCCTAAAAACGTTTGTTTTAGTCATCAAATCTATAAAACTACGCAATTTGTGACAAAGTTACTTTATAATCCTTAGCCGCCGAGATTACTAAACTAATCATGATTAAGTGGAATATTTGATGGGTAAGTATTCCTGAGCTCCTACTTAAGCAAGGTATTCCTTTTAACTTTGTAAGATTATGAATCGTCAGAGAAGATCCAGTGAAAAAAAAAAGTGTCGAATTTGATTATGATTGGTTTTGCACTCAAAACAAATTAACCAGCCTATGTTGTGATATTTTTTCTAGGGGTAGTGGTTATATAGTGAAAAGTTATAGTGACCGAGGTGTATTCATTTTTTTAGTTAAAACAGTATTATGACCCCCTATTTTATAACCACTTCCCCTAGAAAATTTTTCTTTCCGCACAAAAATTATATTTTTTTATTCTCAATTACCATATCCACATCAGTCACTACAAAATGTCACAATATCTTTTCACTGGCTCTATACTGTTTTAGTTTTTTTTTGTCGAATTAAAACCAACATTAAATAGAAAAAGATCAAAGGAAAAAAAAAAAAAAAAACTCACTCCCAAACTATATAAACAAAATGACAAGAAGAAATCAAATTCAATGAATTCGAAGAAAAGACTAGTCGTAAGCACTTTATTATCCCTTTCCTCAAATTATCAAATATTCTTTGAACCGCTGCCTCGGTTACAAAAACATCAGCATAATTACTTATTGCTTTCCCCAGCTAAGAAGCGACTAAAATGAATAATTAATTAATTAATTAAAACCCAATCTTTAGCATTAAAGTTTATTGTATTCATTGTAACTGTATATAAACTTCAATTGTAATACATAGCAACTACCTAGGTTGTAACACACGCGCCCAAAAATGATGAAAAAAAAAAGATTTTTCAAATATTCAATTCTTGATATTTCTCATAATTTTTAGTCATCGTTAACCATATCCAACTTCCTATTCCATTCAATTCAAAGACGTCTCAAACAAAAAAATCTAAAAACCTAAATTTCATCTCTGCAGCGATTTGATATCAGAACCTCTCGTTAGCGGTATTTTTGAATACGGAATCCGGTTGTGCATTAAATCTCATAAATTTGTTTGCAATATATGCTGCTGAATGTGAGAATTAAGGTTATATATGATTTTATTCATCGGTTTTGTTTGTTTCTTCCATGTATGAAGTTCTAATAATGATATTTTTTCTGAAATATTCATGAGGAGGGCCAAGATTGTGTACTCTAATTCGAATAAGAGCCACTCGATGACTGAAGACAGAAGGAAGTAATACTATTAATCTCTTCAATAATTGATGTATTTTTTTGGTTGGGTTTGTAGATCTAAGATATGTTCATTCGATTATAAATATTTGTTCATTAATTTCTTAGTTTTGTTCATTGATTTGTTGTCGATTTTAGAAGAGATTATTTGGACATTATTCATCATTTCGATATCGTTATTCATCGTTGATAATGGGATATTCATCGTCGATAATAGATCTGGGCATTATTCATCAGCCCGATTTTTTCATCAATTTGTTGTCGTTGAACATCAGTTTTTGTTGTATTTTTTTGGAATATTCATCCGTAATGATTGATTATTCATAAAAAATTTGGAGTAAGAAATCGTCGAAAATTCCGATCTTTCCAACGTTGAGTCTCAGGTAATAATGATTTATCATTCTAATTAAATATAATTTACGGTTTATGGATATGGTGTACGATATGCCAATTTATTCATCCCATTAAAAGTGATTATTCATCCCTTACGAATCTGTTAGTCATCGTGTTATATGTGCACTGATGTTATTTTGATTTGGATTGGGTGTATACAGATCTAAAGATTAGCCATCATGTTAATCATGATTATTCATCGTCTATTAAGACGTTATTCAATGAGTATCCTGTTCGTTGTAGGCATTTGGTCTAGATTAGATGTATACAAATATAATGGTTATTCATCATCTACTATACCGTTATTCATCTAAAGAGTGATCTGATATAATCATTTGAATGTATATCATTCATCATGTGAATTTGAATTGTTCATCCTTTGAATATGTGTTAATCATACTGTAAACATCATTCATCCTGCAAAGAAATGTCATTCATTTTAATGAATTTTTATTCATCATGTAATATGTGAATGTACACGATTGTAAATATGTGTCATTAATCCTGTAAAATTGTGTTATTCATCTTGTCAATATATGTCGTTCATCCTTTTAACATGTGTTATTTATTCCATAGATATGTTTATTCATCATGCAAATATATGGCATTCATCACCAGTGATGTTGTTATTCATCATTTAATATGTACCTTTACACGATTGTTATTAACTATATTCAATTTATGTAATTTTAATTTTTATTCATCATTTTCAAAATGATTATTCATGTTCAATAGCATTGTTATTGATGATTAACAGAGTTTTCATTGAATGTGAAATCTTACTTATTATAATGTTCTTTTTGTTTGATCAAAAAAAAAAAATACTCATCAAGATGAAGTCAATCGGTTAGAAATCAAATATTTTGTCAGAGTTGCTGAAATCAAACAATCAACATAAACGTATCGAACATCGGTGAATCCATCAAAACCTAATATGTTAAAAACAATGACTAGTTTTTTTGTTCGTTTTTGTCTACTATAATACATATTTAAAAATTTGTTAGTTTGGCTGGTGATATTAACCCATTGTAACATATACTCTTATTATCAAAGTTATTCATCCAGTAACGTATATTATTCATTCATTAAAGTACAACTATTCATCTTAAAAAACTATAACTATTCTTCATAGTAATATTATTATTCATTTAGGATGAGATCATTATAATCAGATTTGCATCGTTATTCATCTTTGTGAATATCGTTAATTCGTTATTCATTACAAAATTTAAATTTATTCGTCCATAACGTTATCACTATAAAAACACCATTATTCATCCACGACATATCATTATTGATCGATAAGTATACCATTATTCATCCAAACAAATATCGTTATCCATCAAAATTTTTCAAAAATTTGACATTTAATTCTCCGGATTCTATTGTTAATCAGTTGATATTTTTTGCTCCAATTAATTCTCCAGATTCATAAGTCTCGATGATGAACCATATTAAATTTTACCAAAATAAAAACTATCGTTAAAAAAATTCTCATAAAATAAAATAATATAAAACTAACAGGACAAGCAAAAAAAATGGTTTAAAATTAAACGTGTGCTAAAAAAAAGGAGATTAAATTGAGAGGATTAAATAACCCCCAAAAAGGGATAATATTGGGGGATTAAATATGCATGTGGCAAAATAAAATTCGGACTAAAATGACCACTTTTTTATTTTTATCAAATTTGCGATACACGTCCTGGCTAGATATACCTTACAAGGTATACCTAGGTGCTTAATATTATTTGCCATATAAACTTTCATTAGAGAAATAATAATCAAGCCGTGTTATGTGTTTAGTGTATATTATCACAGAAATAAATTTACATAATATTTTCTACAACATAATATACAAAGTAAACAATTTATGTTTATTCTTGTACAGTGTAATATTTTTTTTTAAAAAAAATTTTTTCTTTGTTTTTATATCGCAAAAAAACCATTAAAGAAGTAAAAAGGAAAAAAAGCAGGTGGTGAGTGAAGAAAAGGAACTTCCCAAAGGGACGTGGATGGTATTAACACCGAACTTCACCGTGTGAGTGTGTGTATGCGCGCGTGTTCAGCTGTTCCACCATGTCTTCTTCGTCTCTTTCTTCCTAATTCCATTCCTTACTCCCACTGTATATATAAACATTAGGTATTACTACTTTGAGGCTGTGACGCCATTAAAGGAGTAGTTTTTGCTCTTTCTTTTTGATGAGTTTTTTTTTGAATCCATCATCGTTGTTAGTGTCAAAAAAAAAAAAGTAGTCATCATCTCTCAGGCCACGTGTCCCCTTTGATTACGACCTTGATGTTTTAACTCTACTACTACTTTTGTTTTTGTTTTAATAATCCATCATACTACGTTGAACAAAACAAAAAGAGGAAAAAGAAAAAAAGAGAGATTATTAATAGGCAAAGAAATTAGTGAATGAAAGATAGAGAGAGAAGAAGAAGAAAGAACCAGTGTTTTTGAATAGTATTACCATTTATTTACCACTCTTAAAAGTGCAGCCATTCCAACAAACTTCTCATCACACTCTCTGACTCCCCACAATTCCAAAGTCATCCGTCTTTCTTTCCAATTTGTTCTTTTTATCTCTTCTTCTCCTTTCCTTCTTTCCCTCTTCATTTCTAATTTATCTTCTTTTCTTTTTTGAGGAAAAATGAGGAGTAGTAACTGAATTTAAGCCTTTGTCTGAGTGGCAGTTTCTGAAGACCCAAAAACCCAACAATAAAATTTGAAAAAAAAAGAGAGGAAAAAATCAAGGGGAAAACAAGAAGGTGATTTCTGGGATTTTTGAGGGAGGGTGAGTAGAGGAATTATGTATATAGGGGCAGAAGGAGGAGCAGGAGGAGTTGGAGGAGGGTCAATGAGGAAGTCCTTCAAGGACTCTCTCAAAGTTCTTGAAGCTGACATTCAGCATGCCAACACTCTGTATGTCTTTTAATTCCATTTACCCTTCTGTTTTATTCCTTTGATTTCTCTCTGTTCCCTTTTTCTGTGTCATCAGTTCATCTCTGACAAATTTTCAAAAATCATACTTCTTTAATTTGTAAAGTTTGGATTTTATCTCGACTTTTCCCCTTGTCTTTTGTTTATTAGTTTGCATAAACTGGTAGCTGATACTAGTTAACTGTTTCCTAGTTGCTGATCTTGGGTTGCCCTCTGTTTTCTCTCTCAGAGTTAGGTGAAGTTGAAGGTGAAAAAGTGCTTGGTTCATAAGAAAAAAAGTTTTGATGGAATGCTTAGTGGCAAGTTTTTGAATTTTTAAGTCTTAATGGATTTTAATTGCATTTCACACTTTTACTGCTCTGTTAATCACGACTTCTATTGTAAGATATCAAAGGGGAGGTGCATTTGATGATTAAAGAACTTGTGGGGTTTATTGTTGTTATAGAGTTTACTTTAAGAATTGCGTCAAGCTCTGTAAAAGGTATCATTTCCTTGTTAATGCCATGCTTATTTTCTAAACTATCTGAAATTTTTAAAATGTATTGGGCTCAGCTTCAAGATTTGTTAATTTTCCCCATTCTCTTTTTGGGTGTTGTGGATATTTTTTTGGCGGATATTTTCTTTCCTTGGTGTTCACTGGTGCTGGTGGAGACCTTCCTTTGGTGGGTGAATTGTCCCTTTACCTAATATATCTAATGGGTTGCAAAGTACCCCAATTGAACTTGGCTTAATTCACATGAGATGATCACAAACCACCTCAGTTTCAAAAATCTGTCAGAACTGATTATACTTTCAACTAATTTGTATATTTGACTTCGAAAATGTACTCAGTAATAAATTACAAGAAGGCGCCTATGCTGCATTTTTTTTTATCTCGAAACAGTGATTATTGATTAGCGAATTCTGTGGATGGTTCATTTTTATTTTATATATGTCTGAAGTATGTGTTTCTGCTCATGCTGAATCTGAACCATATGATATGACTTGTTGCAGTGCTTCAGAATTTCCACGGGACTATGATGGTGCATGCCTACAAATGAGAATGTCCTATAGTCCAGCGGCACACCTGTTTCTATTCTTGGTTCAATGGACTGATTGTCACCTTGCTGGTGCTCTTGGACTCTTGAGAATCCTGATTTACAAGGTGACTAATTAATTGCAGGGTGTGAACTGTGAAGGCTTCCCATGATAAATGCACTCAGTTACTCTATTTGTCTGGCTTCAGGTTTATGTTGATGGCACCACAACAATGTCCACTCATGAAAGGAAAGCAAGCATTAGAGAATTCTATGGTAACTCAAACATTAATGTTTTATTTATTTATTTCTTTTGCCTCAAGGATTGTTTGCGCTATCTAATAGTTTTGTTCAGTTTATTTTTGTGTCTGAGTTGATCATTCTATATCTTTTCCTTTTTATCTTGTAAAGGCCATACTTGTCCTTAGCTAGGGGTCTGTTTAAATGTCGTCTGTGTTCATGTCCAAACCACTATATGAGATCGTAAAGGTTTCATTTGTAATCAAACACCCTGAGGATTTAACATTATTTACACACACTTAATCAAACTGGAGGAAATTAAATTGAAAGGGGAAGGTCTTTAAAAAGAATTGGAAGGAACTAGGAACGAAGGGCTTGATTCATTCAAAGCTCAATCAGAAAGCATATCAACAAATCACCATGGAAATATGCATTAGCTGACTCCACATAGCGGGATAAAGCATTATTTGTGTTGGGTTGCGTTTGTGGGTTGTTGAAGATGTGATAATGTTGGGAGGGTTCACTTTTCTACTGTGAGCTTTACATCTCTTAATTAGAATATTATCCATTTGATAAATTGCTAATACTTTCTGATATTATGCCAGCTGTCATTTATCCGTCCTTAATGCAACTCCAAAGTGGTGTTACTGAATCAGAAAATAGGAAGCAAAAGGCAATATGCTCAGAAAGATACAAAAGGAAAGATGATGAGGACAGTAATCAATTTTCTGATCTAGATTTTGAAAGGGAAGAAGAATGTGGTATCTGCATGGAGAATATGAGTAAAATAGTCTTACCGAACTGTAATCATTCCTTGTGCCTCAAATGCTACCGCGACTGGTATTTTTCTACCCTTCTTTTATAAAAATCTCTCTGCATATCAGTAATTCGTTTATGTGTTCTCCTCCGGATATTATGGTGAATACAACTAACTATTGATCTAATGTCATGGCCTACTTTCATATCTCATCTTGTATTGACGGATTTGCTTGATTTCCTGTTCATGTGTAATAGGCAAATAATAGGCATGTTGATACTAAATTGTTGCACAAAACAAAAATAGGAGGCTATATATGGCAATCTCTTGCCAGTTGCCAGCTTTTGGCATTTTAGGTAAAAAGACGAGCAGTTTGTATCGAGAGTGGAATAAGAGCCTTGTGAACAATTTGATTTACATGCTTCAGATGGTGTTAAGGCATAACTTACAAACTACACAGTGAATCTTAAGTAATGCTTTCTGCTGGAATTGTGCCTGTACTGGTCCATATTTATGCCATTTTGTTGGATTATTTACTTATGAAAGTCTTACTATGTTAACACTTTCTGTATTGTAAAGGGAATGCAAATGGAGTTGAATAGGACATCTTGTTTTTAGGCATCAAACTGTTAGACCATATTCTAAGTTGTTTGGCTCATTATTGGAAAACCTTGAAATGATTGATGAGTGGGAGGTGTGTCTACAGTTGGTGTCCTGTTTATAAGCGATCCTGCATGTTTATTCACATTTACCGCTTGAACCTTAGTGTTCTTAGCAATCACAGGTTTAAAATTTTTATTTCTGCCTCTATTAATCTCTTACTGAAACCGTGAATCTAACTCCCATTGAGACTGCTTTGTGAAGAAACTTTTATGAGTGTTTTTACATTGGGCAATTAGGTTTCCCTAGTGACATTAAACTCGCCCAATGAAGTTATGTTGGTGCCAAAAATGTTGAAAATGAATCCTCAGCTGTAAAATTTCCAGGGAGTGGAGCCTCCTGTCCATGGCTTTATAAAAGCAGTTCCAATGCTTCAATTTCCAGTTTTCAGTATATTGAAGAAATATCACTTTATGTGATGGTTCATCCTTGGCCATTGTTGAGCCTAGTATGAACTGAGTGCTGTAGAGGTTGTTCTTCAAGTATGATACTTTGTTCCATATGTGAATCTTGTGAAATCTAGTACAATTCTTGGTCAAGGTTGTTCTAGTATGCTTAGTCAATCATGTGAATCTTGTTCTGGTATAAGACTCGGTCAATGTTGTTCTAGTATGATCACTGTTGCTCTTGTGTGGCCATTACGCCGCAGTTTCTTATCATTCGTGTTTTGTTGTGTCAAAATATTAAAATTCCTTTACTGCTCGTTATAGTGATTAAGCTTCAAAAGTAGCTCAGGGATTAAAGCCCTCAAATTTCTGAGTGGAGGTCATGTTGTTCTACATTATCCTTCCTCATTGAATCGACGTGTGGTGTGTAGTTAACATGATCAATTTGGTCATTTTATTGTAAACTGTTAAGATGGTTGAATTAGTAGGGTACAAGTAAACGTACATTTGTGAACTTGTCCTTAATTACAGAGATTGTAGTCTTATCAAAGGCAAAAATTAAATAATATCTTGTTACTAAACCTTCTGTGTTGATTCTTCTAGCGTGTAGATTGTAATTTGTGTGACTATTGCGTAACTTTCTGAAATATAATGTGCACAATGTTGTGGATTTCAGGCGTTCAAGGTCTCAATCATGCCCCTTCTGCCGTGATAGCTTAAAGAGGGTGAACTCAGGTGATCTCTGGGTCCTTATGGATAGTAAGGATGCAGCAGATATGGCTACAGTAACAAGGGAGAACCTGAGGAGGATCTTTATGTACATAGATAAGTTGCCGCTTATTGTTCCGGATAACCTTTTTGATGCATATGACAAACATTTGAGGTAGGCAATTTGATAGTACTATTACAGTGACCTTCAGAAGTACTTCTGACTCCTTGGGTTCTCTCAACTAGATTAGATGTGGAATGGAGTGGTTTCTTTATCCACCATCGATGATTCGCTAGCCCGGCCTGAATTATTGTAGGCACTGGGGCAGACCGAAGTTATATTTAGTAGCTGGAAGAGGCTCATGAATTGTATGTAGCATAGCTGTATATATAAGTATACCTAAAACTTATATATTTGTACAGATTCGACACCTTGTCAAACAATCTCAATCTGTTATTTGCTCGTAAATTTGAATCGATTAGGTGTGCAGTTGTACCTTATTTACGGCCATGTTGAGTTCATTTTGGTCGCAATGTGGCATTTGGTGACGGCGTGACTTGTGAGATCCGAACTTCTGTCTTTTAGGATGAGTACATTATGAGTTTGAAACTTGGAATGTTTGTGAATAAACAAGGATCCAAACCAACTTGGAATGTTGGTGGATATACAAGGGTCCCGAACCAACACTTACTGTGTCAATGTTGTGTTGACAGAGGGCATTTTGCATATTAGGCACGCAGGAAAAAATTGGTTGAATGGAGCCGTCCCTTAAAATTTGAGGAGGTTTTTGAAAGATTCTATCCCTTGAAGGGGTGGTAAGTTTTTTGTGCTTGTTTCAAGGACGTTAGGACTGAATCACTTGGTTCTTTTACTAGACTTTGAAATCCATTAAGCTAATTCTAAAGATCAGTGAGGCCCAGACCCAAAAATTACAATTTGTTACACATAGATTGCCCAGGAAATTAAAATTGTAGTTTTGCAGAAAATGTCAAAAGTGGACTAGAAATGCATATTACAGTATATACTTCCATCCCCGTCCCAAAAGTTGAAAAGAAATGCATATTATATACTATCATTCCCGTCCCCAAAAAAATAGTTCACATTGAATTTATATTTTTGTACGGTTTTTAGTACAAATTCTAAAACTCAAAGTAGACTATTTTTCTTGAAACAAAGGGAGTATAAGCTTGTTCAGATTGTAACGTAATTAATCATACTGAAAATAGAGAAAACCAAAAGGAAAGCTACCGATGAAACTAGCAATTTTCATTCCATTCCAAAAGAAATTGCTGTTTGATGACAGTAGTTCATACCTAAGAATACCGCAATTGTATATTCTACTTCTTCACATGAGCCAGAACCTATTGACAGGGGATTGAACATGAGCGTTGTAAAGGATTTTGTAAAAACCTTCCAACTTCCAGGCCTATCTACAATTAGAAACAAAGAAAGTTTAGGCCATCAAAATATGCTGCAAATTCTAGCTAACATTTTGCAAAAGGGGGATGATCTCGAATACTCCTCCATCCACATCCATCAGGACCAAACAAGAACAATTAGCCCACAACCAAAAACTCCAAAAAAAGCTGATCCCATTAATGCTTCAGTAACTCTAGTAGTAACATTCTTCTGAATCATCATCATCATCATCATCATAATCTTCATGCTTATCATAATCATAGTCATCATCACCACCATCATGATCAAAATCAGAATCAGAATGACTCTGATAATCATAATCAAGATTGTTACAGCTCCAATTCCAAGCCTTCAAACTTTTCCCCAACAAGAAGGAAACAAAAGCATCAACACAAGCATACTCTATTTGATCATGGCTGAGCCAGAAAGCGTCCCAGTTGCTTCTCCCAACCTCCGGGTCCTTTTGTAACCCACTCCATTCCAAGCTCCATGTAAGCCAATTTCTCCATGGAAACCATCTTAGGCTGCCCACGTGGACCAGATCGATCAGCCCTCCGACCCGCAGCCGATGGTGTGAATAAAACCTTAACATGTCATAATCCCTCTTGTTGTTCACGCCCACCAAATGGATATTCGGGTCGGATGAAAACCGGCGGAGCGAGATGGGAATGTTGGTGGCGCGTGAGAGTTGGAAAATAAGACAGCGGTGGCCAACGCAGAGTTGGAGCGTTGCTGGAGGTGGGTTCCCGTACGCAGGCGTCCATTGAACTCCGACACCGGCCAGGAGCTTGCTACGCCGTAGACGGTGGGTGTGGTAACGGCGGATGTAGAAGAGCCAACGGCGGACGACGGAGGGCGAAGAAGTAACGGTAGTGAAAATGCAGTGGGACTGGCAGTAAACAGTTGTGATCCTTGTGGTGGTGGTGGTGATAACGTCGGCCTTGGAAGTGTAGTTGCCGGACCTTTGGTAAGGGTGGTGGCGAAAACGACGATGATTGACCCTTTCTCTTGGCATGATTGTGTTTTTTCCCGGTGGCAGTTTCCGGTTATGTTTTCAGTCAAACTGTTTCTATAAAAGAAACTTTAAACGAGGAGTGAGGACCGGCAGACGGCGGAATTCACGGTGGCGGCAGCACGACTGTCATATTTGTGGCGTAGTGTAGGAGGCCATGAGAGTCGTAGCCAGTAGGTTGTTGTGACAGTGAGGTAATTTTGCTGTTTATTCTTCTCATGAGCGCTCAAAGAAATGATCTGAACCTTTGGTTAAGGTCAATCTGTACACGTGGAGGGCGAGGATATTCAATCCTTAGTTGACGACTGTAAGAATGTCAGGTTAATTTTCCCTCTTGGAAAACAAACCTGTCAGCTTCTAAAAATATTGAAATGTCATTAAAAAATGTAAAATTTTGGTACGATTGTTTCGTTGTTTTTTAATGTGTATTTTAATGTGTTTTTTATTAAAAATGTAAAAAAATATATTAAAAATGTAAAAATGTATGCTGAGATAGAATAATTATTATTATTTAATTCTGAAAAAACCAATTAAAAAAGAAAACAAACAAAGTGAACTTTTGCCTTTTCCTTACGAGGAAAACAAATTCTTTTTGTAATGGTAATTTATGTTTTGGCAGATAAAAGATAAAAATTAGATCTATTGGATATTGGGAGATGCTTGCGCCACTTGCAATTTTGCAAATGCAGTGAATTAACCAATCTATCTCACATATGAACCATATTACTTTTTGTTTTCTTCTGATTCTATTAATGTTTTATACTATAATGAAAGCATATGAATCGAGTAGTAAAGTGTCATATTTACGGAGACATTTGTGGGTCTTCGCTTGTTCAATTTCTCCAATGCGTCAAAGTTTGTTTGAGTTTACAATTTAATAACTAACAATTGAACAATTTAAACAATCACATACTAGGATTTAAAAATCTTCATTCATACTACCAAGTTATGCTACATCGTTCACTGCGACTGCAGCAAATTTATTTTCTTGGAAACAAAGTAAAAAAAGCAGCAATATAAGAGTATTTTACTAACAGAAACTCATCTATATATTTTACCTAACAAGATGACAAGAGTACAATAAAATGAAGCAACAAAACTAATACTATTTGAAAATCCTGGTTGAGTTTCTTCCTTATCCTAACTACTAAGCCTAACCTATTTTTCTATACGTAGCTAACCGAAAACGAGAAAGAAAGGACCCTCCAATGCAGTATGGGTCTATCGCCGCCTGTGGTTTTGGCTTGGAGCTGGATTGTAGGGCTTCTGTGTTGAAGTACTGCCCTGTTGTGTTGGAGCCTGTGATCCAGGGGGATTGTGCCTGCCCAATTGTGCAGCCTGCGACTGAGTAACCATATTAGCCATTGCTGGTGTTTGATATATTTGACCATAGTTTGGACCCGCCGCATTTGCAAAACTAAAGCTAGAACTAGATGCACCCATTCCCCGTGCACCGACTGAACCGCGAAATCGTCCGCCGCCACTAGAGTAACTCGCTCCCGAATAGCACGCATCGGCTGCGGCACCAAACGCGATACCACATCCGGCTCTCTGCATTTTGTGCGCGCGCGCCGCTGCCAGCATATACGCTTCCCCCGATGACTCGTATGCTGGTCTGGTGGCCACTCGCGCTTCCATTTCCTTCAGCTCCGCGTCCATTGCGAGCCATTGAGTGTCCCGGGCCTTGGCCGACACACTTTCCGACATCTTCTTCCAGCAGTTTCCAAGGATGGATGCGGCGCCAATCAGGTCTCCTCTCTCGGCCGCGGCTCGTGCCAGCACCATTGCCTCCGCTACTTGCAGCCTGTTCCGTTGCCTGTCAACTTCCACACATACATCTTGTTGTCCAACTCCTACTTCTTCAGGTCTTGCGAGCTTAACTTCTTCGCTACTTACAGTAACCAATTCTTTGGTTAGAGGAACACTGTAAACGCATCTCACCTTCAGCAATGCGGTTTCATCAACACCTTTTTCAGCTGGAAGCTTAACCGTAACCAGAAAATCCCTCTCCTCATCAGCGTACAAGTCAGCAGCATCAATATTCCCCATTCGGCCGTCCCGAGTTAATTGATTCACATAGCTTCCCTTTTTCAAAGAAGTCAGACTAACTCTTGGATCAACACACTCAATGTTCACCTGAACTTCCTTGGCCACAACACTCAGGAGGCCACCAATGCACTGAGCAAACGCATCCTGGACAACTCTCTCGGTCTCGATGAAAGGAAAGGTTCCTCTAGATATCTCCAAAATCGAGTGCATCAATGCAGCGTCATGATCTCTCCCGAACCCGAATGTATGCACCGGGATCTTCAACAGGGGGAGAAGAAGCCGATAATTAGGCGGGTTTTGCCTGTGTGAGTAGCTATAGGTATCATAAGTATTGAATGTATAGGTATCACATCCATCGGATAACAATATAACACTGGAAACCGGGTTCTTTTGTTTCCGGTCTTCCATCACCTTAGCTCCCGTACGCAGTCCTTCAGCTATGTTTGTCCCTCCTTCAATCCTTAAACGCTTCACAGCTTCCAATGCTTGCCTTCTCCCTGATTCAGACATCCTACGAAGCGGAAACACCCGTCAAGCCGAGTCCGAAAATGCCACGACGGAAAGCCTGTCATTGGGACCAAGGTTCTTAATCACGAACCCCATAGCCTGCTTGACCAATTCAAGCTTGTGACCGGCCATGCTGCCACTCACGTCGAGAACCGTGACCAGGTCGACGGGTACCACGGGATGATTGGTCAGTGTTGGCAGATGGAGCTTTGAGGTTAATCAGTACGGTGAAGTTATCAGGAGCGCTGGATTGCGCGACGGCTGGAACTTCCGTGCACGTTTTCAACTTCCGCTTATTCTTTTCTTGAGGAGGAGAAATGTAAAGCGTGTTTGATGATGATGAGTTTGTGTTTTGATCAAGGGGCTCATCATCATTGAACGCAGATGGCTCATGATCAAAATGTACAGGCGGATAGGGAATGTGCGGAAGAGGGAGCCAAGTGGGAGGAGTAGTTGGACTGCAAGACCAATATTGACCGCAAGCAGGACATTGGCCGCCTCCATAGGAAGTAATACAAGCATAGTGAAATTCGTGACTACATTCTGCCGTGAATATGGCTTCCCCACCGGCTTGAGTTGATGTGTTACAAATCCAACATGTGTTCTGCAACTCAACAACAACAACAAATCAGATTAATTATCGGAGAAAAAAAATTGAGGCAAATAGAAATCAGATTAATTAGGAGATCCAATATATCAACAAGTAGGTTGTAATTGTTGTATCCGCAATAAAAAATAATACTACTTCTGTCTAAAAATTAAAAAAAAGAAGTCAAGGTTTTAAATTTCTAAATTCTAAATTCAGTGTGGATTTTTTTTTTTCTTTGGAGGGAGGGAGTAATATATAGAAAGGAGAGATGGAACGGATAAAATCACAACTTGAAGAAAACCCAATTAGGCCATGGAAAATAAACGAGAGAAAACCTCATTGAAGCATATGTACGTAAGAATAGGTTTCGGTCAACAAAATTGAAAAGTATTCTCAAATAATAAAACCCTTAAAGTACAAGAAATACTACAGTTCAATGAAAAGGCATGTTTTTGCTCTTACCAGATAAGCGTCCATGTTAGGAAAATCGAAGAAACTCAGAACTTAGATTGAGATTTAGACGTGATAGACGAATCGCTGGGATGAAGCTGCACTCATGATAAACCCTGGTAGAGATTGTAAAGGATGGTTATACTAAACCCCAGCGGTACTTATATAGGCTGCTCCCATAACCGCCTTTTGATTGCAATTCTCCCCTAAAGAAACGTGTACTTAAATGCCAAACCTAGCTAAAATTAAATTGAATTAAGTCAACCAAAGTTTTTGTTTCCTTTTTTTCCCCTTCGATACAAACTACAGTACTTCATATGGCTGGCTAAAAAATACTCAACCAAAGAAAAAGGGGGAAAGAGTAATGTGGGTGGGGAAGTCCACATTGAATAACCAATTCGATAGGGAGTATTTTATGACAAAAAACTTGTATTTTATTTTGCGTAAATGAAGACTAATGTGGCTATGTGTCCAATATCAAATAACTCATCTCATAAATAACTATTGCATAAATTTCAAATCATTTATTTATTATCTATACATGTGCATTTTTTATTTTGAAAATTAAAATTTTACATTTTCAAAACTAAAACTAAATTGTTTAAAGAAATCATTTAAAGAGTAATGCGGCTTGTTAGTTTACATTGTGACAACCAACAAGCTGCCTTTATCAGCTTGCCTTAGTGATTCTCTTTACAAAATAGTCTAAAGTACTTTAAAGAGGGTTTTTTTCTTTTTTTAAAAAATTCATTTTTCCTTTGTCTTTAATGAAGGCTAATTTTATAAAAATAAAAGATCCAATAGAAACATTTAAGAAAAATGTAAAAAAAAAAAGGCGATAAAATTTTAAAGTAATAATAATTTTTTAAAAAAATCAGTGGCTAGTGCTTCAATATTTGGTACTTGCCTATCTATTTTGAGGAAAAAAAAAAAATCCTTAAAAGGAGCGTGTCCATGGTTGAAAATAGTAGTTCACATTTATAAGTTATTAATGTCTCATTATTTAGATATCAATTAAGAGGTCAATAATGATTGTGGTCACCACCATAATGCGAGTTAGTCACCGAGAGAAGAAAAAGGTGAAGATGATTCGAGTCATACATAAAAATAAAATAAAAATTAAAAGATGACGATGAAAAACTGGCTCGTAATTAATCAAACAAAAAGAACCGTGTCTGTTTATTTATTCTTGTCGTCTGACACAAAAAAGATTACATATTTTTTGAGCAAAACATATGTAATCGACCTCCTCCATAAACATATTACACTTTCTTGATGGTAAAGAGCAGATCATCCTGGTGATCTTGGATGCATCGTTTAAGAACATTACAGTCATCGCCCTTCACAGGGACTTGGCACTGGCAAATTGTATCCATTATCACGCACTCGCAAGATAAGGCCCCAGCCACAACGTCCTTACACGGGTCCACCCTTTTTTCACATTTATTCGCATCTGGGCACCCACTTATTGATCCCAGCATTAACACCTTGCACACATTTTGTTGACATTCACCTGCAAAAAATAATATAAAATTACATTAATAACTTCAATTTTCTTTTACGAAATGTTTAATCTATTATTAAAATTAAATTTTAAACCTGTGATAAAGAAGTGAGAAACCGCCAGCGCCAAGATAGCAAGAACAGAGAGCTGCTTCATAGTTTTCTTTTCTAATTGAGGCTTAATTATCAGAAGTGAGAAGAGTGAAGATGAATGATGTTTATTTTATGCGTTTTCTCTTTTTATAATGGAAAGAAGGTATGAAACCGTTGCTTCTTGGTCAAAGTTTGGTTTTAAGCAGTCAATACAATTCCTTATATGTACAGTATTTGTGATTTCTTATATTCATTATGTAATCTCACTTTGATAAATTCACATGATTTTCTTATGTATAATCGTTATTGTTTAAAAGTAATCATTACCTATGCAGTTTATAACAAATTATTATATATGAGTCAAATATTACAATTAAATAATCTCTACTTAATTTTGGTCAAAACTTTCTATTTTTTCCGAGACAAGATATCGTGACACTTTATTTTTAAGGGGCTAATTTGGGCATTATTTTATTTCAACTAGATAGATTAGACGCGCTTCTTACGCTATATATAATGACGTAATGTAAATTATATAAATAAATGAATTTTTAATAAATAAAAATAGTAACTCACATTGCTATGTAATATACTTTTACATTGTAAGAACAAGATGATATGATTAAACGTGTCATTTGTTATTCCAACGGAAGTGACATATAGAATTTTAATTGTGGAAAAAAGGGCAAAACCAGCGAAAAATAAAATAAAATCAAGTTCTATATCACAAAAAAAAAAAACTAAAAAACGAAGGAAAAAAATATTTTTTTAAAAAACTAAATTTGAGAAGGAAAAAAATTCGAAAAGAAAAAGATGGAGATGAGCAATAAAAGATGATGATTTCGTATAAACTTGAGATTGGGAGGAAAAAAGTAAACATTTGAAAGAAATAAAAAAAAAAAAGGAAAAACAAGTGACTAAAATTATATGTAGGTAAATTACGCTACACTTTAATATTTTTTTGAACAATCTAAACTACTATTGAGAAACCTATTAAATTAAAAAAAAAGAGAGAGAATGAAGAAAAAAAATTAAAGAATCCAAAGAGGTTAGAATCACTGAAATTGCTTTTAGGCTGATCAAATTCACCTAATAATGAAAAATTATTTTTATAATGTTAAAAATAAAATTTGTTGGTTAGAATAATTAGAATCGTATTTAGACTGATCAAATTCACCTAATAAAGATTTTTTTTTTTGTAATTTTTTTAAAAAAATTTAATAATAAGGAGATCAAAGGGTCATTATTTTATTTGATAATAAAAGACAATTTATTATTATAGAATCAGATATAAGGGAATACTTTATTATTACTAGGTCGTACGTTGTCGCGCAAGCAGTTTATATTTACAATGTATAATATATTAATAGTGATGGGTTTGGAATTTTTTTAAAAAAAACAATGGACTGATAAAGTTTAAAATAAATTTTGAATATTTTAATATTATTCTATTATCTTTGTAATTTTAATTTTTTATTGATTTAATTTTTCTAATTCGATATTGTTTTTCAATAAATAAATATTTTTTATTCCAGAAATATCCCGTTGACTTGAACCAAAAATGACCAAACTATTCGAATAGCGCCAAATGAACAGAAAAATAAACAAAAATGTAAAAGACAATTTTAGCTAAATGTTAATACAGAGGACCAAATGTATATTTGGCCTATTGTAAAGGATCATATTAGATTTTATTTTATAGATAATAAAAAATAAAGATAATTTTATATTTTAATCATCTTATTGGATGTTTTTTATGTTGATGAAGCTTGAACTTTAATAGCATTGTAATAATGAGTTATATGAATAATAAGTAAAGGTAATTTTATATTTTAATCACATGATGATGTAATTTTTTCCCATCGCATACTTTAAATGAATTTGCCTTTAAAATACATGCTTGCACAAACAAATATTGCTAGGTTGTTTTACTCAGTTACATAAAAATTGAGTTCTTTATCAGTTATATCAAAAATTTCCGTCGTATTATTGTTACTAATCCCGGGGAAATACTCAAAAAAGGGGATATTAGTTTGAAAACCAAAGAAGACCATGATCTTTCTTTGGTATAAAATGTTCAGGCCTTTTGACTTGCTATATATTTGGAATCACGAATATTGAATCCTTTCCCCTATTAGGCATGTTATTAGTGATGCATTTTCGTCATGTAATAAATGAGTAGCTCCAAACTTACATTAATAGTTTCAACCTAAACCTGCTATATATTAATCAACAAAGATCAAGTCGCAGTCATAAATTGAGTGAACCAAACCAAAACATGAACCACCACCCAACAAAAATAACAAAATTGAGTGAGCAATTCTGTCGTCCATTTTCCGAGTTTGATACACCACTGCACGATCCATAATTCCATATCACTCCAAATTGAGATAATAAAAAGAACTCTGATTTCTGCAATTTGTCCCAACAAAAAGGACATGGTGAATAAGGAAAATAACTCCTCTTTACGAACAGAAACTGACCTCATATTTCGCCAGAATGCTGATTCGTCCAATTTCACCCAAGTAATTATGCGTTGTTGTTCACAAAACTTACAAAAGGTTCAAAAAGTTTAAGATCAAGTGGGAAAAACTAAACCTGATGACAGGGGGACCTATGGTGAGCATCCGCGGGACAGAACCCGTCTTTAGACAAGTTCTTTGTTGACGTAAGAATTCGGATGCGCGTCATTGGTACATACAAGTTGCCGGTTTTAGCTGTATACTTTTGTAACAGAAACCGGAAAACAAAAAGAAAAAGGAAATCAATTGGACACATCGAAATCCAATTTCCTATTTGTATTGTAAATCTGGAAATCCATAAAGTTAATATCATAATTCAATTAGATTACAAATACAGGGGTTTAAATAAAACCAATTACATATCCAATTTCCTATTTTTATTTTATTTTATGGTTTTTAAGCATTAAAATTATGTTTTCAATTTAGAATATATAAAATAATTACTAATTTTCATAAGTTTTTTTGTTCACTTATTCATTTTTTTAACAAATTTAATAGGGACGAATCACGAGAAAACTCAACGAATACCAAACTCCACTATGATTTATCATTTCCAAGAACTATATATGGTGTTATAGACATTACTAATCAAAGTGTAAACATTTTAATAAAACTCAAAAAATTCTTAGTTTCTTAAGGAAAAGTTTTTCTGTCGACCTACAGATCTCGACGAAAAAGTCGACGTGCTCAAAAAATTATTATTTTTATTATTATATATTTTTAAGGTTTATTTATTAATAAAAAATACGTTTTAGGTGAGATTTAGGACAAATCAAAATACTTCATATCATATTAAAAAAATAATGAAACTAGACACTTGTTTTTTGTCACGTGCTGCGTGCGTGGTATGTGAGTTCACTGCCAGTAGTGTTTTTCCGAATCTGTGGACTCTGATGGCATCTTTTTTTTTTCCTCGTAGGATTTTCTATTCTGAGAGCCCATCACTTTCCGATTGGTGAATTTTGGAGCAGCACGAACCTCTAATAATTATTCAAACTCAGTTTTAAAAAAATCCCAGATTTTGTTTCCCCTTGTCTCACCAAAGTAGGCTATTACATATACAAACAAATAGTAAAACATTAACAGAGGGCCAGAGGCTAGGAAACAAAAGGAAACTAATCTCTCTCTTCCTCCAGCCAGACTGAAGTTGAGAAGGGGAGAGGAGAGGGGCTCAAATGGGTTTTGTTGAAGAGGAGAAACAACTAGAGCAGGAGGGAGTTATGGCTACGGATTTTTTCTGGTCATATACGGATGAACCCCATGCCTCTCGCAGAAGACAGATCCTTTCTGAGCATCCCGAAATCAAACAACTTTTTGGTCCCGACCCTTTTGCTTTCCTTAAGGTACAATGTCGTTTTGAAGTTTCCCAACTTAATTAATGTCTGATTGGAGTGACTGAATTTGCGGGTTGGCTTTCTCCTATGAGGTTTTGTTATTGGTAATGTGGGTGCTAAAAATCCAATCTTTGCTGCTATTGTTGTTCTGGGATGGGGGAGGGGTGGTATAGATGATGTATTTTGTGTTCCCTTAGCTTCAGCTTTCGAACTTATGCATCATTGATTTCATGTTTCGCAAGTTGGATTCCCTTGAGCACAAATGCAATTGAGTTGTGGACAGTGGATAAGTAAATTCCTTTTTCCGATGTTTTTTCCCCCTAGTTTGAATTCCTTTTCACGGTGATATTAATTACTTCTATTTGCTGATTGTTTCATCTTTATATCAGCTTTTATTGTTCTTTTTAATCTTAGATGTAACAGATGCTCCCTTCAGTGATGAGGAACTTTGGATGGCAGCTTTTTTTTCGTTATTCTTACCTTATTCTCTCCAGATTTGAGCTCCATTAGTAGATCTGTCTGTGAAGCTTTGCAAAAATTTCTTTTTGTTTGTGGGCTGCATTGTTGAGATGGGATATTCAACCAGATTTGGAGAATATGCTCTGTTAAAGTTGTGGTTTTTAATGAGCTTAGTGGGCTAAATGTTTGAGTCATAGGAACTGTTGTTACTTAGCAAAATGGAATATCTTGGGTTTAATATGATGGTGACACTTTACTGGTTTAAAGCTTTAGTGATCAATCAATATGTTAAGATGTAAATGGGTTGGAAGCACGGCAGTTCCACTTGGATCTTAAAAAGTATGCTTACATAGATTCATTTTTTTTGTTAATAGATTTCTTGACGTTGATATATTTTGGGTGAGGCCTGCATCTTTCTGTAGGCAGTGTATGGCTTCAACTTTCTCTCTTAATATGCACAATTTTAAAGTACCTTTTCTTTTCTATATCTTAAAAGGAGGTTGTGCTTTGAATAAATTCTCTTTTTCCGGTAGATGCTGATTAGGTGGAAACCAAGAGAATTTAAGATCAAAATTTTTTTCTTTCAAAAGAGTCTCTCTCATCCCAATTGAACACTTCTCTGGGAAATCAACAATGAAAGCTGTTTATCTTCTTTTGATTACTAGGGAAATCAGGTTGTTTGTTACTCGGATGGAAAGTAAATTGATTGGTTTGCCTTTTCGACCCTGTTGAAGTAGCCTTTATGTTGAAACTCTTATTTCTTGGTTCATTTGATTCATTGTGAACTGATTATCTGAATTTTCTATTACAGATTTTTATGGTTGTCTCGCTTCAGCTGTGGACTGCGACATTTCTCAATGAAGCAGGTTGGTTGAAACTATTAATCGTGGCCTATTGTTTTGGCTCATTTCTCAATCATAATCTCTTCTTGGCCATTCACGAGCTCAGTCATAACCTTGCCTTCTCAACTCCTGTCTACAACCGGTGGCTTGGAATTTTTGCTAACCTTCCAATTGGTGTACCTATGTCTGTCACCTTCCAAAAGTATCATCTTGAGCACCACCGCTTTCAAGGCGTTGACGGCGTTGATATGGACATTCCAAGCCTTGCAGAAGGCCATGTGGTAACAAACGTTTTCGCCAAATCAATATGGGTTGTTTTGCAACTCTTCTTTTATGCTCTGAGACCCCTTTTCCTCAAACCAAAACCCCCTGGTATGTGGGAATTCATCAATTTAATCGTTCAGCTGGGCCTTGATGCTGCTATGGTTTACTTCTGGGGCTGGAAGTCATTTGCATATCTGATCCTGTCTACATTTGTTGGAGGAGGAATGCACCCTATGGCCGGCCACTTTATCTCGGAACATTACGTGTTTAAACTGGATCAAGAGACATATTCTTACTACGGCCCCTTGAATCTGATGACATGGAGTGTTGGATACCACAATGAGCATCATGATTTTCCTAGGATTCCTGGGAACAAGCTTTACAAGGTGAAGGAAATTGCACCAGAATATTATGAGAACTTGAAGTCATATAGATCTTGGAGCCAAGTGATTTACATGTATATAATGGATAGAACCGTTGGCCCCTTCAGTAGGATGAAGAGGAAGTTATCCACAGTAACCAACAAAAAGACTGAATAAGTTTCTTATGAAGTGTAGGTGCACAAACCATTTTTCTCCTCATTTTTGTCCCTTTGGGGGGTCTTTGTGTGAGATACTAGCTATTTATATTCTTTTTAAATACCACTACTATTTTATATCTCCTTTGTTAAACCATTAATACATTCACTGAACTTATATTAGGAATGAAGAGAGAGTTGAACCATTTGAATTCTCTGTCTTTACATTAAGTTCGGATTTCTAACAAGGTTTCACAGACTTTGTATCTTACTAGATTTACAAGTTATTGACTAGTTTTGGTCTGACAAGGTAGATTATTAGCGTAGAAAATATAATGCCATAGTGATCAAGTGATAATCTTGCAATTGTTTGCCCATTTTACGACATTTACAAAAAGAAAGTGCTTAAAGGGCAAAGATATATAGTTTGCAATGTTGCATCCCTTGGAAACATCAGACATTTTTTAAGCGAGGAGATCTCTGTGGTACTCATGAAAACTCTCACAATTGTTATTTTGGCATCCGAACCTTCATTCTGACAGCCTTAATGTACACAAAAACTTCCAACATTGGAACAAAACTCTGTCTGTAAAGAATCATAAGATTTCTTAATGGAAAAGTAACAACATCATCAACTCCAAACCCAATCACTCATTACCAAAACATAGTATTGACTGACTAATTGTTTTGAGGATGTTTACAGAATGGAAAATCTCCAGCACTTCCACACTCTGTATTAAGTACGAGTAGAATCTAACTTGTTCTTCTTGGAAGCTCCCCCCCTTCACTTGGTGATCACTTGATCATGATAAAATTCAAAACCCTGCTGACTGAAAACGTAGGCTCAAGTCAAAATCAATTCCTCGAAAAGAAGCTTTCTAAGTACTATTAATTATTTTACTTTATCCATTTAATTTCCAGTTCCCAGTTGATCAAAAACCTTCCAATCCTCAGGGCAGTGGTAGAACAACTGCGGTTCGCCAATAACGTATGCTGGAAACACTTGGGAATTTGCAGGTTGGTTCAAGAGTGGCATCCTGGGTGGGTGATGATGATCACCTTCAACTTGCTCTTCATCATGGTGACTCTGGTAATACTTTTCGTCTTCTGCGAGAGTTCTGATGATTGTAGCTATTAGCATGGAGCATCCCTGTTGAAACCGAGACATGGTACAGGTGTGTTAAAACTATGGTGTGCAACTCATCTGCTAACATAGATCCTTCCGTGTTTCCACTTCATTCAGTGCCAATTGATTTTAATCTAGATTATCGAACAACACAATTTGACTATACCTGGGAAAGGAATATCAAGAGGGCAACCCACTGGCAGATGTGGATATTATCCTGCACAAATTTCTTGAAATCATCAAACCTTCCTGATGGATCATCTGGTAGATCCTGTGAAATGTACCAACATAGAACCATTATGAGAAAGGCTCAACTTAATTCATTGGATATGGTTAATAACAATGGGGTGTCCCTAGTTACCTTTTCCCAGTTAGAATTAAGCAATACATCAGCTATCATTGCCGTGTCCAACAGGATAAGGATGAAGATGATGATTGAGTACTATAGTTTCTTTTATTAAGGAAATCAAATTGATAACTAGTTCATGAAGCCATGGTGTGGACTTTGTTTACAACAATGCTAACCGAATTTAATGTTGATCACAAGAATAAGGATACACAACTGAGGCAATGGATGTTTGCGGTTTTGGCAGCAAAATGACCAAGGCATGCTATTCCACACAAAGCAATACCAATGCCAAGAAATGCATGAATAAACCTGCGCCACCAATCCATCAACAAACTTACAAAACCACATCATATTCAATGTTACTAAATTAAACAATTTTAGGAACGGCTAATGAATTTCATGAACCTTAGCTACGTACCAAGGCAAAGTAGTTTTCAAATCCTGGTCATGGTGATGAGCATCGCAATCATCACAAACGTCGCGCCCCCAAACTCGAACCATCCAGAGACCATAGAAAATCATGGCAATGCCCAGTGATGCAATCACTGAGTTCACAATCTTCAGGGAACTCTGCAAGCATTTCTTCATTGTTCTTGCCATTTCAAAGACTAGCTAGAAGCAACAAAACCTTATTACTATATAATTATGTTCTCTTATACACAGTCTTTTCAAATTGAGGAGGGGCCTTAGAAGCTCTCTCAGGAAACCTTAAAAAAAAAGCAAGTTATGAGTGTCCTTTTTAGGGGTAGCTACAAAACTAAACACCAGACATATTTAGGAAGTACTGAAGGAGCTCACAATTACTTACATACACAAACCAACAAAATTTGTGTAACTAATTAACAGTTAACATAGCAACAAAATGTGTTTGGCTATGCATGAAAATTAGGAAATTTCCGAGAAGCATCGATCTTATTTGTTGTTGTAAGAATAAGATATACTTACTTATTATATTGTTGAATGACAACCAATTAATAAAAAATGTACAATATGTATAAACTGGGTTCGAGCTATTTCTAGGGTCAGCAAAGACAAATTCGAACTTCATATCTCCTTTTCAGAAATGGTATACAATGACATACGAGATGTTGGACAAATGATATTACATGATACAAATGATGTAAACAACATTATCGTCGAGGTTCATTAACCGGGGTTTTTTTTTTTTTTGGCCTTCAAATTAATGGCTAGACTATTTCTAACTTGGCTTTAGGTGACGACTAGAACAAAATACAAATCATAAATTAACACATTTTAAATCTTGAGACAATTAGGACTTGAATTGCCTTTTTGGAACATGCTACGTTCAACAGTTAAAAGTAATCTTTAACGATGGCACATAATTAATAATTACTCTTTAATTCTTTTGTGGTTAAATTGGCTAACTCCGAGAAGCCCTACATCAAAAAGAACCTTGATGCTGTGGTGTAGTGGTTATCACGTTAGTCTTACACACTAAAGGTCTCCAGTTCGATCCTGGGCAGCATCATATTCTATTATTCTGTAGTTCCCTATATTTTTGTCATTCCTTTTTTTTTTTTTTTGGTCATTCTTTTTTACTTTGTAAGGATTTTGTAGGTTGATGTTAACCAATATCATAGAACAAAGAGGTTCTAAACTTATGCATCAATCCTTTTGACTTGTAAGGATTTCATAGGTTGATTTTAATTAACACCATAGAACTATAAGGTTGATGTGTCTTATTTTTTCAAATTCTGCTCAGTTCTAGACGAACTTGTGAGTGAAAACAAACGTAGATTTGTCGACCCAGTTGCAAACCAACAGGTTCAACAGTTTGATCAACCTTCAAAATTCAATCAATTTAACTATCCTATTCCACCATCAAGCTGGTCTAGATTAAATTACATATCGATCACCATATCAGATACACGGTAAAGAACAAATGACAAATGTTAATCGGTAAGTATCCGCTTATCATTGCCTATCTGTCAAGGTTATGCCCATGTCAATATGTCATCATGACCATGTATGTTGATAGTCTTGCTACTCTCCAGGGGAGGGGGACTTGCTACTAAGAAATGTAAATCCTTCAGCAAGTGAAAAACGACTAAGATTAACCTAATCTCTGCTGGGTTAATACCATTAGTAGAAGTTCGTGCAAAATTTGTCCTATAGTTTCCGTTGCATCATTTCCTCAAAAAAATTTTAGTCAAGGCTCTTGCTTCACAGAGCCAAGTCCAAAATTTGTACAAAAAGCTAAAGAATGTAGCTCGACCCTTTAAAATTTGATTATGCAGAAGTGGAGGCAATGTCATGAGCGGTGTTGCCACTGGAGTCTGGAGATGGTCTTGGTTTAACAGGTGTAGGTTTCTTCACAGGAGGAGGTGGAGGTGGCCTGTTTGGATAAACCTGACTGACTTTTTCTGGATGAATATCAAACTGCAATGAACAAAAGAAATGACATCACATCCATAGAAAACTTTTTCGGCAGGAAAGTAGAGCTATAAACACAGTACACTACACAAGTAAACTTTTCCCCTGATCTTCTTGCTCATAAATGTATCAGCTTCTATTTTCAATTTCAGGAATCAAAGTTAGCTTAGCATTTGTCCGCAAAGCACTTCAACTCAGTTATGATTTCTGATAAAAAGACACAAACCTATCGTCGAAGGGTTACATGAAAGCTGGAAAACCATGCGATTATCAAACTAAGATCTTTAACATGACTTTTTAATTATGGGCATTTTGGTCCAGAAACCACTCTACCATCAAATAAAGACACAAGTCACACAATAATGATTCAACGCCAAATCCATTACATGTTCAGTCCTTTTCACTTTTGACAAAGCAGTTAATTAACAAATTTCTCACATTTGTAAAGCCATTTATCATTTTAGTAAAAAAAAATGTTAATAATAGTATCAGTATTTAAGAAAGTCTATTTTAGAATTTTATCGCAATATTAATAACTTTCAATTGAAATTCATATGCTACACTTCATATGTGCTACTTATGCATGAAAAAGATAAGAATACAACCAAAGAACTTCAATTTTTGTAACCAGAAGTTTAGGCTTACCTTAAAACCACAGCCAGATTTACATGCATGAAAGCAATCCTGCATGGATTAAAAAGGTGGTAGAACTAAATTGTCGAAAAAAGCAATGAGAGTTCCCAATCATCAGGCTTGAATAATGTACAGATCAAGAAGACAGCTTTGCAATTTGAAACTAAGGGGCATAAATACACTCAGGAGTTTCTTTCTATGCCAAGGATGCGTCAACAGAAAAAACAATCAAACAAAATCTGGTATGGCAGCACAATCAAACAATTTGTTTTGCACATCTGCACACAACTCAACAATCAATGATAATGCTCAATGTTTTTAATATCTCTGTTGATCAAAACTGGTAGATCAAAACAGGCTACATCCCCTGATGGATGATGTTATCAATATATCTATTTCCTAAGTGAACTTCTTCGTCTCAAGTCCAAAAGAATTATACAATTCAGTAGAATCCCTAATGAAACTAATACTACTCAGTGATTCAGAAAACTTCACTAACTTCACTAAGATGACTAATATCTATAAATTATGGACCAGTCCACCTCATAAAATAAAATGTTGTAGTAGGTCCATTCCAATACTAAAGAAAAAAATTTAGTTCGACCATCTTCCTGACGACACCTCTAAACTTGACCAACTAACTGATGGAAGGATACCTGACTAGAAATAAACTAACCAGGATACCTGACTAGAAATAAACTAACCAATGCCATAGGAACTTCTATATAACTAGACAACTAACAAATAGCCAGGTAAACCAGTTTATTATGGACACTCTACTACCCAAGATTTTTGAAGAGACTTCACCACATTCATGTTTTTTTTGCACCATTAAACTTAAGCGCATACTTCAGGGTTTCATAACCAACCGTCAGAAAGAAAAATTATAAACGAGAAACAAACAATAGATGTGCATAAATAATGTCTAAAAAATGAGTGCTACAATTAGGCAACAAGGGTTTGACTAGGCAGGAAGGAGTGAAAACCTCAGAATAGCGGGTAGCACCAGGAGACCGGTCTATGTAAGCACTCCACTTTTGATCCTTGAAAACTGGATCTTTATAGCAGATCTCATCGCATTCCGTCAAACCTGAATATTGATAAGCTAGTTATCTTGTAGTTGAAATCACATAATGGGTGATTAATAACATTTGCTTTTACGAGAAAACTATGGGAGAAAAAGGGCAACCATAGGCATGTTAAAATGAGAGGCGTGTGCAATCATTAAGAGAAATGACTTCACAGAACAAATTAATAGTATGGCCATTTAGAGAAACTCCTCGACAAGTACATTAGGTGCATCACAACTCAAAATTAGTCATGCTCGCAAAAGCCTTTGACAACTTTCAGGTATAAGATGGCTATTTATAATATTCACTCAGAATCGACTAACTAGCTCCAAACAAATTCTCGGTTATATGAAATCCAAAAGATGACCATAACATGCAATTTATTGTCTGACTCGTGCCAAGTTTACCTTTAAAAGATCCCACATAAGATTAAGTCAATCTTCCACAGCAGGCAACACATAATGTTAAAAAAAGGAACGGTGAAAGGTCGTTACTTACATTCTTCCCATGTATCACCATCAGCATCGCACCCCTTTTTGCAAAACACTCTCCCTACAGAAATTCAGTAAGGATGAATAAGCAAAGTTGGCTCCTCGACTGAGACGTCAATTATGCAATTATTCGTGTTTTCACACAACACGCCGAGGAAGTGGACAACTAGTTTGGAAACAAAATGATGGCAAAAAATCTTCCTAAAACGAGTGATCAACACATGCATTTTCAATTCTTACAGATGAGTTACTTTTACTACTTTAGCTAATTTAGAGGAGTTGTAACTTGTAAGCAAAAATATAAAAAAAATAAAAAATTACAGCATTTATTACACAAAAACAATCTCATTCATATGTTTCCCCCTCCAATACAAGTATCACTTTATTGCAAAAATTCATATATCAAAAAAACAAAAAAAAACCTTTCGTGGCCCAAAAGAAATTCATAACCATTAATAGATTAAGAAGCTCAAGTCCAATTGTGTTCTTTCAAAAAGATCCTTTATACAAAGCATGCTTATAATCTCAAAATCCAGGACAGATACAGAATGATTACACGAAAAATAAACCTAAGATACTGGAAATAAATCGGGAATTAGAACAAGAACAACAACAGAAAATGCTATTTAAGGAAATAAATCGAGGGGGAAGCATCTTACAGGGAATTTGCATGAGGGCGGAGTATTTGAGGGTGCACTCATTGTTACACGGCGGTTTCCAGTGCGGCGGAATCACGTCCCTCATCTTTTTTTTTTTTTTCTTTTTCACTTCTTTCCTTCTATCAACCCCTCTCTTCTTCTCTGCTGATTGGCGAAAGAATGATGGACGACCGTTGGCAGAAGAAAGAGGAGGAACCGAGGAGGAAGGGACTGAAAATTTTTGGTTCTTTTGTCTGAATGGATCAAGGCCCAATCTAGGATATGTCCAAGCCAGAGGCCCCAAAGTACTCATTTCTTCTTTTTTAAGAAAATGTTACTTTTCTTAGCACTACCAGAAAGTGAGATTTGTGGTGAAGATTCCAAATTTTCGTATGTGGACCGCAGAATCCTTTATCGCGGCCCACTATAGTGTATTCAATAAAATTCGACGTGGACCGCATCATTCATAAAAAAAACATTAAACCGAGCTCACATGTATAATTTTTGGCCAATTTTTATAACAATCCGATTCATTCATTTTTAATTGTGAAATTTAAAAAGCTTTGTTATTTATTTATTTCTTTCTTTCTTTTTTTTTAATTTTTTGTTGAAAGGAGGCTTCGTTATTCTCGAGAGGCAGGCATTTATTTATTTTATGACTAATTCAGGTTTTGTACATTTCTTTTTTTCTAAAAAAAAAAGTTTTCTTGTTTTATCAACATTTCATTAAGGATTGAATTATGTATAGCTAATATTTTAAAAAATTTTAAAAATTATTGTACTACAATGCTAGTAAGTAGTTCTATTATTTTGAAGGAAAAAAATTAAGGAAAAGAAAGTGAAATTAGTTGACCAAAGCTTTTTGTCTTCGTATCATTTCCGAAATCAGAAAAGCAGCGAGGATGGCAGTGCACAGTGCACTCGTGAAAGAAAGTGCAACAGGCCAAAATTAGTTAAAACTTTCTGGAAAACATTTGAGGAGCAACAAACCAAACGAAAGAGAATAGAAACAAAGAACAGCGGAGTAAGTAAAACAGAATCAGAAATATGGGTTTGAAGACATGGCAGATTATGGCATTGCTGCCTGTCTTGGCAGCTCTGCTACTCGTCTTTGTGGATATTCCTTTCAAGGTTTGTTCTTCACGAGATGTTTTTATTCCCTCATCTGTTTCTCAAATTTTTCTTTTTTATTGATTCTGCAATTTTCTGCTATTATTGCGTATAAGCTGTTACGGGTTCGTCCAAATTATGATGTTTTTCTTTGCATTTAAGGAGAACCCATCTTCCAAAATGAGTAAAACCGTCCTTCTTTATGATTGCTCTTGTGCAAAATGATACATATATTGATATGCAAAGGGGTGCCGTTTAACTAAATGGATAAAGATAAAAATTTGCAGCAATCCTTGTTCAAGTGCTTGTTTCTGCTAGTTGTATGATGTTTTGTAGAACTGTTAGAAGCGCAGTAATCCAATATCAGTATCCAGTAATATATATGTTAAGTTGGGCCCTGTTTGATTGCCTGATTGGGGAACAGTATTGTCAGTGTGATTGCTATACTAATTGAAGACCCTAAAATCTGGATTTTATTTTGTTTCGGCACTGCAGCGTTCTGCAAGTGAGTGCAGCCTTTATCCTCACGCCCACTTTTGGATAGCTAGCAAGCGGATTGTTACCCCAAATGGAGTCATCTCTGGTGCAGGTTTGTACTGTATGCTTCATCTTTCAGAACTTCTGTGCCTATGAAACACCCAGGAGTAAAAATTTCAAAACTACTAGGTTTACGATGAGTACATGGGCATTCAGATGTATTGATCAGGTCTTTTCTTGTAACTTTTCAAGTGATATCACTGGATTTGGGGGCTGTGTTCATTTGTTTCTGCTGTTCCTTTTGAATTGAACTTTCAGCTGAAGAGAAGCAGTTAATTGCATAGAGATGATATATTGTATTCCTCACTTGTAAATTGACAGTGGAAATCAGAGGAGAAAAAATAGCATCCCTAGTTGAAGGAGACCATTGGCAAAGCATTGTCAAGAGTCAGCAAGTAATTGACTACGGCGATGCTGTTATCATGCCTGGGTTGATCGATGTGTAAGTTGGAGATTTTACCTTTATCTTCTTCATATACTGTCCCCAATCAATTTCATTTCTCCTTGGCTGATATGTAAGACACTAGAGAGTGTAAGGGAATTCCTAATACTTTACAATTGGGAAGTAGTCTGGAAATTATCTTTGAATTGCTTTGGAAGCTATTAGAGGTGTGTTTGGTTGAACAAACTTCTGCCCGTACTTGGACTTCATTGGCACTTTTCCCTATAATGTGCAAATTGAAGTTTCCTGTGGTAATTTAGCCAATTGGATTGTGAATAAGATGCTTCATCAAAATTGATCAATGTGTGTTTGTTCTCATTAGCTCTCTTGCAATAAATCACGATGCAGACATGCACATCTTGATGACCCGGGTAGGGAAGATTGGGAAGGATTTCCTTCAGGAACAAGAGCAGCTGCTGCAGGTTTTTTCCCCTTCTTCCTTAACTTTGATTTTAGAGAATAAATTTTTCTCAAAGTCTTCAGTAGACGAGGTTTATGAGGTTGCTGATTCCACATCAGATACTAAAGTACTCTCGAAAAGTTTTCTTTTCTGGTGTTGCCAATTTTTATTATCTGTCAATTTTAAAGCCTTATCTGGGTGATGTACATCATGGTAAATACAATATCTTCATTATATGAACAGTCGCTTTGTCATTGCAGGTGGTATTACAACATTGATTGACATGCCTCTGAATAGTTTTCCATCTACTGTTTCTGCGGAAACTCTTGCTCTCAAGGTATAACTGGATTACCTTGTGGCTAATTGAAGAAGCAAGTACCACAGCTCATCCTTACCTGTTCAGGCTCCATATCTTCTGCTTTTGGTTACTATGATCATGTAATAATGACCAAACCTTTGCAAAAGGGACAGAAAACTGGGCAGGGATGCATGTCATTAGTGAAGTCAAAACTTGGAGGATTTTTTTTTAAAAAATTCTTAAGTTGCTAGCTAGATTCTTACCTTATCTGACAAGCAAAAGAATGTTTTTCAGCCAAACTAGTATTTTCTTTGCAAGTTTTATCTTTTACTTCTTTTCACTAATGATGACAGCTCCAAGCTGCTGCTGGAAGGATATATGTTGATGTTGGTATGCTCTTGGAACTCTATATCAGATTATCAATTTTGTTGATTTGTCCAGTAATTATCTCCAGTTAACAGGTTTTTGGGGGGGCCTGGTACCAGAAAATGCTATGAACACAAGTACTCTGGATGATCTTCTGAAAGCTGGAGTTCTTGGACTTAAGGTATAGTAAGATACTCTTGACCTTACAAGTCAAATTATTTCTGCTGATATGGGCCTCTGCTGAATTCTGTCTCCACATTCCTGGCTTTGGCAATTTGATGTTCTCTTATTTGTTCTGCAGTCCTTTATGTGTCCTTCTGGGATCAATGACTTTCCTATGACAAATATTAGTCATATTAAGGTAGTCTCCTTTACCTGACCACTCTCTTTAGTCCAGTCTATTGTTTGGCTATAGATTGAAGTATGTTAGCATCCTGTGTAATTTGCTATGTCATTCTTACCATAGGAAGGACTTATTACACTAGGAAAATATAGAAGGCCTCTACTTGTGCATGCTGAAATTCCACAAGATCAGGAAGACAACTCAGAGCATGAAGATGGTTCCAGAGACCCTAGGTCTTACGCTGTATATCTGAAATCAAGGCCTGCTTCTTGGTAAGATAAGAGAAAATTGCAAATTTCCAAATTTTCATTTCTAAGTTGTTGTCTGGATTTCAAAGATATTTCTCCTGAAGCTACTTGCTCTATGCATTATTTAAGATGAGAAAAATTTCTGAAGTTGCATCTTGCTCGTGACTTCAGATCATTTAAACTTACCTTGATCAGATGAAGCTTTTCTTGACATATGCTCCTTCAATTCCTGAAACAGGGAGGAGGCAGCTATTAGAGATCTTTTGACTGTATCTTCAGACACAAGGATTGGAGGCGCTGCAGAAGGAGCTCATCTTCACATTGTTCATCTGTCAGATGCAAGATCTTCACTGGAGCTCATTAAGGCATTTTCCCCTATTTGCTTATAGTTTCTAGTCAAATCAGTTGTGTTGCTAGCTAGTAGCTATCAGTTTAGTGCAAATTTTTATCTCAAGGTGGTAGGAGAGGGATTGTAACCTCGAGGTTCTAAGTTTTCATCTAAGAAGCTACAATCTTAAACCCCCCATGGTTTTCATGGTGGTCATTATTTTTCAATAATATACTAAAATGAAAGATTTCTCTGATTATTTTTATCTTATTCAAGTTGACAAGTTTCTCTTTGTTCTAGGAAGCAAAGAAGAGAGGTGATAGTGTGACTGTTGAAACATGCCCCCACTATCTGGCATTTGCTGCTGAAGAGATTCCAGATGGAGACACTCGCTTTAAGTGTGCTCCCCCAATCCGCGATGCTGCTAATAGAGAAAAACTATGGGGTGCATTGATGGTAGTGTTTAGATGTATATTGCTTGTCTTTTTTCTCTATTCTCCTTACTTGTTGTGTAGCTTTTGAATGTAATGGTTAAACATATTTTTAATTCACCCAAAAAAGATTCTCAGGATTCATTTCCTGTTCCAGGAGGGGGATATTGACTTCTTAAGCTCAGATCATTCTCCGTCTGTGCCAGAACTCAAACTTTTCAATGAAGGTGATTTCTTGAGGGCATGGGGTGGCATATCTTCTTTGCAGGTTAGTGTGTTTAAGATAGCTTTTACAATTGCTGCAATTTTATTCTCATTTAACCAACTGTTGAATGCATTTACTTCTAACATGAATCTCCAGATGGTGCATCATGTGAAAGAGATTTGGTCTTTTTAGATGTTGGAATAGTGTCCTTACTAATGACTGTGGTCTTTTGATTATTACTATTGCTGCTTCATCTGTGTGCATGTGCTCCTGCAGTTTGTTCTCCCTGTGAGTTGGTCATTTGGGAAAAGATATGGGATTTCTTTGGCGCAATTAGCTTCATGGTGGAGTGAGAGGCCAGCCAAATTCTCTGGGTTAACCACCAAGGTAGATGATTAGCCTTTTCGCCAAAGTTCTCTTCTTTATTAACAAAATAATGATGTCTGTACCTGGACCTATAATTACCCAATCCACGCGTCCTTGGAGCCTTTTGTTTATAGGTTCATGTGTAAGTGTTGCTGGTGACAATCCCACAATTTATGCAGGGAGAAATTGTTGTTGGATATCAATCAGATTTTGTCGTGTGGGAACCAGAAACAGAAGTTAATCTGGATGATAATCATCCTGTATTTCACAAGCACCGGGTACTTTTCATTTATCACGCCTAAATATAAGACACGATGCTTGTTACTTTATTCTCTGGTCTTTGGTGTTCCGCATTGCTTTTATGAGGTCAATTACTAGTCAACATAAGACCAAAGAAAAACTCAAAAGAAAAAGCATTTCAATGCAGAATATCTCTGCCTACATGGGATCAGGGCTCTCAGGGAAAATATTGGCCACTTTTGTGAAGGGGAACCTCGTGTTTAAGGAAGGAAAGCATGCTCTCGCATGCGGATCCACAATCCTTGCAAAGGTTTAAGGGAATAAATTTCTGGTTAGTCTCAGTTTAATGACTTTCATCTACTCTAATTTTCTACTTACCCCTTCTACTCTGCTTTTATGCCATTTATCTTGTGTGTTTCACTATACAGTGGACTGATTCTTGAAATTCATCAGGAAGTTCTGCGTTGTGTCGACTGTCAAACGGGGCTAACAACTACATTGCTTTACCACCTATTACAATACACCTGCATTTCAAGAGAGCCGGTGGAAGGCACTCACGATATAAAAGTTTGGCGTGGGAGGCACTCGGGACAGAAAAAGTTCGGGAAGCAGTACAGCTCATCTCAGTTTGTATCTTCTTGCATTAGCACTTGGGTAGTTGTCTGTACATGTATATATATGCTGCTCGTTAAGAATTGGATTTTACACCTTGTGAAGAAGGCCCCTAATGTTTTAGCATAGCTCCTGGAACTAGAATGGAAGAATTCCCATAATTTCTTGCCACACTGCTTTCTGACTAGCTTGACAGTCTAATCTCTAATCAGTAGCCTGTGCTGACTTTTCTCAAATTTCCCTATTCTAAAATTGGAAGGACTTCTCTCTATCAAATGCTAAAGCGATTATAATGCATTCCTATTGGTGGCCAACTTAACTAGTCGACTAAGTTGGTTGTTGACTAGAATAACCGGGAAGAATGGAAGTCCAGATTAACTTTCTGATTGATATTCAGTACACCATTATGTCTGACAAGCATCACATTCAATCAAAATCACATATACGTATAATTGGTTCTCAATTATTCGTTTTTGTTCCAAATAAATATATTTCTCATAAGTTCGATTAAACAAAATCAAAATCACAGATAAGTATAAAACAATTATTCGTTCTGTTCCAAAGAAATATGTTTCTCTCATAAACAAAGCTTCGTAGGAGGAAGAATACCTTTTTATTTAATCAAAATCATGATAATACATACATTTAAGGTCTATAGGTTTGACTAATACTAGTACTCCAAACACATCAAGACTTGGAAGTATAGTAGTGCTCGAAAACATGCGATCCCCGCCCAAACCCTTCCCTCCAATTTTTTTTAACAGGATAAGATAATCCCTTTGTGTTTTCCAGAAACTCCATACATACAAATTCAAATTCTTCCATGAACCTCCACCACCACCACCATCATCACAGCCTCATCACTCTCCATAAACCGCCACCTTACCTTACATTCTTCAGCCGCCGGAAAACCATCAGACGTCATCTCGTTTGCTTCTCCTCCGACTCGACTCATAAGCTCAAACTTGCCCAATCACTCCAATCCGAAACCCTCCAGATTCTAGAATGGCCCGCCGTCTGTGCCCAGCTTTCCGCTTTCACCTCCACTTCCATGGGACTCGCCGCGGCCCAATCGGCCAGGATTCCTTTGGGAAGAAGCCCAGAAGAGAGCAAGACCCTTCTGGCTCAGACCACTGCCGCGTTGGGCATTCCTCAGCGGCTGGATTTCTCCGGGATCAAGGACGTTTCGCCCATTCTTGAGTCTGCCGTCGCTGGTAATTTGCTCACTGTACAAGAACTTTGTTTGTTAAAGCTGACATTACGTTCAGCTAGACATTTGGTCGAACAGTTGGAAGGTTCTTCAACGGATGAACATTTATCCGCAAGGTAGAGGAAAAATACATTTTTTGTTAAAAAACTTAGAGATGCTCATTCTGTGATTGAATTTGTGAGAATTTATTGACCTGAAGTCCTAAACTTTAAAACAAAATTTTAATGTTGTGACATCTGAGTTAATCTTCTAATCGGTATCATTGTAGCTTAAAGTTTCATTTAGAAAAATTAAAGCAAGGGGTAAATGTTTTGAAATAGAATCCCTCCTCTACCCCTCCTTCATGAGTGTAGAGCTTGGTCCCAGAAAGAGCAGTTATCAATTTGAAACAAGATCCGTTATCTTGAATCATGGAATCCGATAAATTTACTTGCTCGAGAAGTTGTAGATATTTCTGGGGTGAGCTTATGAGGCATCAATGATCAATGCATGAATGCTCTGTTACATTTATGGATAAATATTACGTTTTGCTTCCCGGTTGAGTGCATCGGCGAGGGAGATATTTATGTTTGATGGATCCTCATAGTGTCTCAACAAGAGCTGTAACTTTTTTGTTTGGAAATAGTATAAGATTTTGGATGGAAATAGCTAATCGTTGTTCTTAGCTCATGTAAAAGCTTCTGCATAGTGCATTTTAAAGCTAAAGGGTGAGTCTAAGGGGTCTCATCTGTCTTATTGTACCCAAACAGGTGTAGCCCTCTGCTTGAGATCCTTCAAGGTTGCAATTTTCTCAACCAGTTGGAGGAGAAAATAGAGTTCTGTGTCGACTGTAAATTTTCACAAGTACTTGATAGGGCCAGCAAGGAGTTGGCTTTTATTAGGTCCGAAAGGAAGAAAAACATGGAAAGTTTGGATACAATGCTGAAGCAGACCTCAAATCGGATATTTCAGGCTGGTGGAATTGACAAACCACTGGTAACTGAACGTAGATCACGGCTGTGTGTGGCAGTTAGAGCTTCCCACAGATCGCTTATTCCTGATGGTGTAGTTCTAGATGTTAGCAGTTCTGGAGCAACATATTTTATGGAGCCTAGGGAGGCTATTAATCTGAACAATGAGGAAGTAAGACTGTCTGACAATGAGAAGATGGAGGAGCGAGTGATTTTAAGCCTTCTTACATCTGAGATTGCAGAATTTAAGTCAGAAATCAAACACTTATTGTCTAGAGTTCTTGATCTAGATCTTGCTTTTGCCAGAGCTGCACATGCCAAATGGATGGAAGGGGCTTGTCCAATTTTTAGTTCAGAGAGTTCTGAGGGTTCTGCATCCAGTTCATTTCTCGTGAACATTGAAGGCATACAGCATCCTTTGCTCCTGGAGTCCTCCTTGCAAAAATCACCCAATCTTGTTAAATCTGTATCCAAAAAATCCAAAGAACAGTCCCTCAACAATGATTCCAAAACCCTAGTTAAATCTCCTGTACCTGTTGATATCAAGATTGTGGACAATGTGAAAGTTGTCGTAATATCAGGACCTAATACTGGAGGCAAAACTGCATCCATGAAGACCTTAGGACTGGCTTCTATCATGTTCAAAGCTGGCATGTACTTGCCTGCTCAGAACAATCCACAGCTTCCCTGGTTTGATTTTATTTTGGCAGATATTGGAGATCAGCAGGTACATGGCTCTTCCACTTCCATCTGTAAGTGTCTTTTTCTTTTGAAATTTGAATCCATCATCTCTGATCTAAAAATAGTTTGACAACTGCTTTTTTATTGTAGTCTCTTGAACAAAGTCTTTCTACTTTTAGTGGGCACATTTCAAGACTTCGTAAAATTTTGGAAGCCACATCTGAAAAATCTCTTATCCTTATTGATGAGATTGGCAGTGGAACTGACCCTTCTGAAGGTGTGGCTCTCTCTGCCAGCATGTTGCAGTATGTTGTTGATAGGGTTAAATTGGCTGTTGTCACAACACACTATGCTGATTTGACTCGATTGAAAGAAAAAGACAATCGATTTGAAAATGCGGCTATGGAGTTTTCATTGGAGACTTTACAACCTACTTATAGGATGCTTTGGCGAAGCACAGGAGAGTCAAATGCTATAAGCATAGCTAAATCAATTGGCTTCAATGGAAAGTTGATTCAACGTGCACAAGAATGGTTAGGCAAGTTGACTCCTGAAAAGATGCAGATGCAAAAAGGGTTGCTATACCAGTCCCTTGCAGAGGAAAAAAATATATTAGAAATGCAGGCAACAAAAGCTGCTTCCCTACACTCTGATGTTATGAGTATCTACAGCGAGGTACATAATTCATTTGCATGAAATCAGTAATATATTCCCTGCATTCTGTGGATATCGTAGAACTTATGATCTGATGGATTCCAATGCCTGATCTACTTTAGGCAAAGATTTATTTCGCCTAGCTGAATGCGGATTTACATTCTTCTAGTACTTGGTTCAGGTGATTTGCATCATTTGAAACGGAACATGGAAAAAATTAGATTGTTAAATAAACAATACCATTAGTCACAGGCTATGGTGAATTTGGTTACATGTTTAACCTGCTCTGGTTGGATTTATATATAAATTGCACAGAAAGGTAACCTCGGCATTGTTACTTAGGAGTTAGGATAGCATTTTTGAACTCTTCTCTGGACAATTTCTGTAGGTTGTGAGACCACCATTTTTATTGATGTTTATACATCTACTTATACGCATGTGAGTCCATGTGAGTTAGTCTTCATCTTCCTGAATTTTGTTGGCCCTCTTTTGTGTTGGTTATAGTTGGAATATGATGAATACTTTTCTGTATATCCTTAGTGTCTCTTACTTTTCAACTGCTGAAACTTCCTTATTTTTCTTAATTGAAGATATACAATGCGGCAGATGACCTTGATGGTCGTGTAGCAGCTCTTAAGGCTAAAGAAAGACAGCGGATGTTAAATGAATTGAAAGCAGCAAAGACACAGATTGCAAATATTGTACGTGACTTTGAGAACCAGCTCAGTAGTGCTGATGCTAATGAGTATAATGTGCTCCTGAAGAAGGCAGAATCTGCAATTAATTCCATTGTCGAAGCTCAAAGGCCTAGCAATGATCCTTCAATTGGGGATACAGCCAGCCAGTTTTATGAACCCAAACCTGGTGAAAAGGTCCTTGTCAAAGAGTTGGGAAATAAGTTAGCTACAGTTATTGAAACGCCTGGGGAGGATGACATGGTCCTTGTGCAATATGGAAAAGTCAAAGTCCGTGTTAATAAACGTACTATAAGAGCGCTGGAAAATGCTGACGTAAGTGGTGGAATGGCATCTGTATCAAGTTCTAAGAGGCAGCAGGTACGAGGACTATATTGGTGTTTGGTTATATCGTACACTTGTGAATATTTTATATCCTCATATGTAGATTTGTGTAAGTGGTTATCATAATTTTTAGCTCTCATTTGGCCTGTCAAGCATATAAAATATGTTTTGCCATAAAATTTCTTCCAGTTCAAACTAATCTATGCATGCGTTTTGGGAAAGGGTCCAACTGCGTATTCCATGGAATTTGATTGACAAACTTGTTCAACGTTTAAGCTGTGGCTCCCTTTAGTGGAACTAATGTCTGTAGGTTTTTGTCTGCTTACATAATTCTGAATATACCTTCCACTGTGTCTCATTACCCAACATATCTGAAAGCATACTGAGGAAAAGTAGTAATTTCTTCTTCTTTTTTTTTTGGAAAAGTCAAAAGGAAATACAGAAGATGATCATGTTCACGTAGCATCATTAGCAACAATACATGAAGATACCTATATGAAGTAGTAATTTCCATTTCGAACTTTTAGTTAAAAGTCCTGCTCTTTTCCTACGTGTATCATTAAATTGCGGAAGCAGTGGTGTGGACCAGAGGAAGCATGGAACACTGAGTTTTGATCATTTGTTGCATCTGTATTGCAGGGTTTGGTAGTGAAAAATCTCAAGGATCTGAGGGATTTCTCCGAAACAATTAATAATGAGGAGGTTTCATATGGCCCTGCGGTTCAAACATCCAAAAATACTATTGATTTACGAGGTATGAGAGGCGAGGAAGCAACTCGCGAGCTCGAGATGGCCATCAATTCAAGAGGTCCAGGTTCAGTCATTTTTATCATTCATGGGATGGGAACTGGGGTAGTGAAGGAGCGTGCACTCCAATTGCTGAAAAGTCATCCACGTGTAGCCAAGTTTGAGCAGGAAAGTCCTATGAATTATGGTTGTACAGTTGCTTATATGAAGTGAATTGCACCAGTAATCCTCACTGCTAATCCCTTATTGAATTCTTTCGTATTCTCGTACATAATGCTGTTGCTTGAGGTTATAAACTTTGTTTGCACATTTTAGTCCAGTACATAGCAAGCCTTACCACATTATTTTATCAGGTCTGATATAAAGAATTGGCTCTTCTTTTTGTACGGGCATATGTCCTTTGCGTTTTGCCTTGAGGGCCATTCTTATTGCAAATATTATACCTACTTGCGTTCCTCAAAGGGGCAAGAGCTTCAGAAATTGAGTAACAAGTTATCAGAGAATATTTGTCCGTCTGAGTTCTTGGTGTCTTTCAGTAACTTTCAGTGCTAGAAGGAACTAAAAGTAACTGGCGATCAAGTTCCTAGCTTATAGTAGTATTAAGTTAGCAAAGCCCTACACAATATAGAAAAACATATACTCCCTACGTCTTAAAATAATGATTGTTCATTTGTAATTAAATTTAAAATTCAAACAAAATAATCATTTTAAGATGGAGCGAGCACCATAAGAAATCTGATGCTTTTGTCGAAAATAATGACTTGTGGACGAATGTATTAGTCTGCCTCCAAGGTTTCTTAAGTGTAGCATAATCTGAAGTGGTTAATTAAATTGAAGCATATAATTGCAAGACTTTAGTTACCGTTATGAGAAAATGAAATAGCAAGAAAGTCGACAAGTGAAAAGGGCCCTGGGCTGGCCTTATGATTTTTGCAAAGAAAGTAGGTTACTATGGTTCGCTCTCAGAACCAAAATATATTGGAATACCTCTTTTTTTTTTTTTTTTCTTTTCCTTGTTTGATTAAATTATAAGTACGATTTATAATACCTTGAATCACTGAACGGCTAAGACTTAAATTTAAATAAAAAAAAACACGTTTAAGAGGAAGTAGAATACACACATCACTGTTCTATAAACAATAAGCAGATTGAAAATATATTTTTTTCTGCTCAAAATTATTGTATCCTATTTGTTCTGTTATTTTTAATACAACAAACAGAGGTATAATTATTTTGGAACATATGAAATACTAAAAAAATCGTTGTTATCAAATAATAAATTTCTTGTACGATGAAGTTTTAATATTAGAGTATCAATGCTAGATCTTAGACTAAAGATTAAAAAAATATACAGATTATGAGGACAATGATTTTGTGTGATATTTTTATTGTGGCTGTATACATCATGGTAAATATCGTGGTTGTCATTAGTTTTAGCCTGTCTTTGATTTTTTTTTTTTATTATAATAACTGTGCTTCTGTTATTTAGTAGTACATCTTTTGTGCCTGAAACCATTTTTTGTTCATAATTCCGAATCAAAATTCAAGTGATCTTACAGCATAAAAACTAATGGTGATATAGCTAGCGTAGAACATTTACTTCTCAGGCTTGAAAATTTGTTGGCAAGTAGTACATTTATGCTATAGATGAGAATGATGGTCAGATTCTGAATTAGCTATGGAGATTGCAGGTAACCGTACATTCGGTTCATAAATGAACACATGAATATTACTGATTAGAATAGACACGTTGTTGTTATATGATGTATATCATCTGAGAGTCGAAACTAACGACGTCAGATTCTGCTAACTCTTAAAATATTTGGTCACATTGTATATTGGTTGTCGAGCATTAACGGAGTTATGGTAATCTCTCTGATTCATTTTAGCGGTGTAAGGCTAGAGCAAGGTAAGAAGCCGCAATGCCACGTGTTGGATTTCCGGAATAGAGAAGTTTTAGCTCACAGATTACATGTTTACTGTCCTGAGTTGCCTAAGCTTAATTAGCTTTCCCCCCTTCACCTGGATTTTGCTGTTTAATTGAGGAATTTCGGACCTTTTTGATGTAGTTGATGATGAATTGCGTGATGTGTTAATGTAAAGCTTCTTCATTCACTGCTTTCTCAGAGCGCACCGCTTTCTTTTAGAGACGTGTAGTGGAGAAACTGAAGAATGATGAATGTTTTTTGTCAGCAAGTCCGAAGCATCTGACAGCAACACCCACGTTAATGAGGCAGCTGCCACCTGCTTGTTCATCCCTTGACACGTTGTTCCTCACCTCCTTCCCACCCCTTTTGCATCATCATCTGTAACCTCTTTTTACGTTACGGAGTTTGGAAGTCCCTCGGATAAGGATCCACCCCCTCTCCCTTTCCCCTATAAATAGCCTAGCCTGTTCATGGAATAATGAATTCAGAGCACAACAAACATTGTGAGTTTTAGTATATATTCAGTGAGAAGATGTTGGGAGTGTTTGACAGGTTCACTGGGAAGCAGCCTGAGGAACTAATGTTCCCTCTGCTGAAGCGTCCTGATTGGATGAGAACCTATTATGATGTGCGGCAGTTTTATGTCAGGTTTAAATCTGACTCGGACATAACTATCTACAACTTCGCCAATGGGAATTTCATGTCTGTTTCCCATAAGGATGAGCTAAGGTACTAATATTTGTGATTGATGGCTTGTAAATATAAATAAATGAATAACCCCTTCTAATATATGTGTAATAATTGTTGTGGATTAATTCAGGACGGTGATGGTGATGGATGATATCTTCTGCATGTTCTTCGGGACACTCGACAACCTTTACGATCTCCGAGCGTACTATGGGCTGTCGAGAAGTGAAACTGAGGCAATGGTGGTTTGTGCTGCGTACAAGGTCCTGAGAGACCGTGCCGTCTTTTCTCCGGATCAGGTTGTCAGAGAGTTCAAAGGCAATTATGCCTTCATGCTGTTTGATACCAAATCCTCCAGGGTTTTCCTTGCCAGGGTACGTATGTTAATGAAACTACTTTATAATATTTATTCCCTCATTTTGTAACTTTTCAATCCGTAACGTCTACTTGTTGTTATATACACAGGACCGCGATGGAAAAGTGGATCTTTACTGGGGAACTGCTGCTGACGGGTCATTAGTCTGCTCTGATGACTCCAACATCATCAAGGGCGCTTGTGGCGACTGTTTCATTCCCTTCCCTCCAGGTTTTTTGTTCGTTGGAGAAATGGCAGCGATAGTCTAAAAAAATGGCTCAAAACCCTTTCTTTTTTTTTTGGGTTGGTAAAATTGTGTTTCCTTTGGTTTCGATAATGCAGGGTGTTTCTTCCTGAGTGGGTATGGACTGGTGAGCTATGATCACCCGAATAACCCGATGAAGAAGGTGGAGCGCAAGGACGAGTTGGGAAGGATCATCTCAGCGGCGTTTGAGGTGGATTTGGACAACAAGGTATCAGTCATTCCGCGCTGTGGCAGCGGGGACGAATGGTCGCTCCCCCCAGCTCTGGAGTTCAACAACTGGACACTTGGCCCGCCATCTTCGGGCAACCTGACCGGCTACTACAAGAAAGACAAGGAGCATGTCCAGATGGTGCAGGGCCTACAGCTGCAGGAGGTGGCGGTGCCGCAGGCGGTGCAGGAGGTGCAAGTAAACTGGGACAAAATTATCTCACCCAGCGATACCGTTGAAGACGACGTCGTCGTCGACGACGACGAGGTGGACGACAGCCGCCTCAAAGTGCAGCAGCTCGCCATTTGGACAGTCCCCTCCACCAGCAACCCAAACAACAACAACGAGAATTAATCAGCAGTAGCTCTAGCTTGCTAGCTTGCTACCTTGCTTGCTCGCTCTCGTTGTTTCTGTCTGGCTAATAAAAGAAGGCGTCTTCACAGCTTTGATGTTTCTGCAGTTTGGTCGGTCCATGTCGACCCTTTAATAATTTCCTTCTTTTTGTTTTCCCCCCCTGTGTGTTTTGAGTCTCTGAACTCCGTGAAATGTAAAATATTTTCTTTTCCAGTGTGTAATGTTTTCCTCCATCAATAATAACAAAGCTGGCCTTCTCTGTGTGTTGTCAATATATTCATTTGTCCAATCCATTTTTTCTTTCATTCGTGAATTAATGAATTTTATGACATTTTCTATTAAACACACTTTTGTTTTATTATTACCATTTACCACACAAATAACTTTTGCAGACACTGTATATTTGAAGGACTTATAAAATCCTTAGTACATTGGAATAATACGATCTAATCTAATAATAACGGATGTACTTCTGATAGCAGTGGTGGGGATTAGTTTAATTGTTTGTTTTGATGTTGGATCCGAAGCCGTTTCCTCCCATTGCATGTTTTCCGGTGTCAGTGTCAGGAGGAGTTGTGATTTGGTTCTGACCCGAATTGAGTGCTGTTGTAAGAATGAAGCTTTGTGAATGGCAAGTGAGACAATTTGATGGGTAGCACACGAATGGCCCTCCTCCCATTCCTCCCGCACAGTTGCTTCCACCGTTCCATCCACCACCTCCTCCACCACCACCGGGTCCACCCCCATTGCCAAAGCTGCCGCCGACCATCACCTCCTCCTCCTCCTCCTCCTCTTCCACCATCACCTGGTCCACCTAAGCAGCCGCCGCCGCCGCCTCCTCCTCCTCCTCCATAAGCTCCACCGCCCATGCCACAGAGGGTGTGTGCCGTGTTCATGTTATCAGCAGCTGTTGCTTCTTTTTCTGCATGAGATGATGTCACTTGTGCTAAGCCAACCGCGACTACTCCTACTATGACGACTATGTAGTTAAGAGCCCACATGCTATTTTTACCCATTTTATATAGTTGAGAAATTAATAAAAAAGAGGAGGAATTGAAGTGATTTTACCGTGATGACCAGGCCGTAACTATATATATAGAGGTAAAAATCTGAGTTGGAATCTACTCAAAGTTGGACATTTTTCACGCAAATGACAATGGTGTTTCCCGGGGTTTCGGCTTGGAACTCTACTGTTCATCTCTTGATCATGCTTTTTGCATGGATTTATTCAGGCTACGTACGTAAACCACAAAGTCACCTAACCTCTCTGGTCTTATATGTAATTATTATTTACATTTTGTAAGAAAATCTGCTTTTGTCTTTCGTTCTTTTGCTAACATAGAAGAGAGTAATCAAATTTCATTTTGAAGGCTTGTGGGAGCTCACCAGTTCACGGCCGAATTATTATTTGACATCATTTTGAAGAACATCAAGGAAATATAAAATGAAATGAATATGAACTTATAATTGTCACGTATTATATATCGATCACAATGAAAACATTAACGGTAATTTCGTTATTTCAACATTAGCAATAGCGTTCTAGAACTTCGATTTAGTATTAGCTAGTAATACAGATTGTGATGATATGGAGTAATATGTAACATGTAAAAATGCACGATCTTATTCGGTTTACATTTTAATTTCAATACATCTCAATTAAGCTCCTTTTATCTGATAATTCATTTATATGATTTCATATTGTGTCCTTCAATTAATTACTTGGTGGAAAATGTCAATAACGATCCCCCAAAAACGATCCAACACAAGAGAATCTTGGGAGGGCACTACAGAAGCTAGCCAAGACGCAAATCAAATTCCAAAATCTAAACAAATAAGATTATATATAGAAGACACTGTTTTATTAATAATATAATAATAGTCGACAACAACTGACCATACTCATATATGACTCCTGACACACGTAGTTTAAGTTTAAGGTTCACCATATACGTACATTTTTTTTAAATGGTACCATATACATACATAGTACGTGTTACATTCAGACTTATAATGTAGTATAATACTATATTATAGATAGATATCATCAAGATGTATACTTCCCATTTCTCACATTACATATACATTGTTGGTCTTTCCGTTGTTCATTGCAGTTTCACCAAATTCCTATTTTTTGTTGTTGTTGTTGTTAGATTCCGACGATGCTCCAGGGGCCGCATTCTTATTTTTGGCAGCTTTGTCAGAACGATCGGCACCGGGATGTATCGCGGTTTTTGTGAGGAGGAAGCTTTGTGCATGGCAAGTGGGGCAATTAGCCGGGTAGCACATGTATCCGGTTCCCTGACCATATCCGTAGCCCCAACCCGATCCATATCCGCTCCCTGGAGCATATGGATAATTGGGTCCGTATCCCTCGGGCCACCCTGTACCGCCGTGACCGCGATCAATACCGTGGCCGTAGCTCCCCCAGCTTCCCCAACCACCGTGATCGTCGCCGCCACCGTGGCCGGCCCACCCTAGATGGTCGCCACCGCTGCCCCACCTGTGAAATCCTCCGTGTCCCCACCCGGCACCGCCGAGGCCACCGAGGCGACGCGCCTTCATGTTCACATTAGCATCGGCATTACTATTTGCTTCTTGTTCTGCAGCTTGTGCAAAGCTGCACACAGCAGCTAGCAGAACAACGACAGTGCATGAAACCCTCTTGGATTCTGCACCCATTTTTTCGTCTTAATTGCTGTAAAAAAAAAAAAAAACTTTAATTTGGAGGAATATTTATGAAGTATTGTTATGGAAGTACTGATTACTCTGCTGTAGATATGAATTAGGAGAGGATGAAAGGGTTCAGTATATATAGGGGTAAAGTGTGAAGTTATTTGACCTGTTGGGATGGGGAATTACTACCTTACCAGTTGCATGAAAATGGTGTTTTTAGGTTTTCGTAAAGGAACTCTTAGCTACTACACGGATCATGCCAATTAATGATTTTCGTTTAGCTATTTTAAGAAAATAAAATCTCAGCTCCTATGTTTCGTTTTTCTTCTAAATAAACAGTAATTTCGGGAAAAGTGTAATTACGATAAGTAACACATCGAAGAGTTTTATGATCATGAATTTTACAACTATTATTATTGTAACAACTAACAACTTTAATAATAACAATTTCAATTTTTGAGTTTTCCGAATGTGTACAGCTTATTTTCTTTTGTTGTCTTCATTTCAGTTAATAAGTGTTTCAGCAGTTTGTAGTATAGCTTCAACATGTTGTTTTATACACTGCTTGTGCTCCTAAAAAAATCCAATTTGAGTTTTCAAATTTGTACTAAAAATAGTACAAATTTTAAAACTCAATATTCACTAATTTTTTGGGATAGTAAAATATAAAATACCCAGTATCTTTATGCTCAACATACATATGTTTTTCTTTAAAAAAAATAAGAAGTTTGTATTCTATTTTTTTATTAAAAAAAAACAAAGGCGTCAAAATCCCCCTGAGTTATGTCCAAAGGACAAATTGCCCATCGATATTTGTTAAAAGGACAATAACCCCGCTACCGCCATGTTAAAGGACAATTTGCCCCCTGCGTTAGCAAATCTTAGTGTGAAAAGACATAAATGCCCTTAAATCTAAAAAGAATTTTTTTTTACACTAAACCTACCCTCCAACCAACTCCTTTATTTTTTTAAAATTATAAGAATTCTACTATTATCCACCATTTTAAATTCATCACGACTCCGTTTTGATGCATTATTTCTCCCTATCACTACCGTCTCAATAAAAATAAACTCGAGATTGAGAATTTAATCTATCGAGACCATAAATTCTATTTACACTGCCGCCTCAGTAAAAATAAACCCGAGATTGAGAATTTTATCTATCAAAACCATAAATTCTAAATTCTCAATCTCGGATTTATAGAATTTATGGTTTTGATAGATTAAATTCTCAATCTCGGATTTATTTTTATTGAGGCGGAAATGATATGGAGAAATAATGCATATATTCTAAATTCTCAATTTCGAGTTTATAGAATTTATGGTTTTGATAGATTAAATTCTCAATTTCGGGTTTATTTTTATTGAGGAGGTAATGATAGGGAGAAATAAGGCATATAAATAAATTTTATAATTTTGATAGATTAAATTCTCAATTTCGGATTGATTTTTATTGAGGTGGCAGTGATAGAGAGAAATAATGCATCAAAACGAAATCAGCGACGGATTTAAAATAGCGGATAATAGAATTTATAATTTTTAAAAAATAAACGAGTTGGTTGAAGCGTAAACTTGGTGTAAAAAAAAAAAACTCTTTTTAGATTTAAGGGAAATTTGTTTTTTTGCACTAAGAATTTGCTGATGCAGGAGGCAAATTGTCATTCAACCTGGTGATAGAGGGATTACTGTCCTTATAACAAATGTCGGGAGGCAATTTATCCTTTTGACATATCTCGGAGGTTTTTTGTCCTTTTCCCTTTTTTATGGGAACAAAATGCAAAACTCCTTGGTAAAATAGGTGATAAAAAAAGGCTCAAGGCCGTTTTGAAAAGAGAGCATATATAATTTGAACTTATTAAGACTAATTAATTTGAAAAGTTTTATTTTATCATTTATGGATGTGATAGTACAAACTTTTGCCCAAGACTTGAAACCTGATTTTAATTATTTCGAAAGACATTAGAGAATAAAGAACTTCTTAACTTGCCAATGGAAGTTAGTTTTAGGAACGCCTTAAAGAGGATGCAATTTTACTCCTCGTATTACTAGTGTAATTGGATTCCCTTCACAAGGTTAAATATTGGTTATCTAATGATGTAAGAGGTTGTGTTTATTATTCCCTCTGTCCTAAAATTATTGTCCAGTTTGAATTTCACTTTTAGTACAATAAAACCCAAACTGAACAATAATTATGAGACAGAGGGAGTACTTCTTAAATGTTGTATATTTACGTAATTGTGTATTAAAATCTCAAATATGCCCAAAAAAAAAAAAGAAAAGAAAAGAAAAGAAAAAAAAGAAATTTAAAATAAAATCATTCATTGGTTGGGATAAAAAGGGCGGGGGGATCGCCCGTCTAGTCAGTGGGTGAAGTCGGGCGGAAGGCGCTCCGATGACATAGTCCATACCCCAAGGAACATTCTACGTGTGTGGACTTGGGCCTCTTAAAGGCATGTTCGTCCTGTAAGCCCACTACTCTCCTCCAGGCACCCATAAGTCCAAGGGAAAAGATACATATGCAAGGCATCCGACCCATAAAACATCGATGTGGGACAGCAAATCATCTTTTTTTTTTTTTTTTTGATTCAAAAGGGGGTACCGAACCTAATACATAACTACAATTCTATGATACGAGACTCTCACGATATCATGGTAGAGCCAATCCCTAACATTCATAGGGGGTTGAACAAAAGAATGGTAGCCCCATGACAACTGTTTGCTAGAGAGACTAGATAGTCCGCTGAGAAATTCGATTCTCGGTGACTGTGTCGGACTTTAACAGTCCACTGCCGGCTAAGAAGATCTTCGATGACTTGCAACAGGTGCCCGTGGCTTACAAAGCTGTCCCAGTCGTATCATCGAATCCAAGAGGTCTCATCAATGTCCATTTGTTTTATACTTTTATATGTTTATTTTGGCTCGAAAATGATTTCCTCAAATCTTCTTATTTCACGCTGCTGAATGACAGATGAGGTTTATTCATGGTTTGATCTTTCAATTTTCATAATAAAACACTATTGTAGCTTAGTATAATAAAGGAATATCATTTATCACTTACACATTCATAGTTGATACAATAATTGCTTTAAATGACATCCACCATTTTGCTACTGATGCCAAAACACAAACATAGTGAATCTAGAAAGTTCATCTGATTTTATAGAATTCAGCTGTTCCGGGGAGTTTAGGCAGCCGGATCACCACCGGAGGATTGGGGTGGCAAAGCCGACGCTGCTTCTTGCTTGTGTAGCTGGAAGGAGAAGGCGGCTACCGGATGAATACCATTTTCAGTGAGGATTTGGAAGTGATCATTGTGCCATGAAAGCTTGAATGCTTGACAACTCTGGCATTCGATCTGTGGCGTACATTGGTATGGTTGTCCTGCCGGCATCCAACCTCCATATCCCCCCCATCCACCACCACCGCCGCCGCCTCCTCCTCCGCCCCAGCTACCACCGTTATATCCTCCGTTCCCACCACCATTTCCGCCCCCGCCCCCGCCCCCGCCTCCACCACCGCCGTTTCCGCCATTATATCCCCCGTTTCCGCCGCCACCTCCGTGTCCTCCATTATATCCCCCGTTACAGCAGCCGCCGCCACCTCCGTTTCCACCACCATGATGTCCTCCAGAACCGTAGTCCCAGCCCCATCCTCCGCCGGCGCCGCCGCCAACACCCATACCGCCCCATCCTCCCCATCCACCAAGCATGCCACCTAGCTTGCGGGCCCACCTATGATCGCTAGTGTCAGTTTTTGGGCCAAGATTGGGTCTTCACCTTTCACACCGTATGTTAATAATCCCAGAAGAATGACTATCATTGTTGTCATAATAAAACCAGTACTCCATTTTGATGATCCTACCATTTTTCAACAAAGACAGAAAAAAAAAAAAAAAGAAGCAAAGCTTATCACAGATTCGAATGCTAGCTCAAGTATAAATGAAGCGTGGCTTTGCAAGATATATATAGTGCAGTCAGTAGAGTGTGCTGCTCTAACAATATTAAGTGGAAAATCTGTTTGTTAGGAATTTTAAATTAACACAAAACAAAGGTCAGCAGCACTTCATGCATTTTTTGAACTGAAATAACAAGTCTAAAGCGTCTCATTAACAAATTTGAGCTGTCTACTTTAGGGTGCATTTTGAGATGTGATCGAACGTGATCATCATCATCATCAATTTAATGCTGACAAATTGAAATTTGATCCCATGCACCAGAAGTCAAATGGTCATAAATACATGATGAGTTACAAAGATGGATCCTCAACGGATTCCTTTTGTTTTTTGAGCTTGAAATAAAACATGAAATGGGTCGGTCCTCGGGCCTTGCAGCAACGTTACCAACAGACTTTCTGAACTGATGGACCGTTTTAAAGTCTTGTACAGTGTAACTACGATATCAGCGGCGTTGAATACCGAAAGAATGTTGTAATGTTTTTTTTCTTAGACTTTAGTTATAGATTTTAGAAAAAACAAAACATGAATGGGTCCTTTCAAGCTAAACGGTTCCTTTGAGGAAATTGGATCAAATGAGTGTGCTTTTCTCTATTGGATTGGATGGTTTTGTGATGTCAACGTATCTTGAGGGAATGTGGCATAAGATAGACATCTATAGTACTTAATTAAAGCAACAATCAAAAAAACATGTGTCAATACTACAATGAAAATTTTCCAGTCAAAAGTCATTTTCAGTACAAAATCATTTTTGACAAGTGGGACTTTAACTAATCAGAAAAAAAATGGAATAGATAAATACATAAATCCCTTAATTATAGTTACATAAAAATCTCTTAATTATGGGTATATACTAATCTCTTAAAATAACAATATTTAATTAATAAAATCAAATGTAAGGAAATCCCCTTAAATCAAGTGAAACACAATAATGTCTTCCCAATCCCCAATTTCAAAGAATATCTTCCATTCCACTCCTCTCTCACACCCGGGCCTTTAAATCAATTACTTAAAATCTGACATTAATTATCAATCCATCTATTTCTACAACAGAGAAAAAATAAGCTGTGATGAAAGAAATTTGATTTTTTAAAGATTATTTTTTTTATTCTTCTGTTGTAGATATTGGTTTATGATTTATGTAAACTCGGGCATAAGTTAAATGTTGTAAATTAAATATTATAAATTTACGAATAGATTTATGTATAATAACTCACTTTCGGTCCTTTCAATCGATTTTTTATTCTTCTATTTTTTTAATTTTTTTAAGAATGATTCGTATTTTTTATTTAATTGATTTAAAAATACAGGCAGCACCCCGGGCATTCGTCCGGGGCAAGCATCTAGTGTTAATTATTAGTCTATGTGACAATAATATTCCTTTCATTCTTGTTATCAATTTTATTCTTTGCTAATTCTCAACATAAATTATCATAATTACTGTATCAAAAAACCAGTAGTCAATTCGTGGTGGCGCATTATTTGATTTCCCTTGGAAGCACAGTAGGCAAGCTGAAGTAATGATTCAATCAGAAAATAACTAAAGTAATTACTTTACAATGATGTAATAAGAGTTGTATAATCTCACCTTTTATGGAGACAAATACCGCAATTATAATTGAAGAGTTTGGACTATTCAGAGTAAAAACAAAAAAGAAAGGGGAATATATATATAGTACGTGACATTAATTCATTTCCCCATACATAGCTCCAAGGAAAATACTGTAGCCAACATATATTATAATTGCTGAATATTTTTTTACAATTTGGTAGTCCTCCCAAGTGTGTTAAGTGCATCTGTTTCAAACTCAAACTTTGTCCTCGCACGTGTGAAACTGAAATTTTAACACAACTTTTATTTCGATTGTTACACTTTCACCGTCTAACGCACGTAAGGCATTCATTTAATTTACTTTTTAACACACCTTTTATTTTTTTCATTTAATTAACACAACTTTCATTTGGATGCTGTAAATCCTTCATTGAATTCTTCTCTTTTAATAATAATAACCAGCACCTTCTCTCTCCCTTTCCTGAACTCTGCCGATCTGGCTTCTCAACGTTATACCGGTTGGGTTTCCACTGTTATTGAAAAGGTACTACTATAAAACAAACCCACCTCTATCGTGTTGTTGAACCTATGCGACTCCTTTTTGGTTTTCAAATAAGGATTGCGTAGTGATCTCCAGTACAATAAATGGGCACAATGACATTCATACGAGCAGGTTCGAGTATTGAGGCTAAAATTGATCTTCATGGACGACGGGACGAGAGCTTCAACATGCAGTTCCTCACGTTTCGGCGCTAGCTGGGGCAGTGGAGGTCGCGGGGCCTATCATATTTGCTTAAGCGCCACACTCAGCAGCGATCAAATTCTCCTTAAATCGTGGAAGCTGCACACTCAACTAGGTAAGTTCCTTTCCGTTTTCGTCGAATGGTGCATAAAGAATCAATCTGTATTTGCTGGTTGAAGTATTGGTTAAATCCAAGAATAAATTAATGGAGTAGGACTAAATGAAGTTACAGTAAAATTTGGTTGTCATGCACTTGGCTTCGGCGTATAAGGCGAACGGTTTGCACGTTTTCAAGTTGTTCCTTCCCTGTCATACTCGTAATTCGCCACATTATCTGAGTTCATAAACTGGAGTTTTCCTGCTAATCTAAATTATAAAGATCCAATTTGTTGTCAACACCTCCGGGAAGATCTTGAGTTTGTTATTGTTATATTCAGTTATGTGTTAGTTCACCTTTAGGTTAGTCCTGTACCTTGCTTCTTTCTGTTCTAGTACATTTTCTTTTTGTTGCATAATTTTCCACAATTGATTTTGAGAAACTAAATATTCTTAATTGCTTATTCGTGGCTTTCCTCTATATGCATTTTTCAACATGGCATTTGAGAATTATGTATAAACCTTTCTTCAAGGAATTTACAGTGATGGTTCCTCTTCCTATCTCTGTAAAGAATTACCATGACTTCTTTTTTTGAAGTCTCACCCCCAAGTAAAACTCAATGCGTTTAACTATGTTCTGTTTGGCTGGGAAGTTGATAATTGTTTTTCAAGCATTTCCTTTTTGCACGTATACAATGTTGAACGCAAAAGTTAAATATCTAAACTCAAATAATATTTTGCAGAATATTCCCCCCAAATATAAGAGACATGGTCGCTTAACTCTCTATTCTTGATTTTCATATAAAAACTCATCATAGGCTGCTTTACTATTAAATAATACACATGGAACTGCAATCTGTTTCTTATTAATTTAATAATTATTGATATGTAACCGTGGTAGATTGTTGCAGAATTGAAACCGTTGGAACCGAAGAAGCTATGTGGTGAGATGTACACATTAATCTTCATATCACTTATGATGTGTAAAAATTATTGGAGATGGACATGAAGGATTTATAATGGCTTCAACACATTTCATTTACTTCTTCAATATTAAGCGACCCAACACCAGCACGATTACCCTTGATTACAACTTTATTAGTTAATTCCATGTAATCTGAATTCAAATAAAAATAGTTACGTAATCTGAATTCTAAAATTGTACCATTATGTTCACTAAACTAAAATGTCAACACAAATTGCTAATGAATTCATATGTAGACACTTTATATACAACACAATATATGATATCTATTCGAAACAAATAATACATTTAATTTAACCACATATAATGAGGTAAGTTTAGTCATGCACGCGCGAAGTGCGTTTAAGCCACCTAGTATTATATAATACCGCATTTTACTTTTATGATTTATTTCTTTAGTTAAACCTTTTCATTTTATAGAAAATGATCAGCTCCACAAATAAAATTTTTTAATTCCGGAATAAACTTTGTGGCCAGAAAAGAATAAAAAATATACTCATTGCGGTCTTTATCATAAGCCATTTTGATTTGTCATAAGTCTCATTTAGGATGTTGTTCCAATTAAAAATAAAATTTTAAAAATATTTTATAATAATTAGGAGAATAAAATAAATGTGAAAATATAAGGGACGGAAGTAATTAGTAGTGGGGTCAAGATGTTTGATTCCTGGCATTGTTGATATTAATTACCACAGTAATTTCTTAGTTAAATAGCGAAAGTACTACAGTATTTTATTTTACTTATTATTGTTCGTGCTATATATTTCCTTTTTTTTTTTTTTTTGAGAGCACTACTATATATTTCCTTGAACCGTGAAAACCTCACATCAGTTTTTTACCCTTTTTTAGTTTTTTTTTTTTTCTCTTTTCACAGATTCTTCTACAGACATCCATCTTAATTCCCACGCGAACTGTGTTGGCGCTTTAGGGCTTTGTAGAGTTTCTTCCTGAAGAGCAGAAGTTACGCAGTAGACAAAAGCAAGAAAGAATGGGGGATGGGTCGGTGAAGGAATTGCAATCAAAGGCAGCTCTCGATAAGCTTCTGTCGGAGAACCAGAGTGGCGCTGTAATTTTACACTTCTGGGCATCATGGTGTGAAGCTTCTAAGCAGATGGACCAAGTCTTTGCTCATCTCTCCACTGATTTCCCTCATGCCCACTTCTTCAGGGTAATTAATCATTACTGTTTTCTATCATTATATTTTTGTTATTTATTTTTGGGGTGGGAGGGTTTCTGTTAAGAGGGATAAAAGCGATGATTTTTTGTGATTTGAATTTTGTTAGAAAAGCATTCTTGTTGCCCTTAATGGACTTTGAATCTATAGAAAGAAGAAAAACACTCCTATTCTTGTTTATCTTATGATTGATGCTGTATTGTTCAGTTTCTTTTACTGAAGAGGTATTGATCAGTTTGATGTTCTGTACTTGTGAGGACTTGGATAAAGTCTTTCTCTTTGCTCTTAGGTTGCCCTGGAACCTTTTAATTGCTTCGTTTTAGTGAAATTATGAGAAATTTCTGATAAGAAGGTGAATGAGCTGTTTGGTTTATTATAGCTGGGCTACAGAATAATAAAAAAAACTGGCATTGTTGTTCTTCTGCAAAGAGTTAGAGCAACCAATGAGGGTGATGGGTAAGAGAGCAACTCTTACTGACATTGAATATTTCACATTCGCCTTAATTATCATGCTTTCATGCACTTTAACTTGGAATTAAATAATCTGGTGGTGCAGGCATAAGTTGCCGGCATAAGTTGGTTTGGACATGAGTATAGGAGACTTTTCAATGTGTACGGGGTGTAGAAAAGAGGCATTTTTTACTCAATTTAGAAGTGTATGGGAAAATAATTAAAGCACTTGAACAAAAACAGACTTGTAGGAAATGATTTATGTAGCTGACCCATATGGTGGGATGAAAACTTTATTAATGCTTGTTATCTCTGTTTTCTGCCTTCATTTTCTCGCTGTCACTGGATTCTGAAGAGTTATGAAGCGTTAATTTAGTGTGCCCTCTGTGTCTTTTTGGTAGTTCCGACGGAGTTACACAGTCATGGCCGGCTTACTGTTTATTCACTCTGGAGTTCTAGCCTTCTAACAGTAAAATCTTTATATTTTGAAAATTAATGTTTCTCTTTTCCCTGTCTTTATTTATATGGAACTCCTTCTGAGTTGAGAATCCTCTTTGCAAAACAATAGCTTTGCTGGAATTTGGTGTTTGCAAATTCTGAAGCTACTTTATTTTTGCCCCTTCCTATTTTGGGTTGCAATTGTGATATGTTGCACCCGAGATTATATGTTTTTGCCCATTTAAATTCGTTAAATCAGCTGGATTGAACTAATTTTCTCATACTGGTTAGTGCTAGGCCCTGTGCGGTAATATCTGATCGATTAATCGGCTGCGTGACTCTTTCTTTTGGGAACAATTTTCTCACGGTTTCCCTTGTGTTATTGTAGGTTGAAGCTGAGGAACAGCCTGAAATTTCTGAGGCATACTCTGTCGCTGCTGTTCCTTACTTTGTCTTCTTCAAGGTTATTCCAAATACCATCTCTGCCATCTATGAAATGTATTCGCAATCATTTCTGTTTGGCTCTTTGGGCTTTTTAATGTATTGAGGAAATTCTTTAGATTTTGTCATTTTTATTGCTCTTCAGAGCTTCCAGAAAAACATAGCATCTGGGAAAGTTTTTCCTGCATATTAACCGACTCTCATGTCTAACTTGGGTAATTTTTTTTTTTTTTCCCTCTATTAGGATGGCAAAGCTGTGGATAATCTAGAAGGTGCTGACCCATCAGCTTTAGCAAACAAGGTTGCTAAAGTTGCTGGAGCTGTTGCTGCTGGTGACCCTGCTGCTCCTGCCAGTTTAGGTATGGCAGCAGGGCCAACAATACTCGAAAGTGTGAAGGATTTTGCTAAAGGGAACTCTCAAGTGAATGTACCTGCTAGCGCAGATAAGTTGAAGGCACGACTAGAGCAACTTGTAAATTCTCATCCAATCATGTTGTTTATGAAAGGAACTCCTGAACAACCCGAATGTGGTTTCAGCCAGAAGGTTGTTCAAATCTTGAAGAAAGAAAAAGTCCAATTTGGAAGCTTTAACATACTGAGGGACCATGAGGTTCGTGAGGGATTGAAGAAGTTCTCCAATTGGCCTACATTTCCGCAGCTGTACTGTAAGGGAGAGCTTCTTGGGGGTTGTGATATTGCAGTTGCTATGCATGAGAGTGGTGAACTTAAAGAAGTATTCGGGGATCATGGAATTGTGGATTCCAATTCTACTAAAGCTGATGTGAAAGAATCTGGAGTGGGCAAAGGTGGTGTCTCTGGGGGCTCTGGTTTGAGTGCCGAACTAAGTTCTCGTTTAGAAGCCTTGGTTAATTCTAGTCCTGTCATGCTGTTTATGAAAGGAAAACCTGAAGAGCCTCGATGTGGTTTCAGCAGGAAAGTTGTTGACATTCTCAAACAGGAGAAAATAGATTTCAAGAGCTTTGACATTCTTACAGATGAGGAAGTCCGGCAAGGGCTAAAAGTTTACTCTAACTGGTCGAGCTACCCTCAGCTGTACATAAAGGGTGAATTGATTGGCGGATCCGACATTGTGTTGGAGATGCAAAAGAGTGGAGAACTCATTAAGGTTCTGACTGAAAAGGGCATTTCTCATGGGGACACTCTTGAAACTCGTCTCAAACAGCTTGTAACATCTTCTCCTGTCATGCTCTTTATGAAGGGTACTCCTGAAAATCCACGATGTGGGTTCAGCTCTAAGGTGGTAAATGCTCTGAAGGAGGAGGGGGTGGAGTTTGGATCCTTTGATATTTTGACTGATGAGGAGGTCAGGCAGGGGCTGAAAACCTTTTCAAACTGGCCGACATTCCCTCAGCTATATTACAAGGGTGAATTGGTGGGTGGTTGTGATATCGTGATGGAGCTGAAGAGCAGTGGCGAATTGAAATCTACCTTGTCTGAATAGGTGTAGGATAATTGGCAACTTGGGACTGATCCCTTTCGCTTGAACTGCATGGATGTAAGCAGCTGGGCGATGAGTTTTAACGATTCACATCTCTGAGATGCTTAGATTTACCTGGACATACTTTTTACTGTCGGAGAGTTTGAAAGGTTTATTCTTGAGCACTGTGTATGCTCTTCCCATAGAATAACTAGCTTTTAACTTGCAGATGTGGAAATCCTGGAGTAAGGGTTTTTTTTATTTTTATTTTTTTTTTGTTGGCTTGTTATTATCTTCTCCTTGCTTATACTTGCAAAAAATAAAAGTTGGTTCAATTATGTTGTTCTCATGCATCCATGCATGAACCATTGAACCTGATCTGGCATGATAGGAAATGTTTTTAGTCTGCTTTCAATACATAACTTCGTTTATGCTTCACACTCAATCACTTGCAGAATTGGAACAAGAGACTGACACATTGTGTTTCAGTCCTTGAAAAATAGAACTGACCAGTGATCAGTTCCATTGGTACAAGTATACAGCACTTATCTGTTTCAATTGCATTGTGATGATAACTTCATCCACTTTCTTCATATGTATTCATAATTTGATTGGTTAGTATAGAAACATGGTTGAACTGTATGAGGATGATTCAATCCTTAGTCTATGGGATTACAGATGCATATGTATATAGTAGTTGCATATATAATATAACTTATATAATAGCACAATTCCATCATCAGCCAGCCTGGACTGGATGGACTAAGGTGCCAAGGCTGCAGCAGCAGCAGCAGAAGATGACTGTGTGGTGGAAGTGGAATGAAGCTTAAAGGGAATGGCCACAGAATGAGCACCATTTTGAGTGAGGATATGGAGGTGATCATTATTCCAGTACAGCTTGAAAGCTTGGCAACCTTGGCATTTGCTGTGCTGTGGCACACATTGGAAAGGATTTCCTGGTATCCAACCTCCCCATCCACCACCACCACCACCTCCTCCTCCCCAACCACCCCCACCTCCGTTGCTGCTACCTCTACCGCCACCGCCCCCTCCACCGTTGTTCCCACCATTCCCGTTACCGCCACCATTGTTTCCTCCATTGCCATTACCGCCGCCACCTCCACCTCCACCGTTGTTTCCTCCATTGCCATTACCTCCGCCTCCACCGTTGTTTCCTCCATTGCCATTACCTCCGCCTCCACCGTTGTTCCCACCGCCACCTCCTCCTCCACCGTTGTTTCCTCCATTGCCATTACCTCCACCACCTCCTCCTCCACCGTTGTTCCCACCGCCACCTCCGCCTCCACCGTTGTTCCCTCCATTGCCATTACCTCCACCGCCTCCGCCATTGTTTCCCCTATTCCCGCCGCCTCCTCCACCTCCGCCATTGTTTCCTCCATTGCCACTACTGCCACCACCTCCTCCGCCTCCGCCTCCATTGTTTCCTCCGCCACCGCCGCCGCCGCCGCCTCCACTGTTTCCTCCGTTCCCATAACCACCACCACCTCCTCCGCCACCGTTGGTCCCACCACCACCACCACCACCACCTCCACCCCAATTACCCCATCCACCTCCCCAGCCACCTCCCCAACCGCCACTACCCCAATGCCCCATCGCTCCACCTAGTGTACGGACTACTTTTGTCTCATCATTCTCAGCATCAGTGGAAGCTGTTTCAGTTTTCAAACTGTAAGCAGAAGAGCTGAGTGACAAGTCCACCAAGTACATAAACAATAGTATGTAACTACCCCATGTTGATGCCGCCATTTCCAAAGTTGAGAAAGGCTAATGTTAAAAAGGATTTTGAATCGGATGTGACCATGAGGCCTACATTTGTAACCTCTATATATACTATACTGCTGATGAACATTTTTTTTTTTTGGTTGAGTAAAAGAGACATACTTTGGTGGGAATTTCAAAACGCGTAAAAACAGAGCCATGCATTTTGAGTTGAAAGCAATTTCAAGTAACTCAGAAACAAATTCGTGTATGAGATAGATGAAATCAGAGCATCAACATCTTCGTGTCAAGTTCAAATTGACCATTTTTCTTTTTCTTTATTCCCTTCCTTTTTTGGGTAATCGAAAGATACTAAGTGCTGGTGTTTTCATGATCTGTTATGTAAGGGACACATCTTATTGGACATCAGCAGAAGACAAATTTTTGCAATTGCCAATTTAGTTTACATGATTCCTGCGAAAAGTACAAGAGAACTAAAAGCAATTCCTACTGATTTCTGAATTTGGTTGACGCTTAGAATATGAATTTGTGGGAGATTGACGGTTGTCTCCCTTGCCTCACTATAGGTGTAGTTTTGAGGTATCAGTTGGGTGAGTTGCTCCTCGCCCTGCAATTTTGCTTTGAAGTACACAATGTGCAAGTGCACTTTCTTCCATGGTAGTAACACTAATAACAACCCTATATGTTCAAACAAGTTCCGAGGGTAAGTATTTTTCTTTACAACATGATTGAGGCCTTAAGTGGTTAAGGAACAATAAATTCGCCTTTTGTTTTGGCTTGGCAGAGTTCCACTTCAACAAACACGACTCTTTTTACTGGATGGAGGGAGAATAATGCATTTGTTATCGTTATGGAAAGAAAGGAGGGTTTATTGTAAAACAATCTCCTATACAATTCATGTTTGAGAGGATTGTTCTCCTCAACAGTATGAAAATTTGAGATGCAGGGTCACATCATTATCTTGTGCCTGCATTACTATAATCTTGTGTACCAAAGAAAATTTCTCTTTGTACTTTCTGCTCTAATTCTGATACTCGATTGTAAAAGTATCACTGCATGGAGGCAAAAAAAATAAATTGTTGCCATTTAAATACATATCTTGTCGATCTATTACATCTAAGGGATTTATTTGGACTGAGATTAATGAAAGATTAGCAAACATCTAATCATAATTTAGAATTTCAGACCAAACAGAGAATCAACCTTTCCACCCCACTAGGCCAGGAATCTCGAATAACATAAGGCAAAAAGTTGAAATTACCTTTCAGTTCAACTCCAGAAGGTCATAAAAATAACATAAACAAGCATCATTATTGATACCGATGCGTAGTAGCATTGAAGAGGCAATATCAGACATGCGAACAACTCTTATCTTTAGCAATGTGCAAAGACCTCTCTTTCCTGTTCTCCTGTTTATCTAGATCTCACGTCAGCAAAATCAATTGTAGTACACCTCCACATTACAATGCCTAATGGATGATCCTTATCAGCCGTGATTATGTACTATCTACTCTCAGGCATAACACTGTTGAAAGATAGGGATTCGTCACTATCTTTCCCTCCCAATTGATCAGGTGAGAAGTCTACCAGTTTTGCAAGCACACGAGGGTCAGGCTTCCATCCTTTATGCTTCCCCTCAAACGAGACAGCAATTTTCATGCACTCTGAGGCCTTAACTGGTTCATCCATTTCTAGATATCCTGCTGATAATCTTTCCCAACTTGAGGGTGTAGTTGCTTTCCCTTTATTCATCAAATTTCTAAGCTTCGCCTCAGCCATTTTACACAACCCCTTCTTGATGTACCCATCTATAATTGTGAGTGGAAGTCGGAAATCATAGCAGTTTCCAGACAATTCCCACCCCTTGAGCAACTCCTCTGCTAATTCAAACTCACCAAGCCTCACCAGACTCTTCAACACATTGATGTAATCCCTGTTGATACATTTTGAAGTCTGTTTCTGTAGTTTCCATAACCAAAGAACTTGATCTTTGTTTCCCAAATGCGCATGGAGTGAGATGAGATGGTTATAGCCAAGATTATCCTTTTTTTCTAGTTTCATTTCTGCCATTACAAGGTAACTATTAGCTTCATCCTCTCGGCCTGCTTTAATATAGAAATTCGCAACAACTGCATATGTATTCCAGTCGACCTTCATCCCAGGTTGATTTTCCATTTCACGGAGCACTTTTTCCATGCCATCAAAATCTGACCTGACTCCATATGAATTGATACAGATTCTGTAACTCAAATTGTCAGGGGTAACCCCATTCGCCTTCATTCGATTTAGCACATCTGGAACCTTCTCGTGTTGACCAACATTAGTATAAAGGGACATGATATCATTGTAAGCAACAGCAGAGAGGCAGATCCTTTTCTCCTTCATGGTCTGAAGATGAGACAAGGACTTACCGACTTCTCGCTGGCGCACATAGCAATGCAGAAGAGCACCATAGGTCTTCTCGGTTTTATCTTGTTCAGTTAACTTATTAAAGTAAGTTTCTGCAGAAAGATATCCATGTACCCTACCAATCAAATCAAGCCGGACAGCGTGCTCTGTGGGTGTGAATGCGTATAAGCCACTATTTTCCATCCATTCAGAAACCTGTTATCATCATCCATCACGAAAATTATTCCAATTTCTGAGCCTTTCTGCATAATCCATAACCAACTTTGCTAAAGTTTCAGCATCCAAACAAATAAGAAAGTTTGCTTAAGGTGTCAAAACACCTTCTCCGAATTTAGAAAGCAGTAGTCATTTTCATGTGGATGAACTAGCATAGACAAAAATACATTCATGTAAAAGCAAGGAATCAGATATAATTACACATTATGCTTTGGCTATGAAACATAGTTGCAGGCATTTAGTTAATTTCTTAAAGATGCATCCTACCTACAACTCCTCAAGCATCGCAAGGCATTCAAAAACTTTACAAATTACAACGAACAACACAAAAATATAGAAAAGAATGGATTTTTATTTTTCTAGCCGAAGTGATAGAACTAGAGAACAACTCAAAATATCATTTCTAGCCGAAATGATAAAAGTACCTCGAGGGCTTGAGAGAAACGATTACGTTTGCGGAGGTCGTGAATGATGCGAAGAATCTCTGCAAATCGGACTCTTTTGCCGCTTTCAACCCATTGGTCAATAACCGGAGTGACCTTGATACTAGGGTTTCCTAATGGGCTGATTTTGGAGTAAAGCGTCTCTTTCTCCTTTCTCTTTTCCCCAGGTTTCCTGCGGTTATTGCCATTGTTGACAATTTGGCAGGAACAAAAGGATTGAGTAGGGTTAAGTCGCCAATTAATTGAATCCACACATCGATTTAGGGATGATAATCGACGGTTTAAAGATTGGAGTCTCTGCATTGGCTATTTCACAGTTTGAATCACAGAGTTTCCGAAAGTGCACGAAAGAGGGGGAAAAGAAACAAAAGGACGAAAGGGGAAGTCCCTCAACTAAAGCTCTTATCACATGAGAGTCCCTTCATTCTTCGAATTCACCATTTGACTACCTCTTTCTCGAATTCAATCAAACCTCTGCATCAAACTCAAACCATCCTTCAACATGAGTTCGTTTAGGTCGGCGGCTTTGGATGGGAGGAGTTAAGAATTTTTGTTAGCTTAATTTTGTAGTTGGTTCTACAAAACTGGCATGGCATGTGTTCGATACAATGCTCCAAACAAACTCTTTTTTTTTTTTATTTTAATTCCTCTTTACGTTTTTCTTTTGGTTATATTGGTAAAGAGAATTCCATTACTGGGAAAATATATTTTCATACAATAAGTTGCAAATCATGAGGGAATTAAGTCACTCTATGCCCAATGTGAAACCTGGCGATGTTAATACGTTTGGTATATAGGGTATTATGCAGAATGCACATTGCACAATGACCTTATTGGGACGTCCACCACATATGCAATAGCATCCATTTTACCTAACTGGAATGATTTGATTGATTATATGGATAGGATTGGGTCCTACAAGTTTTTAATAGTTCATCGACTTTTCTTTCACTAAATAAAGTATTCAGCGATTAAAATTTGGATTATGAAAAGGCAGCAGTTATTAGGACTTGGTAGTTTCTAGTAGTAGTTAATTTCAGTGTTGACCTTGGTATTGGTTTACTCTGTTGAGTCTATTCTTATCATCTTTGAGACCTCAATCATTGGATCATAACTCATAAGTTGAGTTGACTCCAATGTGCTGTTTCTCTTGTTTTCCTCTTCAATCTGAAACCCAGAAATTGATCCTGCAGTTGATTTGGTGTTCCTGTTGACAAGATGGATTTCCCTAAGTTTTCTTTGGAGGTTAAAGATGTGCTCAAGGGAATCAGTCTTCTCAGGAGTAAGAATGGCAAAGAATATGAATTTGACCTTGTGATTTTCTATGCAAGGATCTGGTTTCTGAAGGCTGAGATCTTTGTCCACAGCCGCAGCACTTCTCTGACAACATCTGTGGAGGATTTCATTGTAAGCCTTTATGAGGGTTCTATATTTCTGCTCAAATCATTTTCTTCCTCTCTGCAGCAGGATAGTACTGAAAAGCAATTTTTGAAGCTCATAGAAGCAATTCCTGGGCGGGTGGAATCTCTCTTGGCATCTTCTCAATGCGATGACTTTATGATCGGAAATGGAACCGGGGCAAGGGACTTACTTTACAAGTTTCTGGTACAGGCCAAGCTCTTCAAGGCAGAGATGTTGATACTGGAATTACTAAATGAGAGTATTGAAGATAGTTTGAAGCAGCAGATTGGAATTCTTCGGGAGGGTCTCATCTTATTGATCAAATCAGAGATTAATCTACAAGAGGAGGAGGATACAGAGAATAAAATCCTACTGTTGGCTGATATTGAAGGATTGGCTGCTGAAATTATCTCTCTCTGCGGGTCGTGCCAAGCTGACAATATAGAATCTCAACTTTCTCTCTTGCTGGGAAAGGTTCAGGTTCTGAAGACAAAGCTCAAAGATCTTTATTTCCAGGTTCCCAAGTTAAGTGTCCCAAAAACTCTTGGGTTGGCTTATATTAAATTGCTGCTGGGGGTTTTAAAACAGCTGCCTAGCCGGAGTCGTGAGGCTGTAGCATGTGCTAATTATCAGTTTGAAGCTATTCATGGGGATTTGGAGCTCATATCATGTAATTATGGGCACATTTTTAATAAGGATAACATTAACAATCAAAAAACCTTCGATGATATCAGGACCCGGCTTGTTAATGCTGCACAACATGTAGAATATGTGATGGAATCAATGGCGAGTTCAAATGATATAAATTCTCATTATTTGCTGTGGCTTTTTCATCTGTCGGAAGAGATTACTGACATTAAAAAGCAGCTGGTTGAGTATTGCGAGAACAGCACCACTATTGATGTTGAAGTTGAGACACATTTGTATAGGTAAAACTTCTCACTTCGATTCATAAAAATATCGCCATATTTCTATTGTAGTAATTTGATTGAATAGTAACTTATAAATTAATTTATTGTTGATACTCTTCCAGGTACCAGCATTTGGTGCCGCCACCCCCAACTGAAACAATGGTTGGTTTCAACAAAGAAAAAGATGCTATAATTAATCGGCTCACTACAGGCACAACTCAGCTAGAAGTTGTCTCAATCACTGGAATGCCCGGCATAGGTAAGACCACTTTAGCCCAGAATGTGTTCAACAGTCCTATTATTGAAGGCCACTTCCATACTCGTAAATGGTGTCGTGTTTCTCTACCCTTTAGAAAGAGTCACTTGTTTCTTGATCTGTTGTTGAGTTTTTCCGAAGTTAAAGATGACATCCGTGAAATGAGTGATGATGACATATGCCTTCAGTTGCATCTTTACTTGAGGTCAAGAAGGTATCTCATTGTTTTGGATGATGTCCGGAGTTCTGCTGCATGGGATGATTTGAAGAGTTCCTTTCCGGATGGCTCATTCGGAAGTAGAATTTTGATGACCAGTTGCATCTATAATGTGGTTCAAAACCCTCATCTGCTTCAAGGACTCTCCTCAGATGAAAGTTGGGAATTATTACAGATGTTGATATTTGGTAATGAAGGGTGCCCTCCAGAATTGGCTGAAGTTGGACAGCAAATTGCTGGAAAGTGCAGAGGCCTGCCACATGCTATTGTTTCTGTGGCTAAACTTCTAATTAAGAAGCCCAAGGCCCAGTGGGAAAAAGTTGCAGAAAGTGCCAGCTTGCAGATAGTAAATGCTAAGCGGAGAGAGTACATGAAAATCTTTGAAAGAAGCTATGAGCATCTGCCAGATCATTTGAAGCAGTGCTTCCTTTATTTTGGAATGTGCCCGAAGGACGAGAATGTTTCAGTTCAGAGGTTATTATGGCAGTGGATCGCAGAAGGATTTATACCTGAAATGAAGCCTAAGAGCTTAGAAGATCTTGCTGAGGAGTATTTGATGGATCTAATTCAGAGAAGCTTGGTTATACTGGCTAAACAAAGATCTGATGGTGAGGAAAAAACATGCCGAGTTCACGATCAAATACTTGATTTTTGCTTGTTAAAAGCTAAGGAAGAAAAAATCTTACAGCTGATGCCTACTGAACCTTATTATGATTCGAATTTCATAAATTCTGGGCATCGAGTTTCAATTTGTGGAGATTCAGAACCGTTCATTGCAAGCAGACCTTCTGGCCCGTATCTTCGATCTCTTCGTTTCTTTGATACAAGTGAAATGTATGCCGGATGTGATAGTGATGTCTCATTCATTTTTGAGAACTTCAATTCTCTTAAGGTGTTGGACCTGGAATCCATTAATATAGGCAATTCACTGCAAGATGGAATCAACATACCAATTCATTTGAAGTATCTGGGAGTTGGTGGTGACATGGACTCTCTTCCACCTTCTTTGTCCAAACTTCAGGACCTGGAAACTTTGGTGGTGAAGGGATTGATGAATAAGTTTGTTCTGCCAGACAACATTTGGTGCTTGACAAAATTACGTCATGTTCGTGTAAGTAACCATTGCATTTTCACATTGCAATCTGACAGAAGTGGAAGCGACTCTAAGCTGGACAGCTTAGTATCACTTTCCATTCCATATTTTACTTGGGGAGAGGAGACAAATAAAACAATTGAAAGGTTTCCCAGTCTTCGAAAATTCAAATGCGTATTCTTACAACCAAAGGTCGGTTCTATGAATGTTGGTTGGCTTCCTGATTTAGGATCTCTTCACCAGTTGGACAAGCTAGAGGTAAGATACCATGGAAGGCCTCTCAAATCTGGTGTATTTAACTTGCCAGGAAGGCCTCCCCAGTCTGGTTTATTTAACTTGCCTCAATGTCTGAAGAAGTTGACACTATCAAATTTCCAGTTGCCATGGGATCAGGCTTCAGCAATTGGGAGTTTACCTAATCTTGAAGTCCTCAAATTGATTTCTAAAGCCTTCGCGGGCTTAAGGTGGGATGTTAGGGCAGAGGAGTTTGTTAAACTCAAGTACTTGAAATTAGAGTCGTTAGACATCGTGCACTGGGATGTCTCCTTGGTTGATGATCCCTTGCCCCGGCTTGAGCAGCTGGTGTTGCGAAACTGCAAGCAGCTTCAGGAGGTTCCTTCAAGTTTCGCGGAAATCTTCACATTGCAGAGGATTGAAGTTCACCAGTGTGGAGTTTCGGTTGAAGAGTCTGTTAGTCAGATTGCTGAGAAGCAAATGAACTTTGGGAACGAGGTTCTTATCAGTGTCTTTTCTTGATTGCAGATGTTCTTCTTTTCATAAATGTGATAACTACAATCCTTTTGTAAATTTCTCCTTATATTACTAAACACAGTTCAAGTATGGGCCTTATTTGCTTCCTGTTTCTGAGTCTGAGCAGTTAGAACAACAAAGGAAAGTAAATTCTGACTATGGTCCTCATTCTTTTGATTGCAAATTTAACCACCTGAGTTTTGAATTTGAGTAAATGTTCAATGTTTGTGACCTATACTTATGAATGTTTCATGTCGTTTCAAAGTACTTAGAAAAACAAAAAAAACAAAAAAAAACACTTGAATACAAGAACACAGCAAGGGTGTGACACCATTCAGTTTGGCGAAAATTCCCCAACAAACTGAACACAGCAATTCCATTCCAACTAAAATTCCCAGATATCGCACATATAAATAAGCCTCTTTGATTCTAACATTTCAAACCACCCCCAATAATCCTTTCAATTTCATTGCACTAAAGAAGAAGAATCATTTCAGGAAGAAGCCGAAAGAGAATGGCAGCATCAAAATGGGCTTTCTGCTTCATCTTAACCACAATTGCTGTTTGCTTCTCCCTAGCAGCAGCAGCAGCAGTAACCAATAATAAGGATGCCAAGGCCGCCAAGTTCCTAGGTGGAAGGGGTGGGGCATTTGGCATCTGGTCCAAGCCCGAAGTTTTAGCGATGGAGCCCATGGCATCAGTGGATGGAAATGACTGGGCGGCCCAACCTGACTCTATGGCAATGGAACCAGCGGCTGCGTATGACTTGGAGGCCCACGATGATGATCGCAATGCTGGTCTGAGCCTGGCGGATTTTGGAGTTGTGATGAGCGAACCGTATGCGTTACAGACGGATTTTGAAGTTGTGATGAGCGAGCCGTATGCATACACAACGCAAGGAATGAATGAAAACCGTGAAGCTGATGATGATTCAAAGGAAACTCTCAACAAAAGCAACAATTACGAGTATCCGATCGGTTTGAACTCAGTGCCTCTTTCCAATTTCTAGGTCCTTTGTAAGGCACATATCCAATGATGATGCTATACTATATGCTACCATTATTGAAATGAATCTCTACTATTAAGTCGTAACGGCTTTTATTTTCCGAATATATTGTTATTGGGGAAAAAAAAAATCTTTAGCATCTTTTATATATATGTTGGTATGGAAATAGAATATATTCAAGTTTATTATACTTCACGTGTGAAATGAATACGATGCTACTGGTTTATCCATACGACGAGGAATCTGGTGAATTAACGAAAAACAACCTTTGGCTGAACTTTTTGACAGGGCGCGCGTTTATCACAAGAGAACCTATTAACATCGGATTCAAGCAATTCAATTGAATAAATGTCATTTTCATAGTGTTCTGCCTTACCGTAATCCCCGTTGGTTCCAATTCCATACATAAAGTAAACTTTGCCACTGCATTTCATGGAGAATTAAACAGAAGTTTTGAATTTGACCACAAACTTCTTTCATATGGGTGCTTTGATTGGATGTCAGTTTTCTGCACTGTGTGAATTGGGTTTTTTTGCTTTTCTGAGAATGTATGTATACCACCTAAAAGACGGAAGGTTTGGTAATGTCATCACTACAGTTATGTCTATTCCTTGATCAACCTAAGAACATGAGTGATGAGTGTGAAGTACCCACCAATCCAACACGACTTATAAAAAGCAGGAGTATAATTAGCAATCTTGGAGTTTAACCACCAACGATATTTGGTCTCAACCGAATCCGTGGTCTTTACTTTCTGTTAAGAGTACATCGTTAAATTTAGTCATTAGTAGTTAGTCCCTTAAATCATTTTGCATCCGTCCCAAAATTATTTTCTAGTTTTGATTTTCAATTTTAATAAAAATTGAATTAAAAATGAAATCTAAACTGAACAATAATTCTAAGACAGAGAAAATAATACAAACTACAAACAGTGTTATGCTTGCAAGTATTCTTCACAGCTGACCCGGATCATCGATGGTTTACGCAAGATAATAGGGGAGGGGGGTTCTTAGGATAATACTCCTTCCGTATCGTTTAGTAAAATGGAAAAATTTCAAAATAAGTGTCGTTCTCACATTTTAATGCACTTTTTGTTCAAAGTTTCCAAAATTATTCTCAAAAGAATTAATACTATTAGTGGACATTTCTTTAATGATGTTGGTTGAGGACAGTCACGTAATTTTATTACTCTATTTAAGAATTTCTTAAACTATGCGCAAGGTGTAGGATGATAATTATTTTGAAATGGAGGGAGTAATAGATAAACAAATCCCCTTTGTTTATTTATAAGGAATGTCAAATCAAAGGACAGACCCCAGACAAATTGAGTCTCCCAACTTTTTTACTTAGTGTGGGAGACTGGAGGAGACATAGTACAAAGTAGTAAATGTAGGTTTGCAGTTTAAAGTCTTTTAGCAGCAGGGGTCGCATCGCAATCGCAGACGTGATTGATGCACTTGTAAGTGAGGGTGAGGCACTGTTTCCTGCACTCCTCCGTCGTGTCGCAGCCGTTCCCAATCGCCCAATCGTCGTTTGGGTGTTTGCTCACCACAGCATTTTCACCATCATTTCCAGCCTTTGATGTCATTGCTAAAACTTGGGGTCTGGCCTGGATGCCGAAAGCCCCACCCCTTCCACCAAGGAACTTGGCGGCCTTGGGATCATTCTTGGTTACTGCTTCTGCTGCTGTTTGGGAAAAGCAAACAGCTATTATGATGGTTAAGGTGAAGCAGAATCCCCATTTTGTTGCTGTTGCTGCCATTCTTTCTGGTTCTAAACTGAAACGATGATTCTAATTTAGTGTGCAATGAACTTCATACTGCAGAGAGGCTTATTTATATGTGCGGAATCTGGAATTTAGTTCATTCTTGAAATGCAATTACTGTGTTTAGTTTGTTGGAGGATTTTCGCCAAATGAATGGTGTCACACTTCAGTACTGACCTCCTTTTGTGTAAGTTGTTGTTTCAGCACTTTCCAAACCAAAAAAGAATAATATGCTTTAATTTGGACCCTCTTTTACCTTTTCACTCGTTTTAAATTGCCCATTATCCTTGATAAAAATAAGAAATTAAAAAAAAGCAGAATTGATCTGCTTTTCTAGCATACTAAATCAGTGATCATATATTTTAAACCAACTTTGTAACACTATTCTATCACTTGACCTGCGATATACTATAAAACCAATGCACCATTGTTGCTACTGACTGAGGTGATTACTGTTTTTATTAACCTATAACTTACTCAAACCTATGGAATTGGCCACTAACAGTTGTCTCAAGATTGCCATGGACAAATCATTTAGGCAAGCAGACCAGGACCCATCTTCAGCAGCTATACGTTCTTGACATGGTGCCAAGTCATTTGAAACACATATCTGTTGAATTGAGTTCTTACAATTCGAACTTCTCAGCAATCCATATAACAGACTCTTCGATCGCAACTCTTTACCATATTTTGGCTGATGTACACTGCCAATTTGTGTCTTCAGGCATCTTCTCATCTAACTGTTTTGTGTCCCTTGGGAAGAAAGAAGCGTCCCCCAAACTGTTGCTGCAAGTAAACAAGAGCAGCAAACAACAGGCCCGCGATACATATTGTGATATCCCAGAAAGTGGATAATAATCCATTTTGGGATTCCCATATATCTTATTCACTGAAAACATTGAACCCCTGAACAGATCATATGCATGAGGTGACACCCTAACCAAAGTTGTTCCTAGGTAAAAAGACGGCGCTAGAGCTGTTATTGCTGCTTTGCTGTTGCAGAATAGATTGAACAGTATCTGAGGGAACAAAAATCCATCCCTGATGACACCAGCGTAAGACTGGAATCCTGCCCTGGAAGATTCTGACGGTTCTAGGGCCGTCTTAACTGTGGATTTTGATGAGAAATGAGAACTCCAGGCGATTAAGGAACCACCTAAGTATAACCCTAAGCATGTACACATAACCTTAAATTCTGTACTCCAGTGAATCTTCTGATTATCATCCTTGGCCTTTGCAGACCAAGCCAGTTGAAGAAAACGGAACTCTAACAAGAAAGCGAACATGGATATTACTCTTATCAGGACCTCATTCACTTCTAGAAAACGGCCACTCCCTAGAAATAGATTTTGTACCTGGTGGTCTGATGGAAAAAGAGCATCAAAATTTAGCAGCAAGGGAATCAAGTGAGCGAAGTTTACTACAGCCAACATTGTAACTGAAATGTTAGGGAGCACTTCTGGATTCTTTTGCACATAAAACAACTGCAACGTTATGGAAATACATGCCAATGAGGTTGAAACTAAAGCCATCATGATCTCTAGGTCCATATTCCACAGGGACTGTTTACTTTGGCCTGCATAAGGAGACTGTGAAGAAATCTGAATCAATTCAAAATAAAGCGGGTCAGAAGCAGTCCTTGTGCCTTTTATGGTTCCCGAGACAGAAGATCCAACTTTTGCATCCAATGGTGCATACTGCATTTTGACTACAATCTGGCAATCTAGAGAATCTCTAACAAACGGCCTGAAGGATAGAGGCCTGCAGCCAATCATGTATAGGTGCCCAGTTTTAGAATCATATATTCCCTCAGCAGAAATTTTCATGGAATAAATTCGAGGTACTCCACTGATGTTTTTATAAAACTCATCCAGAGGACGAAAGCTCAATTCATAGCTGACGTTAACCAACCGACTTTGGTTGAACAGAACAGGGCCTTCCGGGTCCATCTCTTCAAACACTCTATCGGGCGCGTAAGCAATACCACCTGTAAACAAAGGGGAACAATACCCGAAAACGACTTGTCCAACTTTGCTTCTCACATGCATGATAAACCTCAGATCAGGTGAATTTGCTCCTGGAAATCTCCCTCCATTGCTTCCATTTATCATCTTCCCTGCATAAGATATCTTAACATTCTCAATCTCGGTATATTCATACTTTGCCTCAACATGCCTTAAATACATGTCAAACCTTCTACTAATTTCAACTCTACCAAAATAGCCTGTCTAGTTCTGCATTTTACTGCTCCACATCTCCCCAACAAGGAAATTCCTCTCACAAATCGTATATAACATTGGTAGCCTCAAACTCACATGGATTGCACAATCACCAACTGTACCGTTACCATCTAAAATCCGGCAACCAACCATGTCGAGCCTGGTCTTATCCCAATCCCACTTCCCCTCAGCAACCAGAGTGGAATTAGGCTCAATACCAGACGTCGCACCATTACCTGAAAAGTCCAGCAAGTACCTCACAAAACCATTCTCCCACCAGTGCAAAGGTATAATAAACAACTCATTGGGTAAACCAGACTTTCTTCTCTGTTTTTGGAAAATATCACAGTTGATGTTGTCACAGTCATCTTTATATTCCAAACTAAAGGAACCAGATTTGAGAACAAAACGATTGAGTTCATCAGCAGCTCGTATTCCCAAGGAAGATTCAGAGAGATTATCAAGAGGCTGAAACACATGTTCAGCAATTCTTTTATCAATCAACAGAGGCTCATAATTCCTGGGATTCACCCCTAATATGTTCAAGGTTTCAACAAACTGACCATTCATATTGTAGATTTGGAAAGTACCATTAACGAAGCTACTAAAGATGCTTGATTTATTAGGATAGTTAAGCTTCAAAACACCAAACTGAGATGTGTGCCTCCGTTGATTACCAAAACCAACCATACAGAGTTTGCCAGAGGTGGAATTCCACAACCCATCAAGGAAAAAGTCAGGATCTTTAAGGGAGAAAGTGCTGCTATTCCACTGGTAAATAATCAAAGCGTGGAATTTGTAAACACCGTCTACCTGGGTTTTGTACACAGCCGACTCGGACCTGAAAATAAAACGATAATCGGTACTGTCATCTCGTAAAGCTGCAGTTTTGGATTCGCCGGAAGAAGATGTGAAAGTGGATCGCGACATAGTGAGCACCAATGGGTCAGTGAGAGGGTTCGGCGATGGAATGGACTCCCGGACGACGTCATTGCAGTAACGGGAGTAAGAAATCGGATGTTTTTTCTTGAATGCAGCAACGGCGGTTGGGTTTGAAGCAAGAAGGAGAGAAATGATGAGAAGATGGAAGGTGTTGATGGGTGAGTTGCGACGAAAAGGATGAGGAAGACGAGCCAGCGGCGGCGGCGATAGTGGTCTGAGTTTTCAAGGTGGTTAAGTTCTATAACAGCACAGGTAAATAAATACTGCTTTTTCAAAAAAAAAAAAAAAAAAAGGTTAAACCAAATAATGTAAAAATAAGTACAGTAATTAGATAAATCCTTACCCTCCTCTTTTGTAGGAGGATTATAAAAGGGTAACAATTACAGAGTGAGTTTGGAAAGACCCGCAAAGACAGAAAACTCTTACAGAGTACCCTGCTTCCATTTCAAGGCTCTGCTTTTCAGTACTGTCCTGCTGAATATTTTACTTAGTGACAGACAATAAGAAAATTTTTAAACTTTAAAAACTTGCCGGGAGTAGATTCCATCCTAAGTATCATCACAGTTAAATCATGTAACGAAATTACCATCAAATTCAAGCAATTCAATGACATTATTCATATTGTTCTTCATTCCGTTGCTTCCAATTCCATGCTTACGAGTAAACAAACACCAATTCATTTCATGGTGACATCTTTTGACCACAAATTTATTTCATACTCCTTCTGTCTGGCCCATAATTATTGTCCAGTTTCCATTCTCACTTTTAATATAAATTATATTATAAATGAAAACTCAAAATGGACAATAATTTTGAGACGAAGTAAGTACTGTAAAGTTCTTGGATATAGATTGTTAGTTATTCAACTAGTTACATGATTCCACCAAAACATGTGAAGCATGTGTTCGCTTTTGTGTGCAACTCTTTTATTCCAACGTGTTGCACATATGCGCAAGCTAAAAAAAAAATATGTATTCACTTTTTAAAACAGTATGATAGAATGAACTCTTTTTTTTTCTTTTTTCTTTTTTTTGCCACGAGAGAGTATGTAGGCAATTAATAATTTTCACTCCAATTAGTACGCAACAAAAAGAAGAAGTGGTGTAGAGTAAATGATTTCTTGACTTTTCGTCGACTAAAGCTTTGAGTTCTTTTCATTCAATTTCTACAACTTTTATTATTGTGTGGCGATGAAAAAGAAGATTGAGAGAGAAGGTCGATCCCGAAACCTCGACGAGATCATCAATCAATATATAACTCCAAAAAGATAGTAGAAGTAAAAAAAACTTGATTAATTTACAATTCGTATGCTTACAATAATCATCCTCGAGTATCCTTCAAGTCGATGAGGTGCATGCGTAGAAATATATATATATTTACATGCATGCACAGATGCTTTTTGCCTTGAGAAACATCGATTATCCCTTCTTCGTCAAGCAAAAAGTAGTAGTAAAAAAAAGAATGCCAGAGAGATTGATTCAATGAACCAAAAAACAACCAAAAAGGAAAAAGCATTGCATTAGCAACCAACCCTTTTCCTCTTTCCTATTGTCCCACTATCACCAATCTAGCTTTGATTATTTTTATATTTCAACTACCTTAGTGAATTTGACCAGTAAAAAGGAAAACTGAATAAATGTGACATAAATAAAGCATAATCGCAATCATTGAATTCATGTTGGTAGTTGTTATTTATGTCACACAATTCAAAGTTTTCCATTTTACTGATTCTTAATCATTATTTGTTGATTAACTAAAACCTTCTAATCTTATTTTGATCTCCGAAGTAAGCCGAAAGGCAATCCGAGAGCTTGGTTTCGAGTGTTTTGAAGTGAGCTATTTGCATTTGAAGCTCCATTCTTTCTTTCCTCAGGTTCTTGTTCTCTTCCATGAGTAACATCCGAGTGTTGTTTTCCTCCATTGATGATGAAAGGGAAGAAGAATTAGGGCAGCTTTCCTGATCTGATGCTTTTAGATATTGAGGAAAAGCACTTGGCTCGCACTTCTTCCTTTGAATTTCTACTAGCAAATGGCGACAACCCTTCTGGAATTTCTCATGCTGAAATTCCCATCTCTTTGCTGCAGTTTTCTTGAACCCCTAATTTAGATAATATAATCACAACATTAATCCCTATCTTTATACTTTCTCCGTCCCATAATTATTGTCTAGTTTGGGTTTTTATTTTTAGTTCAAATTGTACTAAAAATAAAATCTCAAACTGGACAATAATTTTGGGACAGAGGGAGTACTACTTTTAGCCAATAACGTACTTAAATTAAAGCCGCTCCGTCCAAAATAAAAAATAATAATAATCTATTTTGATAAACTAAAACATACTCATATATCTTATCTCTTATCAAAAGTCACACTTGTGTACACAATTTCTCCCCCTTTTAAAATGACATTAAATAATTAATAAGTCAACATTCCAATAAATTTTTGAACAAAACTCTAAAGACTGAACACTTCTTCAAATTCCGTCACGTCACCCCAAAAATAGAGGAGGAAGATCAAATGTCAACCAGATTCTATATAATTCTCAGAGGCTGACTTGAAATCTTGTTGTTTTACTTAGGAATTGAAACACGACCCAATTTATATTTGACTGACTCAGCTGTTTTGGGAAATATTACACGCGGCGTCTAATGTCTGAAATTATGGTAATGACTAATCTGTGTATTAAACCGGACATGTCTCCTTCGGTCTGACCGAGCTTTAATTCAACTATCCTGATGTGGAAAATTTAAGTACAGTTCGTCTTCTACAATTTCCTGTCATGCCGCACAACATCTAGCATAAACCTAGACCTCATAATTCTCGAAGAAATTTGTGCACTCAAACTGTCTTTTTAGTGAAATGAAACCTCCCAAGTGTCTCTATCCGGTTTGATCTCTCCTAAAAAAACGTTTGAATCAGTCTTCAAATCTTTGGTATTTATTTCAATAATGAGGACATTTGGACTAATTCATTATAATATATATCAAGCCCAACAAACGTGGCTCACAAAACTACCCGGCTTTGACTTGTTAATTTCTTCCTTATATATTATAGTATATACATTCTGTGTTCGAAACTACCTTGAACTGATTTAATTGCTCTATCATGGAATTATAAAACTCAAATTTGAGAATTTTTCTTTTTGGAAAAAAAAATAAAAAATGAAAAATCAAAGCTTAGATAATGCAAGTGAATTTTCAAATTACTTGCACCTAATTATCGACCTAGCTACAAACGACCATCAAGAGACTACAGGAATATTAAGATTCTATTGCTTAATTATGTTTTTTTTTGGGGGAGGGGTGTTATTCTCTCAGCATAATTCTGAAGTTTAAAATATTAAACATTTTATCAAGTAATCATCAAAGGATCAAGAGCAGCATCATCCCCAGTCAATTCTTATCAGTAAAAAGAACAAGATAATAAATTAATACTAAAAATAAAGCAAGACAGACTAGCCATAGCCAATTGGAGAACTTTGTTTAATTTTCAAAAATTCCATTACGGACTAGACCTTCCAAAGTCTATTTCGGCTTCTGTAAATTAAGAAACTGAGCTTAATCAAACTTACTTTCATACTGATCGAATTTATTCGAATTCTATTCAAAAGGTTGCTACATTTGAAGGGAAGTCAAAATGAGATTCCTCCTCTATCCTCGCGTAGAATCCAAATTAAGCAATATAAATTGTTTACTTTGACTTATGGGTACAACCAGGAAATGGTTAATTTTTTGGACTATGCACCATAACAACTACCAAATTTATCCCTTTTACCCTATTAAAGCAGAATACATGATATTGATGTGGCAACTTCTTATTAAAAATTTTTGGCTCCAAATGCACCATATTGCATTAACCATTCTGCCACGTGTCATCTCTTTTTAAAAGAAAAAAAAAATTCTTATCCAGAAAAACAAAAGCTACTTTACAAAAATAGCTACACAATTTTAACTCCTAACATTTATCATTTATCAATCAAATTAAAATAGCATTTAAATTTGTCCATAAACTTATCCCCTTTATTACTCCATATTCTTTCGTATGATTTCTGAATCGTTGTACTTTTCAATATTTTTTCTCCTTTGGCAGATAATTTTTTTATTTTTATAATTATTTTTTGCTAAAAAGAAAAAAAAACAAATGTGTAACTATTTTATTTTTTCCAGATCAAGAATTCATTTATTTATTAACATAAAATTAAAGTAGAGGGGCGCCCGGGCATCTGCTTGGGCCAAGCATCTAGTACTTATTAATTACTCTCTCCCTCCCGAAATGACTATCCAATTTAAATTTTCATTTTCAGTACAATTTGTGCTAAAAATAAAACTCCAAATCAGATGACAAGTTTGAGACATAAGAAATATGTTATTACTCAATTTTCCCTTTCCGTTCCAAAACGAGATTTCATCTTTGTTAATGTTATCGTTAGTGCAACAAAGTTTCTGCATATTGGATACACAAAATGACCACAATATGTTGTATTTATCATTTATCCTATTCCAAAAAAAAAAAGAAAAAAGATTCATCTTGAATTTTTAAAATTTTACTATTTTCCCTACAAATCTTAAAGTTTAATGGTAATAATAATATAAAGTTGGGACAGAAGATCTCGTCTCCCAAACACAATGACATTAAGGCTATGTGATCTTGCAATATGAAAACTGAAAGTAAAAATGTCAATGCTGCAGAACTTAAGTATCCAGCATAAAGAAGGGAGAACTGAACTACTTCATTTCTCGCCTCCCCCGAAAAACATCAACAGGAATTTCTTCCAAAAAATGCTCGAAAATTGTGAACTTAAGTTAAAATGACAAACTGCAACAGCTCCAAAATACAAAATGCCAAAAATCAAGATAGTAGGGTTTCTCTTTGTGCATGATTATATTAAGGGAGAGTACTTCAAGCATCAATTAATTAACTCTCCCTCCTATTCGTATAAGCTTACTTTTAGTATTTTGAAATGATTATCCAGTTTTAATTTTTTTTTACTTTTAGTATTATTTGACGGACCAACATATGAAGACACTGCCGAGACAATTCCGATTTCAGTAGTGAATAGTGGTAAGTGATAATTTCAGATAATGTAAATTTTACTGTATTTTACGCATCTAACGGGAAGACAAAGATATTCTTCAACATGGATTTAATTTTTTATTTTTTATTGTTTCCCTTTTGTGGAAAAAAAAAATCTTGGTAAGTAAATAGAACTATCAGTTTGAAGAATTATATGAAACATTAGAACAAAATAGGTTGATGCACACTCACATAGGTATTGAGCTGGCGAATGAAGCTGGAGAAGTTATTATGCTTGAAGTATCGAGGCAACAAGTGTTGAGAAAACTCAGCTGGGCACCAAACCACAAAACCAGTCCCATCTTCTGTCCATGAAACCACCCTTTGATTCTCACCATTATTATGATGATCACTTGCTGATTCCCTCCGACCCCTTTCTTCTTCTTCTTCCAAAAGGTCATATGTTTTGCACAAGAATGGAGCAGGACATTTAGGCCTCGTTAATGATGAAGAAGAAGAAGAAGGAGATACGGTTGAAGATAATGGATTATTTGAGGTCTTCCCAATGATAAATCTTTGATCCATTTGGATTATCTAGAGAAAACTCTCTCAACAAGAAGAAGAAGAAAAGTATTGTTTCATTTCTTCTTTCTATGGCTGATTAATAAGCACATAAAAAAAAAGTTCTTGGAAAGTGCTAGTTACTTTTATGGAAGGTGTGCTATATAGTAGATAGTTGTTGAAGATATGTCTTTCGTCTTGTATCTGATCGTGATTGTTTTTCCACTTTTGTTGCTTTCTTGATCTTTCTTCCAGAGACATATAGTACTTGGCTTCTTTTTTAAAAAAATAAAATAAAATAAAATAAGTTGTGTAATTTTCCACAGCAAATCGTACGTATTCTGGGGAGAAAGGATGCAATTTTTCCACAAGGAGAATTCAAGTGACGTGTGCACCTTGAATATGTCAAAATAAAATATTCGTACGAGATAGTCCGGATACTATTGTTTCTTTTTTTTTTATTTACAAAAGTGACTTTTATTAAGACCCACGTAATTAACAAGATTCATCATCAAGGCAGGAAGTAAGAGAACCATGATTTTTCATTCTTGACATTCAAAGAGCCATGTATTTAGCTCCACGAAGCATATTTATCAATATTCCCTTTCCGTCTCTTCTGAAAAAACGTCATGTATTTGTTAAACTAAAAAAGACAGTTATACTTTCTCCGTTATTTCCAATATAATTTATACTAATACCGCTGGATAATGATTTTGAGAGAGAATGCTCCACCAATATGGTTCAGCGGAGACAGCAAATACTACGTTGGATTCATGAAAATTGTTCCAAACTTGTGAACTTTGGGGTAATCCCTAGGCAGTAGTCTATTATGAGAAGGTTCACTTTATTAGGGGGGGTTTGTTGAAGGGAATGTTATGGAAGGGCCGGGAATGCTGACTCTGGAGCTTGGAACAGTCTAGCCCAGAATGATGCAGTAACCTTTGAAAGCGGAAGGCCTTCGCAGACAAATTCCCAAATCACGTTCTTTGTTTTTTTCATCCAAAGAAACAAATTACTAGTCTAATAAAAGAACATACTTCCAAAATCCGCCTACTTTCCTCAATCTTCCTGTTGTCTGTGTACTAGCCTACGAGGTACGTACATACGTACCTCTTTTCTTTATACTTGAAATCATTATCACTGAAAAATGGAAATCATTCAGGCTTTTCAGTTTTATTATCCTCCACCAATGGACTTGATTTTACAGGTAACACTATGAGCTCGATTCGGGAACTACGCCTGCCATTCTGCTACAGATTGCCTGTAAAGTGGCTAAACTCTGTAGATTTATCTAGGAAAATTTCACAGATTTTGGTACAAGTTAAAATTTCCCCTCAGCAAGATGGAGGTAGTGATGGATCTAAGTTGAACCTATCTTCTGCTATGGTAAATCACCACCATCCTTATACAGAGAATAGATTAATTATAACTTAGCAGAAATGTTCAAGTAATGGAGTACATACTACATGCCGATTACATAGCTTCTGATGCGGCCCGTCATGCAGCATCAATGCATTGTGATCCTTCAATCCTATTCCGGAAAGGATGACCCTTTTCGACATCTTCCAACTACCATATATTTAGAGCCAAAGAGCTCATTTACCAGCTTCTGTCAGCATTGCTTCCACTTCTCCGCCTGCATTTCAAACAAGAACTCGGTGAAGACAGACAGTCTAGGAAACATTTTTCTCCCATAAAAAAAGATGCCATGTCGAATCTAACCTTGCTCAATGATTTCACAGTTCCGTTTATAGGACCAATTCAGACACTCATGCCTATGAATTATGGTGACCTGGATGTAATGAGATCATTGGTCAAACTGTATGAAATAGTACAAAGTAACAATAAATGTATCCAAGTACATTGATTTGCAGCATCTGACCTCAACACTGTCACCAAGCTCTCCTACATCCACATCATGGACCTGTTGGGAATATATTGAACATGTTGTAACAAGCTCTCTGTGCTGTTCCTAGCTCTCGGACCTTGTCTTCTTAAGTCCTGGATCTGCCATCTGATCAGCAAACCTATTTTATGAAACACAAACACTTAATCAGCACTAATGGTTAACCTTTTAAAAGCTTGGTATCATAATCTCGGATCAATCACAATTTTCAAATAAACCATGGCCATCTAATACATCAAGGACTTTGCATACTTTTTTTACCTTCCACACGTATTGAAGTTGAATTTTCACGTCCAAGCACCAAAGTTAACAGATTGAAGGGATATATGACCGAGAAACAAGTCTTTCACATGTTTCCTGCACAGCCCAATTCGTCGTCTATGTAAGCCGGGATGGATACAGCTAGAGAATCCAGTTTTCCATCCAGGAAACTTTTGTTGTTCCATCACGTGAAGAGTGTAAACACAAGGAGCAGGCATTGTGCAACCTATGACAAAGCAGTTGCAAGGTCTGGACTTGCTTACAGTTCTTGCCAATGATAATAAACACAGGCCACTATAAGTCCCTCCTGACAAGCTGTCTGCATTGTCGAAATCCTCATCAGTTATCTCCTGTTCTGTCTCACGTGTTACAGGAATTCTGCTCAGCTGTAAATCAAACTTTTTCTCTATCTCCGTCTCATGTATTCTATATTTGGCAGCTAGTGTTCGGATGCAAGACATCCTTACTTCACCTGAAATTATAAGCTTGATCTCATTAAAGTTGTCACACTCTTTATACCATCTAAGCCACCGGTCAACAATTCCTGAAAACCAACCAATTATATGTTCCTCGTCCTGTAAAACGAGTATATGACATAAGCGAGGTTGCCCTTCAGCATTTGTCACTCCATATCTTTGGAGGCGCTTCTTTATGGGACCAATAGGGGCTACGATTTCTGTCACAGTTGGAGTAATTGCTGAACTGATGCCAGGTAAAAGAGCAACAGTAGCAGTGGTCTCTGAAGAAACATACTCCCTGGCACGCTTCTGGAACTCCTCATAGGATTCTTTTAGTTCCTGCGGAAGAGATGGTTCCACAATGCACCTTGACAAAATGGATTCTACACTTTCTTCATTCCTGGCATTATTATTCTGCATCCATATCTTCAGAAGCAGTCTATACCAGTGATCAGTTTCCATTCCAGCTTTACGGAAACAGGAAATTTGATTCAAAAGGGAGCTCCTATCAGTTAGGTGCTTGATCTCTGATTCTTTTACCTTCTTAAGACCGTGAGCTATCCATTTTTTCCCAATCCTAACAGTTCCTGTATCCCAAGCCCTTTGCTTTTGAGAAGCAAACAACGCCACTTTGTCCTTCAACTTGTGAACAGCTCTTACTGCTGGGCTTTCTTTCACACTTCTTTTAATCAAAGTTCCTAGGAATCGAACACCACGCCTACTTTCACATGGTAGAACATCTAATTGATCACAAACCCCCAAGTAAAGAAGATTCTTGAGGAAGTTTTCAATTTCAGATTTGCACGAAAGAGCGACATCTTTTGGGCCAGCAATAGCAACAAAAATCTCGTCCAGAAAGCGACAACAATGTAATCTTACACTGGAACCATTCTCACAATTGTGTTCTTGAGTAATATTACCATTCATCTGCCTCCTGAACCATCCACGTAGCTTTGAGTTTATCCCATCATCCCCAGTAGCCGACGATGAATCAAGAGCTTCATACGTCATTGACATCCTGTAAATTTCACGATCAAAGACGTCAAGATAAATATTTGTCAAGATTGGAGACAATACTCCTTCTTGTGGAAGACCATGCCCTTTAGGAAAACCTCCAAACTCCAAGTTAAGCACCTTGGAGTCAAACATGCGTCGGATTATTGCATACAGACTTGAATCTTCTACTTTATGCTGCATTTCATGGATAAGCCTATCAAGGATCTGTGAATTTAGTTTCTGATTAAGATGCAAGGTAAACCACCAGTTTGAATCATGCATCTCCTTCCTAATATATCTCAAAGCAGATGAGTGATCTCTCCCGCTTCGGCCACCGTGTGAAATCTTAGAAAAATGAGGTCTGTAAACAACTTCCAACGCTATCTTTATGGCCTCTTGCACCACTTTCAACTTAACATTTGGGAACACCAGTACTTCTTTATCTTTACCCCTCGTTGACATGGAATAGGTGTTAGCATCAACATTAAAATTCCCAGCAAGGAGCTCGTCTGCCATTGATTCAAAAGGCAAATTGTCTCCATCTGTTGTCAAGTCAATATTCGAGCTCACCCTTATAAGATCATAAGCATCCCTCAAAGTATTTGAATTAGCAATCACTTTCTCCATGAGGTCATAAAACTTCCCATCTCTATATTGTTCCTTAACCCTCTTTTTAATACGCAGCTCAAGAAACCTCTGCAGCTCTGCACGTGTTCTAGGTTTTCTCTTTGGTGTAACCGAAGAATCCTCAACCAAACTTGCCAAGTCCATGGCGAGTGTCCCATTCCCATTTTCTTTCTCGCCATCGCCATCAATAACTACTACTCTTTGAATTGTTGAGAAACAGGAGACATCCCTAATCCTAAAGCTAATCTGCCTCCCTGCCACAAATAAAAAATGGAGACTGCATGTAAGGAAAAATTATAAGAAGCATCAAAATCTAAGTACGCAAGAGCAAGAACCTTAAAGGCTATCCATAGAAGCAAATATGTTGCGAAAACTTTAAGGCATAAAGAGAATTACCCTCGCCGATTGATGCCACCTGAGATTTATGCCCAGAAACCATGAACCGGTTTCCTCCCAGTGAATTGGAGCTACATTTTCTGAAGCAGATTCTTCCAAAAACCTTATAAAGGTTAAACAGCATCCTGTCTTGAGTTGGAGAAGTTCACTCGTAACTAGTGCCAACGAGAAGTTGAAGTATAAACCTCAGAAATCCCCTTACTTTCCTGCATGTTATAAGAAGAAAGTGACAAACATTTTCTCTAAGAGACATAACAGCAAACAGGTAATGTGCTTCGAAAGTTCAAAATGTGACGAAACCACCATGTCCAAGCCCGCCCCAGCAATATCTGGAGCAAGACCGGCTTACAATCTGCGTAAAAAGGTGGTGAGATTTTGCCGCCGAAAATAAAAGCAATTTATAAAAAGATTCGATCTTTTCCTTTTTTCTTTTTTTTTTTTTTCTGAATGAGAAAATAACCAGGAGCAGGGAGACCAAAAAAATTAGGAAAACTGATAAATGTACTTTCTCTGAAGTTCTATATAACCCGACCGCTATTTATAAACCCCTCACTAAAACCCTGACACGAATGAAATGGCTCAATTTCTGCGTCGCTGTCTTTCACCAAGAATGAAGGTTTCTTTAACCGATTCCCTGAATCAACAACTCTCACGTTCTGCTTATCAAAGGGTTTTTCGGCTTTTCTTTTGTTCAAATTCAACAACTTCCCAGCACGTGTCCGATGCTTCCAACAATCTTTACAAACGGATTTCACCCGTTGGCGACTCCAATATATCCATTGTCCCAATCCTTGATCAGTGGGTTAGCGAAGGAAGACCCGTCACCAAGAAACAACTTCAGCATATCATCGGGGAACTCAGAGTTTACTGCAGATTCAAACATGCCCTCGAGGTTTCCCATTCTCTTCCCTTACTATGAATTTTTTGGAGTATTGATGTTCAAATCGAATTTGGGGATATTTTGGGTGTACGATTGAATTTCATCTCATAAATTTGAAACTTTTAGCAGCTATGAAATGCTCTGTCCAGAATCTAGATACTTTGGTTGGTAACTCAGACGGTAAGTGAATTTCAAATAAATATTGAATGCATATTGCTATGAACTCAATAACATCTTCTGAATCAAAATCCTCTTTTCCAGTACTTCTTTGATCATGTTATTTGTCTGACATGTTAAGACTGTTTCCTGCTTGCGGATTGCTTCTATGTTACTTGAGATATTAATTTTTTGAGTAAAAAGAAAATTGTGATTCATACTAGTACAACACCTGGCTACAGGCATGAGGCATCTAATGGTACATTGTTATTCAGTTTCTAGAAATTGAAAAGGACGCTGATGGAGCATCACAGTGCAAATAAATCACTAGTGGGAAGAGGATAGAACTTTGCATTTAACTAAGAACTACTGTGTGTGAGAGAGTGGGGGAGAACTTTGAATTTAACTTGGAAGGAAGAGGCTTGTACAGCCCACATTGATAGTTGCCAGAACTGCAGTTTTTAGATTGGTGAGGAGGTCAATTTGACAGTTCATGTAGCTCATAGTGGTAGCAGAACTAACCTGTTATTTCTCAATATTAGGATGGAGAAAATGTCGGGAATGCGATTGTACTCAAGTTGATGGTTTACCGTTGCTTTTCTTTTATCTATGGTTCAGGAAGAGTAAATCTCAATGTTGCAATTCTTTTTCTCATTCATGTTTGATGTTAAATGCTTTCAAGAATGGAGAATACCGGATTTTTTATGGTTGTGATTTCATGTATCTAATGACTGCATTTGTTGTACTCTATCGCTAGGTATCACATTGGATGAGTGACAAACGCTTTATGCCTTTTTCGGCCAAAGATGTTGCATTGCGGACGAATTTGATTTTCAAATTATATGGCTTAGAGGCAGCGGAGGATTATTTTAATAGTATTCCTGGAAATCTTAAAAGCTTTGTAGCATATGTTGGCCTCCTTAACTGCTATGCCCATGATAAGTCCGTGGAAAAAGCAGAGGCCACCATGCAGATTTTAAGGAATATAGGGATTCGGTCACCATTGGCCTTCAATATCATGATGAATCTTTACTACATCTTGGGGAAGTGGAAGAATCTAGATGATTTAATGCAAGAAATGGGAATAACTGCTGACTGTTACACTTACAGTATCCGATTGAGTGCTTATGCTGCAGCTTCTGATATTGCTGGTGTAGATAAAATTGTTAATATGATGGAAAGCGATCCAACTGTTTTTATCGACTGTAATACTTTTTCTACTATTGCTCAGGCATATCTGAGACTCGGGCACTTGGACAAAGTGTTGACGGCTTTGGGGAAAATGGAAGGGGTAGCAAGTAGCAAGAAAACGAGACATTTCTCCTTCGATTTTCTACTTAAAATGTATGCTGAAATTGGAAGGAAAATTGACGTTTTCCGAATCTGGAACATGTACAAGAAAGAAAGAAAAATATATAACAGGGGTTATATAAGCATGATGAGCTCGCTATCAAAGTTCAATGATATTGAAGGGATGGAGAAAATCTTTGAGGAGTGGGAATCAAGTGGACTTCCTTATGGTTTTATGGTCCCAAATACTCTTGTAAATTTTTATTGCAGAAATGGACAAATAGAGAAGGCTGAGGCTCTCATTAACAGAGGATCACAGAAAGGGGGTAAACCTCTGTCAACTACATGGTACTATATGGCACAAGGATACATTATGAATAATCAAATTTCAAAAGCTGTGGAAGCGTTGGAAAAGGCAGTCTTGGCATGTCGGCCCAATGATCGTCCTAGCAAGGAAACTTTGGTGACCATTCTGGAATATCTGGAAAACAGGGAAGACAGAGTAAAGGAAGAGGAGTTTCTAAGTCTTCTGAAAACGGAAAACGTATTTCCAGGAGCAGATCGTGATAGGATGCTTCAAATTGTCAAAGTGGAAGAAATTGCAGCTTGATTTTATGGTGCTGCGACACAGTTGTCATCTCGAACATGTGATTGTTGATGGGGATGGCATCTATTTCTTGCTGATGCTATCACGTATTAATAAGGAGACAAAAGCTTCCGATGCTGATTGCTGCATAATACCATTATCGTTTTCCTTCTGTGCAATTCTACTGATGCAGTAAGTTTTGCTTACCAAGTCTTTTGTGTAGCTATTTTTCTCATTGCCTGCTACATTGATATTGCTCTTACGGAAAAGGCAAATGAATTGAAAAAACTATTGAGTAGTATTGGGGGACGAAGAAGGAGATGTTATAAGTTATCTTGATCTACAGTATTATTATGCTGAAGCTTAGGAGATCTATATTATGTTATGGACTACAGTGCCAATGTGTGGTGATTCGATGATTAACCGTGTGGAGTCTGGCTGTGTGCAACAAGGAAACGATGGGTAAAATAAAGGAATCTTATTCAATACAGGTTGCTCATATTTTTCAAGGAGACGGAGCAATTTAAACCTGATAGATTGTCCATCATTTCCAGTTTTCAGGCATTAAGAAAACTGGTTGAATGGGGGTCTTGTGTGTATGTGAGTACAAATAGTTGTCAGTTGAACATATAGCCTAGGCAGGCAATTAAGGTGGACAGTCTGGGAGTATTATTTTAAAGGAATTCTGGCCGAGGCATTCGAAATCTCAGCTTCAATCAATTTATATATCTCTCTTTTTTTTTAATCCCCTCGAGTCGTGTTCCATTCATTTTAACATAACAAAGCCACTCTTTACATTTGAGCGGAGTTATGGATATGAAAATGACAAAAAAGGTTAATTCTCGTTGCACTGTCCAATTTAGAGTTGTGTGTTGTGAGTGTGGGTAAAAATACTAAAATCATTTCTTGCGAAATGTCAAACAGTTTGGCTTCCGGTTTCCTAACACACAGTAATTCAAAAAAAAAAAAAAGCCGGTACGAAATTTGAAAATTTATCAAAAAAAATAAAAGAAAGACTTTACTTCACTTTTTCGAGGTTTTTCACCGAAGTAATTTTTAATGGAAGGACCTGGACAAAAAAATTTATCAAATCCGAAACTATATAAATTCGGATTTGACAAATCTGAATTTCTTCGTAATACAACTATGAGATGCATTGTTTCTATTGAGTAAATTCGGATTTGCCATATTTGAATTTAGTACAAAATGGGTAGATTCGGATTTGACAAAGTAGAGACAACTAGTTTTGTCCACCTAAAATAGGGAAAAAAAAATTAATTTTGTCCACGTCTATTTTTATTTTTTATTTTTATTTTGGACCGAAGCACCCCAATTTTTCGTTGACTCTTGTTCGTTGATGCATTGGTGCCGATATAAGCTTCGCCAATAATTTTTTTTGGATAAAAATGGTATACGTCAACATTGTAATTTCCTAAGCAAAACTGATGAAAATAATTTTTTTTGTTAACACTTCCTTTGGCTACTTTTATTTAAATTTGTTTATTTTATTCACCGATTATCAATAGTGGAGTTAGAATTTTACTAAAAGAGGAGGAAAAAAATGTCCCAAAAAATGGAGGGTGAAAAAGTGTTAAACAATTTTTTACTAAATTGAAATTAAAATTTTTTGTAAATTTACTAATAAATTTTAAGAAGTCTTCTTCTTTTTTTTTTTTTTTTGGAACAACAAAACAAAATGGAGGAGGATGAAGTGCCGGATCTTTTGTATACACAAAAGTTGCTGCCGTGGAGAGGAAGGGGGCCAAACCGTAGTGAAAATCTTTCTCATGTGATCGGATTGTCGCGGTAAAAGCCTAATTAAGAGCAGTGGTTTGAGTAAAAGAGTAGCTTCAAGGCATATCACATTGGATTTTGATGGTCCATTTCTGTAAAACATTATTTTGCCCAAGGGAAGTTACCGGACCCATTAATTGTTTCCTTCCTCTCTTCTTGGCTCATTTCAGAACTTTTTTAAGTAATAGCAGAAAACACGTTATTTTATCTTTCAATTCCTTGCACTGTATTGCGTGGTAACTGACACAATTTTTAAGGCCAGTTATCACTTAGTGCGGAGGCTCTGAGCCAAAATTAAGCAGGGATGGCCACCAGCATGGCTTTTTCGACTTCCACCTTTTTGTATGTGTTACTGTGTGTTTGTTTGCAGATCAACTCTTCAGTATCTTTCATGATGGCACTATCAGTGTATCTGGAAAAAGGAGGGTACCAACAAGTATTTGCATTTTGATGTTGAAGGCGTTTGTTCCGTCTTTTTTCTATTTAAGTTGGGTCTTGGACATTGAGTTGAGTTAAACCTGTGTAAAATTAGGTGAGAGATAGGTAATAGGGTGTGATTTTTCAGGAGGAGTAATGATTGTTAAAAATTTGTAAAGAAAATGTACGTTGAATGAATAATAGTTAAAATTTATATTTATGGATTTATCTATTTCAATATTAAGAGATAATTAAGATTCGAACTTACCATTCCATATTAAAATTTTCTTGTATGTATCTCTATTCTTTGAAAATTTAGATAAGACTGGAAGCCATATGCAAGGAAATAGTAGCTAGTTTTATAATCGTGAGGTTGATGGATTGGTGCCCGTTACAAAATATTAACTCACTGCATTATACTCCCATATCTGTTTTTTTGTTTATGATGTGTCTCTCCCATTTTGTGCATGAACCCTATAAAGTCGTAACCTTCACAGCGTCATAGCTTTTGCCAGTAGTATTATATACGTTTAGTGGGTTCTGTACTGTGTATGAACAATTTTGCTCTCATCCATTTAGTGGGTTCAACGTAATGAAGAATCCCCCTCCCCCAAAAAAAGAGAGAAAAGGAAAGAAAAGAAAAGAATGATGTATTATAATGTATTATCCTTCATACATTAAATAATTACAATTTCATTCCATTAACGTGCATATATGTGAAATAAAATTTGTAACAACCTTGTACTCTATTGGCAGTAAGTCCCAACACAAATATCTATACCCGCAAACATGTTGGCTCATTCTGTAAGTCCCATTTTCCATTTTAGGGCAAAAAACATAGATAAAAGGACTGATAACTCTTATTAAAATGTCTAAATAAGGGGACTGGAGAGGAAAGAGCGTTAATTACCAGAAGAAAAAAGAAATGTATACAAACCGATACGCATTAAAGACAAATGCGGTTTTTCAAAAATTGAAAAAAAAAAAAAAACCAAATATCTTTTTAGAACCGGTACTGTACCGAATGAACTATAAATTTCATGTCCTTGATAATAAGAGTGAACTTCAAAACAAATCATTAACCTTTAATAAATTTCAACCAGGGGCGGAGACACATATATGATTAGTGGGGCAATTGCCCCAGCTGATTTTTTTTTTTTTTTTTTAGTTATTATCCCTTAAAATTTGAGATATTTTCTTAAGAAAATTAGGTTTTGCCCACCTAAATTAATAATATTAGGGGGCAAACATATTAAATTAGTAGTATTAAAAAGTTTGCCCCATCACTTTTTCGGGGCCTAGCTCCGCCCATGATTTCCACTCTATGTCATCAATTAAATTTATTTGTAACACATGTTACTTTACTAAAGTTTTTATCCATTTCAGATTATTCTATTAATTTTGGCCGTTAAATAGTGACGGAAATCCATTTTTCACATGTTTTTTGGTTCAGGAGTATTTTTGTCATTTTCTTATTTTTAAATTTTTTAATCTTTTAAATTTTTTTCTTTTTTTTTTACAATTCTTTTTCTTATACTTCCTAACTTGTATATACTATAATTATAAATTTTAAAAATTTATTTTCTTTTTGTATTTTAACTTCTAGATTATAAAATTTTTTAAAAAAATATTCAGAAATGAAGAAAAAAAATTCGAGTTAAAGTAAACATGAAAATAAATAATTTACCATTTAAAAAAATAAAAATTAAAATAATTAGCTAAGACAAGTTGTTTCTTCTAGGTTATTTAATTTTTTTCTTAAGGTAACCTGTGTTACAAATAAATTTAATTGATGACCTACAGTGGAAATATATTAAAGGTTGATGACTTGTTTTGAGGTTCACTCTAATAATAATTTCATTTCTTCTCATTTGATAAAGAATGTGTCCATTAATGCTTTACTAGAATTATCCCCGTGCGTTGTACGGATTACGGTATATTTTTGCGTAAAATTGTAAAATTATGATCACATGTGAGCCAAACAGAAAAAATAAATGTAAAGATATAGTGTTTGACACAACATCTCTTTCGTAATATTTTTTTATTAGATTTTTGTGGAAAATACTACATATTATACATAGTCGATGGTCTTTCATCGACCGAAATAATTTTTTTATTTTCCTTAAAAAAATCTATCACAATAAACTCGACTTAAAAATGTGTGAAAAATCATTCTTAGCAACCAATAAAAATAGCTAAAATAATTAGCTATGGAAAAAGTTAGGGTTGTTATTATTAATTAAGTAGATAATCAAATATATATATATGAAATATAATAATGATGGGTGAAATGCATGGCTGAAATATAAATTGAAATAATCAATTTACAAAAAATTTTAACACGTTAACGAAAAGGGGTCTCTGGCATTGACACGTGTCAAACAAACTCTCACCTTAACATGTGTGGAAAGAAACTTCTGAACTATCTAATTGAGCTACGCGTATCACTTGAAAACTTTCCTTTAATATATAATACAGATTTCACCTTTTCAGAAAAGGAAGGAAAAACATTTAAAAAAAGAAAAAAAGAGAAATCTAAATTGAGCTCCCTAATTTATAAATCCAGAGGACATCAAATAAAAAATAAAACAATGAAAGAAATGACTGGGTTATAAGTGCGCACTCTTGAAACTTGATGATGTTCAGGTCGTCTCTATTTTTGATGTGAGGGCTATTCGTGACCTCAAAACAGAACATCAAGAAAGAAATTGGAATCCAAAGCATTATGTGAGATTTCAAGAAGGTCATTTGTTCTGCTAGAAAGGAAAAATTCAATGTTGTTCCGCGGGATTTTTCCCATGCTCAACCAACACCAGAAACTGGAGGTGAAGCTACTGGAGCTGCAGTTAGTGTCGAGTCGGAAGATGATGGTGATGAATCCGAAATCTGCAGCTGGATCCAGGTCAGAAGGTGGTGAGGCCCCTGTAGCTGATGCGTGAAAGTCTGGTATTGTGCGGTGTCGTTTCTTGCCCGTTATCTTCGATATATATCAAGAATGGTAATACTACCAGCTACTACATAATCTAGAAAATTTGGGTGACTGTTTTTTCCCCTGTTTATATTAATAAGACTGTTAGGTTAATAAATTCATGTTTGTAAACTTGCACATTTGAAAACCCACTAACTCTTTGATACGACGAATTACATGTAGGCGCACGACTATATTTTCATTTTGGTTGATCTCAGTATGGTTTCGTATAAACTGCTCTTGGTTGCTTAATTTGATTTGCTGACATTCATTCTGTCTATAGATCTGTGTTACCCATTTAACTCTTTCATATTAAAAGAAAAGACGAAAATACCCCTGATCTCGGCACGTCAACGGCCGGTCAACATCGAGCTGGACGGAAAAGTGATCGAAATAGTGAAATGAGATTAAAAAAGTTTGAAAACATAATGTTTGGGACTACGATATTAAAATATTAGTATTAGAGATATAAATTCAAGTAAGTCCAAATGTTAAAAATCATTTGGACATTTTAGTCTATCAAGGGAGGTTATTTTGTAGTTATTTCACATAAATTAATGGTAGTGTTTTAATTTTCAAATGCTGCTCATTTGGCAATTAGGACTAATTGCCTAGCAATTCTAGGCATTTTTAATAATAACAAAACAAGAAATAAAAAAATATATATGTACACAGTAAAAATAGAAGATGCAAAAATTGAGACGGAAAATCTAGTCTATACCAAAGAGTAGTCTCTGGAAGGAAGGATAAGAATGAGCCCGGAGGGGTCTGAGGCCTTTTTCACATGGGATGCATTGTCAAAATTCTCATAAATTCAGGCCTCGTACATGGTCCTCCAACGTTCAAATCTGGTCTGGTCTCTCATTTCAATAAGTTTGCCCTTCTAGATGACAGTGACCTTCTTCTCTCTGTAGTCGTCTATAGACATGAGCAGATGTCAAATATTCTCAAACGTACTCGTTTCCTTGCATTTGAAAATTCAGGCTGATTTTGAGATTTCCCCGTATGACTTCATTTCAATCACATATACATTGGATTAGACTCTCGTGGACGGCATATAAGCGTGCATCTTCCTCATCTCATAAAAAATGTACGGGATGAAAAAAGAACTTGGCATTTGAACCTGCAGGGTTCTCTATACAGACTATACTGCAAGATCCTAATTAATGGCGTTCCCACTGGCCACGGGACACATTTAACACCTGCCGAAATCCTTGACTCCAGTTCTTTGACTAGTGGCAGTAAAAAATTTGAAGTAAAATGGAAACTTTTTCCAGAGAGATTTGAATTTGATGCATTTTTGGGCATTGATTTTTCAATTTCATATAGACCAGTTAACCCTTTTTTTTTTTGGGTTAAAATGGAATTGAATTAATGGAATGTAAGTAGGGGTAATTCCACGCAGTTCCAGTTTCTTTAAGAAATCAAGCATACGAAAAAACGAAAAAGACTAAGCTCATCATACAGCAGATTCCTTGTATTTACTATGCAAGCTGATAGGCAAGCATCTTCAAAGTGTTCATTTGTACAAAAACAGGTGAAAGGGGAAAGAGATGATACCTAAACTCATCATGCTAAACTCAAAACTAAGAATAGGAAGAGAATGAACGATGATAACAACACCAGAGAGCATCATGTACTATATTCATTCTCAACCTATGTACCTAAGTCTAAAAAACCGAAGTTTGAATCTCGCTGGCTGCAACTATATAGCAACTCAATACCCCTGCAACTATATAGCATTGGACTAGAAAAGGAACAGGCATAATAGGATGCAACAGAAGACGAAAAATGATATTCTGTTCAGAGACTTGGAAGTTTGTATCTCCTGCCTCCTCAGCCTGGGGCTCATACTTCCCTGAGTATGGTACGAGTAAGGATATGTATAAAAGCTTTCTGAATTACCAAACACCCTTGCGTAAACCATCTCTCCATAGTTCCCACACATAGGATGACAAAGTGGCATTGGACTCCCAAGATTAGAAAGATCAGGTGAATTAGCCTCCCCTGAATTGGCAGCAGCAGGGTTAGGAGAATTCGGCTCATCTTGCACCCGTTGCCGGAGAGTGGACGAAGTCGCCTGGGCTTGTCTAGGGAAGGCAGTTGGTCTGGGAGGTATGATCAGCTTCAAAACGGTTTTGTCAGCCGGCTCGGTTTGTGAAAGACTCTGGCCACGGCCGTAAAGAGGAACCACGGATTCAGGGGATATTTCAGCCTTGCAAACAGGACACTGGCAACACTCTTCGGACGAAAGAGATGATCTCTGGAACTCCAACCATTTGTAGATGCAGGGCCAACAGTAGAGGTGGCCGCAGAGAGTGACCACTGGATCGGAGGCAAAATCTAGGCATATGCTACAATCAAAGCAGGCTGATGTCTTCTCAAAGCCTGAGCTTAATGCAGGGACGGATTTCATTTCTGGCACAATTTGTTGTTGCTCAAGTTCCATTCTAACAACTCGATAGTCTCTACCAACCTCAGGAGTCTATATCTGACTATCTGTAAAAGAAGCTAATTTAGAGCCAGATATATAATCAAACTACTTGTGTGTATATATATATATATACACACACACACACAAGTACATGCCCGCTAGTCAAGCTTTTAAAAAGTGAACAAAAAAATTAAAAAAAAAAAAAATTGCACATGAGTGAAAGACATTAGCTAACGACACAAGGGCAGGCGGCCATCCAGAATTTAGATGGTGGGTAAAGGCATAGGCTTATGTCACTTTTAGCTTTTGGGCTTATTAGTTTTCTATTCATTCAAAACAATAAAACTTCCAAAAGAGCCAAGAACCAGGCTTCAAAATCAAACAAAAGGATTAATGTAGCCATCTCTGATGATAATGGGTGGGTGACAAAAAAGGTGACATTGATAAGTGATGATAACAAGACAAGGTAAGGAAAGTAATGTTTTCAGGGAACAGTGAATAGAAGTTTCCGAGAAAAAGTCTCAACCAAACCAAAATAGTAGTAGGAGAAAAGCAAATCATATATAACATCTCCTTTGTTGTTGCAGTCAAAAAGTCCAAATGGTTGAAGATTCTTGTTCAGATTGTTAAAATCTTTTTCATTTGCAAATTAAAAAAGGGAACCAAAAAGAGCACTTTAGATGTCTTATACGCATGCCGAATCTAAGGCAAAATTTTATACGTCCTCATAAGACAAAAGCAAAGTGCAGTGCTTCGTTCCCAAACTTTTGCTGCAAACAGAAAGGCCCGAATCTTGGAGATTCTTCTTCAAACATTATCAAAGTTTTTAATCATTTCTGTATTTATTTTATGTGCTCTGAGATCTCTGATTTCAGGCAAGCCAAATCTGAGCAAAAAAATATGGACTTATTGTTCCCAAACAAAGAAGGAAGAAAAGTTGAATGCTTTGCACCCAAAACAGAACAAAAGAAAAATTGTGGTAGGGGGTTGTTAAAGTGTTCGATTCGGAATGAAATGGATGTTCTTTAAGCTTACATTTTGAGGATTCAAACTTTTCAGTAGACATTACGATCAGCAAATATTGCAGATACCATTCTCAATTACTCTATATTGATCTAATAACTAATAATATTGCTCAAACAGAGTTGCAACGAGATGGGCTTATGCTAAAGTTTCTTTTTTTCTGGTAAATTTAGTGTAGCCCAACCAAGTTTAATCCGAGATCACCATTATCATTCCATCTAAGCTCGATTTTTTAACAAATACTGACTGATCAACATCCATGAATAGAAGGAACCAACAACATTGATTAGACTGCAAATTGATTATGCCCAGAAGTCAAGAATCACAACCAAGCAAAAACTATAAAGCAAGCAGACCAAAAGGCCAATCGAATATGGTATTTACGCACCTGGAGGGAAAAAGCTTGATGGGCTTTGGTTAACAGAGAGAAATCAGTATGTTCAGTTTCTTTCTTCAATGGCCTTTTTCTCAAGTAGGAAAGAGAAGACGTGCAAAATGGCAAAGGAGGGATATGAAGCCTGAAGGTTTGATGATGCTTTTCTTTTCTTTGCGTTTGGGAGTTGATCAACAAAAGTAAGGAGGTTAAATGGCGGCTTAAATAGATGATTTTCTTTTCTGTTTTTTTTTTTTTACAATTTAATTTAGGACTAGAGGGCGGCTTAAATAGCAGAATATATTTGTAATTTTCCGGACAACGGGTATCGTCGGGAGCTGACGTGGAGGACCGAGGTGAGGATTTCCACGTGCGCCCCTGATTCATTACATTTTCGGGTCCCGTCCCCTGCCTGCACATTTGGTCCTCTCTAAACATTTTCTCACAAATTGTTTTTCACGTTGGGAGATCCTTGTACTCTTATCTTCCGGAAATTATCGTTTTAGTTTTTATTAAATCTAAAAATTTAAACGAGACAATCATTTAAATACGGTAAAAATATTACGTAACTAAATGATTAATGATCCATGAAAATGAAATCACCCAGTGCCAGTGCCAGTGCCAGTGTTTTTAATTAACGTAATCAATCATTCTTGTACTGAAAAATTAGGAGCGACCATATTTTTCTTACTGCCCCTTCTTTTCAAGGCATTTATTGGCCTTAGATTAGTTGAAAGTTTATCCAGGGTAAATGATATCAACCTGCACAATTCAAATACTACCAGTACAAGACAATGAAACAAAAACAAAGTGGAGTTTATTCCTTTTATATATTTCTTTAATAAATAAAACAAAGTGGATACATTTTATTCAAGTAATCAATCATAAGATGGTAATAGTGGTATACACGGTTAAGCAGCAGTTGGGGGGGAATGGAACAAAGGTAGTTGGTGATAATCAAAGCAATTGCAATAAGTATGGATAAAGAAATAAATATACTGGAATATCACCAGCCAACTTAACATTTATTAATAAATTGGTGGTAGTAATTAGTACTCCATTATTTGGGGGGTGATGCTTCTAGATTGCCTGTACGCCTTTTGCTCTTCTAGAAGTGGGGTGGAACGGAAACCACCCTGAAATATCCCAATATCATTTATTTCATGCTTTTGATTTGCCTTTCCCTCTCACGTTGTAGTATTACGTACTAAATTAACAAACAACGTTTTCTTGGCCATTTCCAACGAAACCAGACACGCACCTTATACTATTTTCTTTTTTTAAATATAGATAGACACGTAACCAAACATTTCAATTAATCGTTCCATAGAAAAGGACATCCTCCATCTTATGTATGCATTACTGTCTCGAATTTTCAATATCTGGGGACTAAGCTCAAACCAACTCATGCACAAGATCAACCTTAATTTATACAGTATTACATATCTTACTGAAGTACTAGTTTTGAATTATTCAAAATGTAGGCTTCTTATAATTCTTTCATGTTTCAAACACTTGAACTTTACTCCCATCATATATATTGACACTGACTATTTGACTGTAATGAAATTTTTATTTTTTTTTTGTTTCATTTTCAAGATTATTCGCATCTTTGTTTCGTAGAGCCATCCACGGGGAAGAAAAAACAGTAAGGAAAATACATTATAGTCGGCTAATGCATGAGATCATTTTATTCATTTTCGGTTTTTTATCATAACAAAGAAAACACACATTCCCGATTCCGTATAAAAGCTTGCGTACAAAATGAAGACGACGGCGCCGGTTGATTTTCTTTTCCCCTTAATTCTAATGAAATCATAGATGCATAGCATTATGTTTTGCCATATATATTCCATGTTCCTGTAAAATTTCATGCCGACGCAAAGAACCCAAAGAAGGGTACAATGCAATTACTCTTTCTGCGTCACAACCCAAATAGTCGAACATCGCACCTTACCAAATTATTGATTTCCGGCGGGGTTGCGTGCGTTAAATAAAAAAGGACAAAATAAACAGAGAAAAAAAGAAAGTGAGAATTAATATAGTAAATAATAGGGAAAAATCATTCTAGAAGGCATACTGAATGAGGGGGTTAAGCAAGCCATAATGGTGGGGTCTTGAGGATTGTAATTGGCTAACAAACAAACCAACAGATGGTGATCGTGGGACGGTTTCTTTCTGAAAGCTCCTTCACTCACTGCTACTACTGCGTACTTCTTCTACTCCACGCGCAATCCCTCCATAGTCTATTTTGCTCAGCTAAAGTTAACTCCTCTTCTTTTTAATAATAATAATAACTTCAAACATATTGTTACATTTCCTTTTCCTTTTGGATTTTTTGAATCAATCGTTTTACGAAATTTGTACTTTTTCTTTAAAGCATGGTTGGTGGCAGGTGTTTTTTTTTTTTTTTAACCCTTCGAGAGAGAATGATCAATTTATTGTGTAGCTACAATCCATTAATATAGTCTTCTGATCTCGAAATTAATGTCCATAATTAAATTTTTATTTTTAATATATAAAATAAACTATAGGTAAAAACTCAAATTGGATAATAATTTTAAGGCATTAAATTTAGATCAAGCCATCAAATGAGAAGATCATTGAAAATACTCAAAATAGGCGGATTGATTTTGGACGGGAAAGTATTACATGGATTTTGGATTCAAGCCATCAAATGAGAAGATCATTGAAACTAGGCGGATTGGTCAGTAGCTGGGATAATATAGTTTTAGTAGTACTATTCCTAAACTTGTTTAATTTTAAGGAATTAATTTTGAATGTAAGAGGGTGCATACGAAATTGAAATGAATTGTTTCAACGTTGATTAAGTTTTTCAAGTTAACCTACTAAAGAAGTCAAGTACATGAGCCGGATTTTTCAACGCCAAAAATGTCACATATGGACCAATTAAGACGACAAGTACGTGAGCCGGATATTATATTTCAACACCCAGATGACGAAAAGGGTCAATAATCAACACTTAAGACCCTTCCCCATTTCTAGAAGCCCCCATTTTAATCTATTTCATCAATATATGTGTTAATCAATTTTATCTAAACGCCACGTCTTATCCACCACCTGCGCCATAGATTAGGATCCTCCAATTCACCAGTTACTAATTAATGAAGCTTGATAAGATATTATTGTATATTGTTCGCCAATAGTAGATTATAAAATTAAATATCTAAACCTTAACAATATTTACTAAATTTAAGTCAAAGATGGCATACACCATAATTTTACATTTTTGTTAAAAATCATCGTTTCAAATTTTGATACATGTCTGTTTTAATTTTATTTATTTTTTTAAGATTTATTTAACACCCTAACTCACTGTTTGATATAGGAATGCTAGATATAGGAATGTTGAGTGACTGACGTACTAAATGCAATAGAACATTGCTAAATTAATAATCTATAAATTAATAACTTCTAACATTACTAATTTTTTCCGGTCTCAACTTGGGACCAGTACAAAAAGTGAAAAAAAAATCAATAAAATGATAAGATAATAATGTTTTAGAAAATCTCCAATATATTTATAAGTTTTAGCAATTCCATAAATTAATAAGAAATTATAATATACAGCTCCTAGGTACACCTTGCAGTTTGAAATTCACGCGCCTAAAAAGGAGAGAAAAAAATGGATATTTTCAAATCTTCAATTTCCAGATATTCCTCCTAATTTTCAGCTATTATTAATCATATCCAAATTCCTATTTCAGTCCAAAGACGTCTCAAAAAAAAAATAAAATAAAATAAAATAAATATTTTCTGCGGCGATTTGGCATCAAAACCTCTCATCGGCGGTATTTTTGGAGACGGAATCCGATTGTGCATCAAATCCTATGAGTTTGGTTGCAATATGCGCTGCTAAAAATAATTGGAGGTTGAAACAAGTAGAATCATTGGAACTGAAAAAATCCCATCACCAGATGAAATGCTCATCAAGATGAACTCGATCGGTCGAGAATCAAATATTTTGGTAGAATTGCCGAAATCAAATAATCAACATAAAAGTGTCGAGCATCGGCAAATCATTCAAGACCTTATATGTGAAAAACAATGACTAATTTTTTTTGTCATTTTTTGTCTAGTATAATGCAGAATTAGAAATTTGTTAACTTAGTTGCTTACATTAGTTAATTGTAAAATATATTAGTTTTTTTAATCAAAGTTATTCATTCTGTCGCGCATTATTCATCTACTGACGACATTTTATTCATTCATTAAGTTACAATTATTCATCTAACAAAACTATATCCATTCTTCATTCTAGGGTTGTTATTCATCTAGGATGTGATCATTATTTATCAAAATTTGTTTTGTTATTCATTTTTGTAAATATCGTTATCCATTTCAAAATTTAAATTTATTTATCATGGCTTTATAACTATAAAAACACAATTATTCATCAATAATATTTTTATTATTCATCGATAAGTGTACCATTATTCATCCAAATAAATATCGTAATTCGTGAAAATCTTTCAAATTTGACCCTTAATTCTTTAGATTCCATTATTAATCAGTTAAAATTTTTTGCTGCAATTGATTCTCCAGATTCATAAGTCTTAATGATAAATCATATTCAATTTTACCAAAATAAATTTTATCGTTATAAAAAATTTTCTTATAAAGTAAAATAGATAAAAAAAGCTAATAGGATAAGATCTAGAGGTTTAAAACGTGTGCTAAAAAAAGGATAAAATCTGGTGGTTTTAATGTGCGTGTGATATAGACTGCTAAATCCACTCTTTTTTGCCAATTTTGTAATATACACACCTCCTAGGTACACATTGTAAAGTGTACCCAGGTGCTTGTTATTATTTGTCAATTAATAAGTACCCTAAAAACAATAAATGACAACAATAACTACAATATTTAATAAAATATGACTATTTATACTTATTTTTTAGTCCCTGGAGATGACATAAATTATGTATAAATTTTTAGATTCACAAGAGTGTTAATACTTGACTGATTCGAATGTAAAAATAATTACAAATTAAGTAATTTGGTGACGGTTTCTTTTTTCCTCTTAGAAATTCTTTAAATTAATACTTTATTAATTTATTTAATTATTTAATAATTTTCTAAATTAATAAATTTTAATGATCTAAATACTATTAATTCATAGAAATTCTACTGTAGTAGAAGAAATGTGGGTTAAGCTGTCAAAATCTTAGTGGAGGAAATAGTATAAGAGATCGTTTGTCTAATTTTTATCGGGTTTCCCTTTTTAAGCATTTTCCCATCGGTCCACACTACTGGCTTTTGTTCGTATGTGATTAACAATTTAAAACGCTGAAATGGGCTAATTGGAGAAGTCCAAACCTCTATTTAGCTCGTAAATTAGCAGCCCAATTTTGGTCCATCCTCGGTGTATCCGCACTGTTTTTCCCGCCAATGATGTAAAAAGAATTAAAAATATCCCAATTTTCATTTCAAAATCAAAATTCAGCACGCCTTTTTAACTTCTCGTCTCTACTCTATACCCGAAAAAGTTTTCCAGTCGAATTTGGAGAGGAGAGAAAATTTTTTTTTTTTTATCGAAGGCATCGACGCTGTTGAGAAATGACGTCAGCACCAAAATCGAACGGGAAACGGCGAGCCGGAGAATTAGCCGGTGAATTGGACGATCTGAAACCGGAGAAGCTGAAGCGAGTCGTAGTCGAGGATGATTTCGACGCGGAACTCTCCAGGTATTTTGATTTGTGAGACTGAATTTAATTGTTGTTTTCAGTGCTTCGTTTTTGAATTTTTCATCCGATTTGAGCTGGAAAGATAATTTATCGAAAAATTGCAGTGATATTAGGGGTATCTTCGCTGCTCTGAAGCAATTGAAGGAGAAAGCTCACAAGGACGGCCTGAAAAAGAACGAGGAGACTATCTCTAGGTTCTTTCCTTCCTTTGCCTTGTTATTTTATGGTTTTCCTTCTGCTGGAAGTTTTGTTCATGGTAACGATGAAAATCTCCCGTCTAGGTTATTCTTTGCAATAATGTTTTGTGCGTGAGAGACAGAGAGGATAACGTGAATCTGTATTTTGCTTAATTTCTCACAAAATCATATGAAGCTGTCGTACGGATGTGAAATAATCATTCCCCAGGTTCTGACTGAAGTTTGAAGTATTAAGCAACATTGCACATGTAACCAGGAAATTAAAGCTTATGATTTAAATCCTGTGTGTAGTGTGTTGAAAGAGTTTCTTGCAACGTTATATTATGTTACATTTTCGGAACATTTGAATTTCCTTGAGGATTTCTACCTGTTGATGGAGTAGAACAACTAGCTTCTTCAAATGTCATCAGATTATTTGAAAGAACTAAAACTGTTGGGGTATAAGATCCCCCCGCGAATTTGATGTTCATGTAATTTCATATGGAAAGTACTAAAGCTTTTGATGTTAGAAGTGCTTCCATTGTGTTGCTACATACTCCTTTCTCTAAATAGTTATTGGATTCTTTTTGCCAGCATCTTTTTGGTGCCACTTATTAGGGAAGGCCTCATTTGTTGTTTCGAATTATTCAACAGTATCGTTTTGATGTTTTATTAGATCCATCGGACTAACTTGGCAGAACATGTCCATGATTGTTTTGGGAATATTGAAAGCTAATGCTTAGAAGGGATCAGTGTACTCTTATTGCACTATTTCTAGGCTTGCTGGAAGAAGTGCTAAAGTTACATCCCCAGTGGCCTTGAGGAAATATCATTCTTGTACTACCTTTTACCACCAGCTAATGTTCCCTCACAATCAGTGTTTCAATCTTTGTACAGTGTTGCATCTGGTATCAAGTCGGACCTTGATGAGTTGAGAACCAAGCTTGAGAAGGACAGGTGAGAACCTATTAATTTCAAGTTTCATAAATTTGAGTAGATGGATCTGATATTTCCTGACATCTATAGCTTTTTGGCCACTAGTTTCTTTCATTTGTATGGAGAATGACAAGAATTTTCTTTTAACATCATCAGGCAAGCTTTTGCTAAGGCACTTTCAAAGAGCTCAAAAGAGGTTGGGTTTGAAAGGAAGGACTACGGTTTGGCTTTGGTTGGAGAGTAGCGCTAGAATTTTCTTTTGATGTAACCAAGAGTTTGTCTGTGCAGTGTGAGAATATGTTGAAGACTGAGACAGCCAAGTTTCAAGCAGTGTATGAGAAGTTCTGCAAGGAAACATCTACCCATCTGCAGTCCTTGAAAGGTACACAGAAATATGCTCATATCAGGCATCATTCCTAATTAACGCGGAAGCTTAGTATTGTGATTTCGCATAGAAAAGATTATTTAACTTTCTGAAACTTTTGATTACAAGTTCAAGAGCATATACAGCGCCACAGAAATAGAATAATTTCTTTTAACAAGATGCTCATCCTAACTTTTCTTACCTTGTTCTTTCTGTTTGTGATTCTCAAACTGGTGCATTTTCATATGCTGATGTGCTTCCTTCGGTCGTGCTGATTTTGTATGCCCACCTTTTCCAATCTTCTCATGTGACTGGGAATTAATAGTACTCCTTGGTTTCTTGAGAGTCAAGTGATTATTGTTATACAACTTTTGGCCTTTCTGCAGATGTGTTTGCCAAGTATGACGAAGAAAAGGAAAGACTATTGACTCGATATGAACAAATGAGTGAGTAATATAATTTCGCTTCACCTGCTTTTACATCAGAAACGGCTGGCTAAATATTTCTCTCAAACTACAGGGAAGAAGGAGAAAAACTCCCTTGCTGAACTTGAGAAAGCATGCAATGGTAGAATCGTTGATCTGGAAGGGTCATTGAAGAAGAAAAAACAGGTGGATGAATTTGTTTGGTCCACCAAAAAAAAAAAAATCTGTATGGACAGACTATTATTCTTCATAAACTGATTTCTTTCCCTTTTCCTTTGGGTTCGCAGGATGATAAAACGTTCAGCCTTCTGAAGCAAACTCTGGGTTCATTTCTGGATAATGCTTCAGACGAGGAGTTCCCGTCAGATGACTGAAGTTTAGTAATGTTAATGCAGCAAAGAAGATGTCCCTTTCCCCTTTAATTGTCCATAAATAGGCAGAATTAGTTTCTCTCGCTTACTAAAGTGCATAATCGGAAATGCAGCTGTCCCTACTCTGAGTAAGTAGATTTTAAGTTGTCTTTCCTAGTTGGTGTGAGAGGTCTGAGTTAAATGTTATTAACAATTTCAGAATTTCTTTAGCAATACCCCAGTTTCTTTCAGAAATACTAACCCAACTTTGAATCAATGCAATTCGAACATGGTATTTACTATATTGGATTATCCAAATGCAGGATATTTATCCTCCAGTTCTGGCTGATCAGATTGCTTACTACTGATTGTAATACAGTTTAAACAAAACGAACTCATATTCCTTTCAAAGTTGATAAAGAATTCACTGCAGTGTAATTGACTCTGTGTAAGCCACAACAGAAGTACAACACAAGATACATTGCGCTTTCATCAGTGCAACCTAATACATTGCGCTTTAAATGGGAAATTTTTCGAACTTTCCAAAGTGCATCAAAATAAGAGTGATCTACAGAGCAGGCTTTTGTTCAGATTCAAAATCTAATCGTTCTCCTACATAGGTGAAGAGATCCCCGTAATCTATTGTTACAACTATACAAAGTCGATGCTTCTTTTTGACCATGTACTTAAAATAACTCTTAAGACAATATATTAGCCTCAATAATAAATTAGTCAATGCCACCTAGGAGAAATGTTAATAATGTTGCTTCATATAATCAGATGAGAATCACCACTGCAAAAGGCTTGGGCTTTGAGAATAGTACTTCAGCGAACAGGGTTCAAGAAAGGAAGCCTCCGGGCTTGTTGGACAGAGAGAGGAGGACGCCGGTTGTGAGCCTGCACATTTGCATCCAACACATAATGTATACCGACCAATTTTTCATTCCGTAAAGAATATTTGCCTTAGTTACAAAATCTAACTTGGTCATAGTAACTTGCTAACTGAACTCTGGGAGAACTGCCACATAAGGATACATATATTTTTCCAGCATAGCTTTATAGCTGATTTACAGAGAGTGTTACTCTAAATGAAACTTCAAATATCATAATAAGTTTTTGGCTGTTGATGCAAAAAAATTCCTTCAAGAGAACCATATTATTCCCGTAAAGAGTAATCGCGTTAGCTTTGACAAAATATATAATCTACCTCACCATCTTCCTTTCATCCCTTAGAAAACTTCAACTTTACAATGTTTTCCAAGCTTAACAACTATTAGCATATTAAAACTGCAAGGCAGGAATAAAATATTTGTTTCCGGCTTTTTTTATTCCATCTTGTAAAGTTTTCTTCAGATGAATATTTCTCATTATCAGCTTTCATATTAACCAAAGAAATTGAATGACTGTAAATTAAAAAAAAATGAGATGTAATAGTAAAAAGTTCTCCAGTACTTGGGTTAGCATAGGAATGTAAAAGGAGTACATACCCCAATATCTGTGACATAGCGGCAAGAGCAGCATTTGACTGATGGGGCTCCTTCTGGGTACATCAGCAAAACTGCACAACCACCGCACTTGACTTGTCCAACTTGATGAGCTACAAAAAGAACAGCTTTGTTCAAAATCATAGAAGAGAGATTCATCAGACGCAAACACCATAATCCAGTTTAAATTTCTGTTTAAAACAAAATTGCTGTCTTTTGTACCTTTAAAGGAACAACCTGAAACTTGTGGAAGGTGATACTGGGTGGCTTCAATAAACAAGAAGACAGGGTGGGGAGAGGAGGTTGCAAATTTGCAATTTAATCTACAATGAGAATTTATTTAACTGATAGCTCCAATATCTATACCTACCATGTTAATATATGTACATTGTCGTCCTAGTCATCTAGATTCTGCACTCAATCCTATCTTTACAAGAAGTCTGAACAACAGAAGAGTTTCATGCCAGTGGACTGAAGGGAATCTTTTTAAACTGCGGGCTTAAAATAGCACTTTTGGAAGACAACAGACTCAAAGATACAAAACATATCCAAACATATTGTACATGTGGGGGAAAGACATCTAAGAACCACAAATGGCGTGCACTACACAACGGCTGAAAAGGATACATAGTCCGTAATGTACATCACTTCAACAACACATTAAGCTCCAATATTCTTGAAAATAGACCAAAATGAGTAGAGCATGGCAGCTCGCGAGTAACATACATATTATCTTCATCGATTCTATTAGAACCATGATGATGCATGCAATGGTAATTCAGGTCAGAACCAAACATTAAAGATACAACAATAATCTGCGGACAGATATCTAGTGATGCACTAGTAAATAAAAGTGTTAAACCACATAAACAAACGAAGGTTAAGGAAAAAAGACTGAAAACCTTCTAAAACAAGATTAACTGTCTGGCAGCATGAACACCGGACATATTTGACTCCTCGAGGATAAGTGAGCAACTTCCGGCAAGAACCACAAATCATCTGCCCCTTCTCTGCAGAAAAGTCATACATTAAAATAGAAGAGTTAACCACCAGCCTCCTTCAAGTACAAGAACTTCGAGAAACAACAAGAAGCAGCAGATGAACAAGAAGGTGTTGCAATATGATGCCTTTGGAATAAGAAGATTACAGCCAGAAGAAGACAAAGACACAGACATCCTAAGGTATAAAGGTGTTACAGTTGAGTTTTACCGACACCGGGATTGGTTTTGGCTAAACTAAAGTGCAAGGAAACAATTCTAATTTAACTCCAAAAGTCCATATGATATAAGGCAAATTTCTAGGTCGAAGAAAAACAATTTGAATTTTTCTGGTGTAGCAAGAAGTACAAACGTTCTGCATTTATTAAGAAATTTCCAATTTCTCGTGTGAATTAAAAACACAAGGAACTTTGTATTCCACTTTCCAGTACTAGGAAGGACAACCAGTGGAAAGCAAAATAATTATGTATTTATTGATAAGTAAGGACTTAACATTGTGGGAGGAAAAACTAGGCAAGCATATATGAACTGAAAGTAATGAAGATTCACAAAACCAATTAAATCCAAACATAATCGTAAAAATAGTCAAAACCATTGTAATCTTAAACGAAAAAAATCCACTTTAGTATGAAATATTATGCAGTTTGATGCAATTTTCACAATTTCGGGACAAGTGCTTGAAGAGAACTACAAAGAGATAAAACAGCAGATCCAGGGGAATGCAGTGTTTTCACCATCAGCTGTAGAATTTGGGCAATAACAAAACTGCTACACATGGAAATAAGGACCCACCTTGTGGTAATGATGCCTGCGCTTTCAGTGAACATGTTGTCGATGGAAGCATCGGCGAAGGAGGTACAATTTCATGTCCTTGTTTAGTCCTTTCATTATTGTCTCTAGCTCCTTCCTGATGGCTTCCAATTTCTCTGTCTGACATTAACAGAATTCTTGTAGAGCCTGCGAACATTTCTAACTTATAATTGACATATGATAACGGATGTTCTAGATAAAATCCCCACTATTGCACAAATGAGATATTAGCTTATCCAGATGAGCAGTTAAGCACAAACATGACATAGATCTCAAAAGTCATGCTTTTATGGAGTCAAAAAACAAAAAATACGTGCACATCAAAAGCTCAGAAACTATATGCCAATATCTAAAAGTCTTGCTACTACGATTCAAGCTGGAAAAAGGACGAATCTATTATGTCTAACGACTAGTGTGCTATTGATTGAGTAAAAGCATCCTGACAAAGAAGTACAGTAAGCTGAAGGAATATCTGTTCTTTATCCTATTCTATCTTCTAATTTGGCAGCGCCTTTGTTATCATTGTACTTTGAAGCAAAATATAAACATATGAGCACTAAAGTAGAGGACGTGAGAACAAAGAGGGGAAGAGAATACAGAAACATAGTGGAGGAGGAAATAATCACCAGAGGGAACAGCGTCTGCCCCTTGCGAGGTTGGTGGAACCAAGTCCCATCCAGGTGGAGGCCCATCATCCTCATCATCATCTTCTAAAGCCTCTTGTTTTTCTGACATTTCAACATCTGAATGCTGCAAATCAGTCAACTGAACTGGATTTAAGCCAATGCAGATGCAAGTAATAACAGATGGTTCAAGATTTGAATTCCCTTTTGTTGGGATTTTCATAGCAATGCATACATGTTTATGGTCCAGATGACTGACAAACAAAAAGGTTATTATCCAACAGACTACGCAACCCATTCTAAGACTCTCCATCAACTAAATCCATCACCAGAACAAGAGATAGAAGAACAGAGCTCGACACTTCCCAAAATACAAACACGAAGCTTTAGATTTCACCTTAACAGCCATAGCTACTCTAAGGTACCTTCTACTTTCAAATCCTCCCAATCAAGTGCAAACATCCATTTAGACCAATAAAAATTGCCCCTTGCATTCAAGTTACAAAAGAAATAATCTTTATGCTTCCTAGATTAACTGAAGCAGATTTAGCCACATGAATACTGAATTCAGCGTTTAACTTTATGCACCCTAACGTCTCAAACTGGTAAGCCTTGTAAGATTACCTCTTCACTAAAATGAACTAAAAGATGGAATGACAACTGAATGAAAGGCAAGCTCACCACGAAACAATGCAAGAGCGTCTGAATCTAATTCAAGCACAGCACCAAGTGTATAAACAAGAAAAGAGCGAGATTTGGGAGAATCTGAAAGAACTTCAAAAATTCCTTCCTTGCTTATTCTTAATCACGAACACAATCAAGCACAGCAAACAGAGCATTGAGGTACTAAAGTTTAGATAATCAATTTTATTATTTATTTTTAATTTAAAAAAGAGCCCAATATACTGACCAGAAGTATGATGATTAGGCTGACGGGCAGGAGGAATTGGAGACCATCCGGGTGGTGGGCCATCTACATCATCATCTTCTTCTCCTTCATCTTCTTCATCAAGTTCTTCTTCCATCTTGTCCACCATTATTTGTTCAGCAATAAGTTTCGGAGTCTCGGTCTGCAAGGCAATGCAGTCAAACCCAGGGGGTGGGCCATCCTCATCTTCGTCTTCTTCTTCTTCTTCGTTTACTTCTTTGGGCTCCATCGCCATTGTCTCTTCGAATCTCTCCTCACTTCCCGTAGCCTCTGTCATAAACAATAAATCACTACCGCCGTCGCTGCCGCTGCTACTTCGCCCGAGTGTTAATAATCACCGGCTTGGAAGCTGAGGCTCTATTAGTCATTTACGATTTTTGCCCTTTTTTCCTTCTTTTTTTTTAAAATTCTTTTTAAATTTTTTATTTTACTCTTTACAATATGCACACAGGAAAAAGTAATATATACTCTGAATTTTTCTTCTCTAGTTAAAAGTTTTACCCAAAAAAAAAAGACAAAAAGGATTTTAGAGAATGAAAAATTGTTTTAAATGATTTTGGTGGAGAAAAAAACTTTATATTCTCAAAGATTTCTAAGACAGACTTCTATATTTGAAGAATTTATGTCATCAAACAAATATTTATTTTCTTACAATGAAAGATACTCTAAAAAATTGACAACCCTAACACGAACCCAAGAAGTAATACCATAAAGAATCCATTTAAAATGGAATAATGATATGTATAGAGAAAAAAATTACAAAAAAAGAAAAAAGAACTGAAGAAAAAAATCACTCATTCTTAAAACTTTTCGCATGGTTTATATAATTCAGACATCATTTCTTGTAATCTTCTTTATAAATTTTTCTTCACATGTATGACTGCTCTTTAAATTTCCATCAGCAAACATGTGAGAGTGACGAAGTTGATACGATGGACTATTTATGTAACCAACTAAATTCTTGAGCCATTTTTATGAACGGGATGGAACGATGGAATATAAACATTTTTCATCAGCTTGCCAAGCGAAAAAGCTATTGAAACGGGCAAGATCACTTGAGACTTATACAAGACGGAAAAGTGTAAAATCTTCCAGCATATATGAATGAGCAGAAAGTCTAATAGTTGTCGGCGTGGATAATCTACCCAAGACATTAATCAAAATAACAAAAACAAAATTTAGTACAGAAGGTAGTAATCTACAAATGGCCTTCCTCAGTACCGTCCCAAAGCACATCCTAATTCTAACTCAAAACAGCCGTTCAATGCCCTCTCCTCTGCTGTGATTTGGCTTGTTTGATATCCTTTGTCAGCATCCGAGGTGCTATCGCCATCGACATGAGCTCCTGGAACAACAGCTTACAGGCATATGGGATGTAAACCTGCCAAGAAAAGAACACAAGACAACACAAAATTATCAGTCAACCCATTAAGTACAAGTACAAATTCCCACACTTAAATGTTGACAGAATGGGAATCACAAAAATCACCTGAACAATATCTGTTTTGTTCTTGCAGCTTCGGCATTCAAATGAATTCTTCTTCAGGTTTGCAATCGCAATCAGCCCACAACGCTCACAGACATGAACCCTATACGCATCACTTTGGTCAAACAATCTTTCTTTGAGAAAATGAGCTGCGCCATGGGCAATCATGCAATCTCTTTCCATCTCTCCAAATCTGAGACCACCATCACGTGATCGCCCCTCAGCGGGTTGCCTTGTAAGGATTTGGACGGGGCCTCTTCCACGTGAATGGATTTTATCATCAACCATGTGCTTCAGCCTCTGATAGTAAGTAGGACCAAGGAATATAGTTGCAGTCAGCGGTCGCCCTGTGTGGCCGTTGTACATTCTTTCAAAACCACGCATCTGGTATCCACATTTGTGGAGGGCTTTGCTGATGTTGTCCACAGTAACATCTGTAAAAGGAGTGGCATCTCCCTCCTTTCCCATATGTGCAGCAACCTTTCCCATGATACATTCAATCAGCTGACCAATAGTCATTCGAGAAGGAATAGCATGTGGGTTGACAATGATATCAGGGGTAATTCCTTCAACAGTAAAAGGCATGTCTTCTTGTGTGTATGTCATGCCAACTGTTCCCTTCTGACCATGCCTACTGCTAAACTTGTCTCCAATTTGAGGAATCCGAATCGATCTCACTCTCACTTTCACAAACCTCAATCCATCAGCATTTGTTGTAAGGAGGACCTGGTCCACGATACCATTTTCACTGTGGCGCAAACTTGTGCTGTGATCGCGCTTAGTATATCGGGAATTCAATGTGCCGGGAGCACTGGCCTCATCTTGATTGATCGGAGTAGTCTTCCCGATAATAACATCCTCACCAGACACCCTGGTTCCGGGTGGAGCAAGGCCATCATCATCCAGTTTGTCATAAGAACCATGTCGCATACCCATTGTATTGGACCTATCTGGTTTGCCAAAGTCCTCTTTGACAAGTGTTCCCATCTTCTTCTCTTCGTCTCTGTATGAGCGGAAAAACAGAGATCGAAAAAATCCACGGTCAATTGATGACTGATTCATGATAACAGAATCTTCTTGGTTGTAGCCAGAATAGCAAGCAATGGCAACAATTGCATTAATGCCAGCAGGTAGCTGCCTGAAGTGCAAGTGCTCCATTGCTCGAGTTGTAACAAGAGGTTTTTGAGGATAATAGAGCACATAGGCCAACGTGTCCTGATGCAAAAAGGAAGTGGGTGGTAAATATTACAGTAATGGAACAGAAAACATTGTGAATAAAGAGAAAAACTCTTACCATGCGAAATTGGTAGTTGGTGACATAGATTCCCATTGCTTGCTTACCCATAGCAGACTGATATGTGTTACGAGGAGACTGATGCAAATAAGAAAGCCAAAACAATCAGACCGCCATACCTAATGGATGAATCATCTTCTCCACATGGATATTGAATACAAATTTCACATACCTGATTGTGATCAGGGAAAGGAATAATTGAAGCACAAACACCCAATATCAGCGATGGGTGGATTTCACAATGGGTATAAGTATCTGAATAAGCCTCTTCTGGGTTTAATCTTGCCGATATAAGATCCTGCAGCGAAAATAACAGGTTAACATCGGGGGGAGGAGGAGGTGGGGGGAAGGGAACAAGATATAAGAACTGAAAGAATTGCCCATTGAAATAGCTCACATTAATTGTCATGGAAATCATGGTTGTTTCTTCTTCTTCAGTGTCAATGTATTCTATGAATCCTTGGGACACTAGCTCATGCCAGCCACCTTCTTCTACAGTCTCCTGTAAATGAATAGTAACCAGACAGCTCAATGAAAAAGATACAGAACCCGAGCAACAGGTAGAAAAGTTAAACCATGAAGTTTCAATGGACTCACCCTTGCTTGCAGGGCCAGAATGTGCTTCTTCTTGATAAGAAGTCTTTGCTTCTCAACAATAAACAGAGGACGACTGCAGCGGCCATAATCAGTATATATCCGCAGTTCCTTCAAACGGATATCACGGACGACACCAACCTCGGTGTTGACATCAACCTGCTCATGCAACAAGAAGTTAGTCAACTATTCTCACCTTGGTGTGACAAGGCAAGCATTTCTCATCCCCCAAAAAAAAACCTTCCACAAAGGAGGGTCCAGCGGAGTGGAGAAGTAACTTGGTACCTTCAAGAACAGCTTCCAAACTCAGTTGACTCACTCTATATATATAAAAACCCCAAGGATATTGGAACACTATGTGTTCAACACAAACGAACCATGATTTACACGTTCAGAAATGAGATTGAAACTTATTCAATGAATTACAACTATTGTTTCAGATTAATGAGACCCAATTTGTATTTGCCATCAACATCATCTCACATCTCAGCAATCTGTTCAAAAGAGGTAGGACAGGAGAACTAGCATTAACACTTACTCGTCTTCTTAGACGTCGCAAGGTCCTCACTAACATATCAGGATCACGATGGATACCGACCCAACAACCATTGACAAAGATTTTTGTAGATTGTGGAATCACAGCAGGAGAAATTTCCTACAATCAGAAAATTACCTTGAGACTACCATAATTTGCAAAATCAGAAATCTCAACACTCACAAAGTCTACAAAGTTCAGACCTCAAAATTCTCAGTGCCCCATTCCTCCAAAAACTCCAAAATGGGATATGCTGCTGAACCGACAGTGATATAAACCATCAGCGCCAGATTCTTGACAAGTCCACACGCCTGATGATGGTAGCCAGTAAGATACAAAGCTAGAACCAAAAACAACTTGGAAAAAAGAGAGGGGAAAATAGAACTATAATCAAACAGCATATTCTCATCAGTACGGCACTTACTTGCCCTTCAGGGGTTTCCGCAGGGCACATCATTCCCCACTGAGAATTGTGCAACTGCCTTGGTTTAGCCAGTTTACCTGTGAAATTAGAGCATTACTCTAATTAATTACAATTGTTCCTTCAATATCCATTTTGGTATGGCACCATAACAACATATTTGGACCAATCCTTCCATCATCCATGTGTAATTGGAGGAGAAGTGCAAGTTGTAAAAGGCAGTACTGAGACTATATCTAAACTCATAGGGAAAAATATAACAAAGAAGGATATTAACGGGAAAAGGGAGATCACCTTCACGCCCGATGGGAGAATTTAGCCTCCGCAAGTGTGACAAAGTTGAGGCATAAGTTAAACGATTCAACACCTGTGATATAAAAATATCAAATCATTAAAAATCCACAGTTGATGAGCTAATCCTGCATAGTTTTCCCAAATGGCAACTGGTCATTCATATATTACTGAATATACTAACCTGTGAAACACCAGCTCTAGTGCCTGCTGCATTTGCTTGCCCCCAGTTACCCGTAGCAAGAGAGTATTTAAGACCACTGGTTATAGTTTTCGCTTTAATTGCAAATTGCAAGTTCACATCTTTCCCGTTATCAACACACTGAATATAAACAATAACTGATCACTCAAATGTCACGAAAAACTAAGGATAACTTATGATCATATAGTGGCAACATCAACTACCTTCTGAACATATGCTCGGACATCCCTGGTTAACTTTCTAAAGAGCTGCACATACACATAAAATCTAAATCAGTAGAGCAGATTTTAAAAATCGTCAGTTCCGTGAAAAATTTCAACAGCCCACGAACCATTCTGAAAAGTCCACCAAGCAAAGGACCGGCAAGATCCAGTCTCTTATTTCCATAATGATCTCTGTCATCCTCGGCTCTTCGACCAAGTGCACACAGCAGGAGCCGATGGATGATATAGCTGGGAGGAGCAAAAACATTCCCCTCAGGTAAATATTTATCCTCGTGCTAAATACAATTTATCCACCCAACTTATCAACCGCTTACCCAAAATAATAAGCTTTCTTTGTTTCACAATATTCTCCAACCCCAACATGTGGAAGCATTTCTTTCTGAAGAATTTCCCTAGCATACCTGCGAGTTCGTGATGATAAAATTTCAATGCAGTTCAATAAAGCACCAGGAAGTTGCTCAGACTGTTAACTAAGAATTTAGGAAATAGACATACTTAATCCTCTTTTCTTTTGTGACACCAACAGTGGCCCCTCTTTTTCCTATGTAGTCCAGAGCAACCTACATCATAAATTTAATCAGTCAGCTGACACTGCAAAAAAATGATCACGCAGACTTCTACTGTTCACCATGACTGAGTAGCCACGGTTTTAGGAGAAGGTAACTGACAAATTTGACATAACTGGTGATATTGGAGACTTATAAAGGCTTTTCTAATAAGAACGCATAAGCTTTCAAACTGGGATCCTAAAAAAGTTCACCTGTTGATTTTGTATAACAAATGCTTCCTCTAGGGAGGGACGAAGCAATTCCATCATTTGGGTGTCAGAGAAATCATAGCAAATGTGTTCCAGGATATCTTTGTCAGCGACAAATCCTAATGCTCGGAAGACAATGATAATTGGAATTTCAGCTCGAATATATGGAAGGGTGGCACGAATATACTGGCCTGAAGCACCCTGCAAATGCAACAAGTAATTAGGAACTAAATGACTATCAATTTAAACAGCAAAGCTTATTCATGGAATTGGGGAAAAAGAAAATTAGAAAAGAGAAGGAAAAAAAACTGGTAATATACCCCTTTTGCACTAGAACGGGAAAGCATCCGCACAAACATTGTGCTCGGCGGTCTATTCTGTGTTTCTGCCATGGACCGGACTTCAGCCACATATGCATACTTGTTCGGTTGCCTCTTTTTGAACACATAGACATGATTAGTGCTCATTTTCTCCTGAGCAATCAGGACTTTTTCACTTCCATTGATGATAAAGTACCCCCCTTGATCTAATGGGCACTCTCCAAGTTCTGTCAGATCTTTCTCTGAGTTTTGGAACAATGTGCAGTAACTTGAACGGAGCATGATAGGTACCTGGCCACAGCACAAAAAGAAAAAAACATCACAACACGTAATGCCATTTTTATTACACATGTACCAAGCGGTAGAAGAAAAATAGCATGGGAACAGGGAATCTGTTGGAAGGGGAAAGTGCAAGCCACACCTTTCCAATGAAGACTTTCCCAAAATCCTGAGTCTCAGTAACTTCCTCACCATCATGCCCTTTCTTAATGACTCTCTTTGTCACGTCCACATACAAAGGGGCTGAATATGTCAGGTTCCTAAGCCTTGCAGCCTTTGGAAACAAAGTAGCAGTTTCACCATCCGATTCCGTCATCATTGGCTTACTCAAGTATATCTGTCCGAAGTTTATCTTATATACAGTCTGCGAGAACATTAACAACCAAAGTTAAAACCCCGATCTTACTCCAAAAGCATGATAAAATTTACACAAGAATGGTCCATTATCCAATCTTGTAATGCAGACACTTATTTGGGTATAAAGGAAAGAAAACAACCGAAATGCAAACGTCCTCTACTTCTTTATGGTAGTGCACTGTTCTATAAGCAGAGAAGACAGGGCATGATAGTTCCTTTTAACATCATTTAAGAATTACATTAACCAGAAAAGAACGAGCCCATCAAATCTCATGCTCATACATAAGAGGACATTTCATGGATTACTGAACCATTATTTCAAGCCTTTATTTTTTAATTAATCTTTAAATGCACAAGATTAGCAAATGCCTCCAGTTTTTTCAATTTTCCTGATTGTCGTTCAATCTTTTCATGACACCAAAAAACCAACAAAACATGAGTTGCACCACTATAATTAGCATTGTAACCCTAGCCCATGGAAACCCTAGACAAAATTGTGTACGCCGGTTGCCTCTAGCCTGAATATGAAGAATGCAAGTTGAAAATCCATACACATCAATGTTTAACTGTTCCCAAACTTAGTCTAATTTACAGGCGAAGCTCAACTATGACCTAGCTTAAAGATAATTTCCATAAACCCTGCATTCCCATATAAGAAAAAGAAATTGAACTCTCTCTTCTTCAAATTCCCCATATATGAACAAAGTACATGTGAATTTTTTTTTTTTAATATTCTTAGCTACACAAAGTTAATTCGTAATTTGAATTTCGACCTCGGCGAAGTCGGATTGGTGGCCGGGGTTGTGCTGCGACTCCGGCCGGATCTCAATGTCAGCCGATTCATCAACGATTTCTTGCATAGTGTTCTGGATGAACTCGTCGAACGAATCCAACTGCTGCCTCACTAAACCTTTCTCCTCAAAGTAGGCGCTGATCACTGCCCAGGCATCTTCTTGGGTGATTTCCTCCTCGTCATCGTTGTACTGATTTTCCTCGTACTCGTCTTCCATATCCATTTTTTTGGGGGGTTATTGGATTTGATTCAGCAACAAGAATGAATATAAATGAGCTAAAAGTTCAAATCAAAGTTCGAATTGGAATTTTCCCGGAGAGAGTTCGAGGTCGGGGGCTCAGGCGCGGAGGAAATTGGTGAGGATGGATTTGGACGATTACTCGATTTAGGGGTTGTTTGAGGCCCTTATATATAGCAGATAATTTCCTACAGGGGTAATTTGGGGAGTGAAAATTAAATGCCGCCTTCAATTTTAAAATCCTATTCTAATGGGCTAATCCTCTGAAGCTTTTCAGCCCATAAAACTAGCCCAATTTGCTCGCTTTGGATCTGTAAGAGTCTTGGGTCTTGCGCTTCCCAAAAAAACACATCTACAGTGTGTTTTTTTTTCCCTCGTTACTTTTTTTTTTTGCAAACATAAGTAGCAAGGCTGGGCGCCTTATACAATACTACTACCTCTACTATCTAACACATTTTGTTATACTAATTGTAGTACACTACTTGGAGCTACATCAAAAGAATATACGTCCGTAATTTTATTGAGTCTCTCTCTTACCAAAGTATCGACACTCAAGTTATCTTTTCTGAATGTGTGCAAAAATTGTACCTCCCATTCGGGATTCAAAATTATCTGTATTTTTCTCAATACAGGATATAGTTGCAAATTCTCATTTAAGTTTTCAAACAATTAATGGCCTCTCAAGAATATAATTCGACTATTAGTCTAGAAAATATAACACCTGAAAATTGATAAAGTTGTGTACATAATAATTGATGGAGACATAGAATTAGGAATTAGGGTTTATTAAAGGACATTTTAATCATTTTTGTTTAATTGAAACTAGGATCTTTTCTTTTCATCGTTTTTCTTATTTAAAGGCATTAATCGCTTCATTGTAACTGGGGTTGTTGTTGATTTCAGAAAACTGGAGTTTTCTCAAACCTAATTTTTGTTTAATCCATTTATTGGTGATTGAATAAGTAATATAATTTCTTTTGATACATGTGGTGGTGATTGCAATTAGAGTGTTAGGTTAACAATACTCTATTTGTTGGATTAAAGGCCATCAATTTAGAGCCCAAGATATATTTGTTCAAGGGTAACATTTAATCTTAATCGGAAAAATCTTTATTCGTTGGACCATTTGTCGGAGGTGATTAAGGATTTGATTACTTGTTCGTGGTATACGATCAATTGATATAGGAGGTGATTAAGGAGTTCGCGGTACACGATCAATTGATATAGGCTGCCGCTGCATCAATAATGCACCATCTTGTGCAATCAAATTTTTAAAAAAACTCTTATTTTTAGGTGCAATAAGTTTTTTTTTTTTTCTGAATTAGTTTTGATATTAAGATTTTTAATCTAGGCAAAAAAAATTTAACCACGTAGGTAGATATAGATGTAGTTCCCCTTTCGAAGACAAGCTTGTGGTTGTAGGTAACTCAACTACTTCCAACATTGTTTCTCAAAAATGCCAAATTAAGTTCACAAATGTGTCAGACTTTATTGCCATTATTGGTGTAGTTCGTTCAGCTATACGTGGCATCTGTGGTACAATAAAATATATATATATATATATATATATATATATGTGCAACAGAGAACAATAGAGTTTGTTTCGAATCGTTTCTAATTTAAGAAAATGATCATCAATTCTAGCTTCCTCCAATCAACAAAAATAAAATATTTTTGAGGGGGGGAAACCCTCCCGAATTTAAGTTTGGCTGATATATTTTGATGCCAACAAATAGCGCTTTTTAGTAAAAATTGCTAATAAACGTGTTAAAGGGTGTATCTACGTACGATGGTCTGAATCAAGAAATCAAAATCATGATAGTCAAACTTGGAGCTATATCAACTTTGAATTTTGTTTGATTAGACTTAATAATGACTTGTGTTCCATAAGCGGGTCCAGAGTTTAATCAAATTGGATTTTCAGAAATCAAATGAAAAGTATTATTAGCATTTGGAGTACAAGTAATTCAGGAAAATGACTCGTATTTATTCATTGGTTGCTGACTAATCAAAAGGCTTGTATTAAAAATTCATTACCCAAATTGTGAATCTTACATTTTTTGCTCATATAAAGGATGGAGGAATAAAAGCATAGTCATATCAATTATTTAGTTCAAGTGATGAATACATTATGTCAATTATTTAATTCGAGTTTGAAAGAAATTCATATGAGTAATCTACCAAAATATATACAGCACTGATAAAAGACAAATGGGATGGTTTAGTGACAAATGACATGACATGAATATATACACCAATTTTACTAATGCACATTAAGTTAGAAAACGTGTTGATAATAATTTTTCACGATATAATCAGTGAGTCTGCCGATAATAGAGTTATCTTATTTGTGATAATGAATCCTCTATCTATGTATTACAAAATAATAACAATTGAGTTTTTTTTTTTTTTTTTTCAGTCTTCAAGACTTTTATTTTGAAACGAAGATAGTATTTCTGAGACGGATAAAAAAAAAAAGTAAGGTAGAAATTATTGTAATTTTACCTTGGCGGAGTTAGAAGTTTAACCAAGATTTAACAACATACAGAATGGTTGCCACACTGGTTTGATCTGAGGTATTGAAAGTGTTGCAAAAATTGTGTGTACAATTATTAGGTAAACAAGAACATGACGCTGGAAGCATTTTGACAGACACAAGTATACCACCCTTGCATCTGCCTTTCCTAACTCTTTTACACATCTTACTCTATCACACCCACACCCCCCCCTCCTTTTGGCTTGCTTCAGATTATTTATTTATTACACCATTTCCCCCCTTCCATTTGGTCCATTTGATCAAGAAAACGAATCCAAAAAATTTTCTATATCTCCTTCCTTACACGCTTTGGAAATACACTCTTTTTTCCAGATTCATCAAAAACATTTTTGTTTGTTTACTCTGGAAAAAGAAGCCTTGTTCATGTGATGATGGATTCTCCAAAGAGAATTCCAATCTTTGTGCTTAGGCTCATTGCCTTAGGAGCAGCAGTCACTGCAGCCATTCTCATGTTTTCTGCACATGATACTGCTCATGTTTTCAACATGACTTTTGAAGCAAAATACACTAATTCACCTACCTTCAAGTAAGTTAGTTAACGCATTACTCTTCTGTTATGAGTTTGTGGATTTGTATATCAGTTCTTCATGCAGAGGAAAGATGAGTTTAAATTTTAATCAATCCAATGTATCTAATCCGTGTCAACTTGTGGAGCAGATACTTTTTGATCATAAATGCAGTTGCAAGTGTCTACTCCCTTTTGGTTCTCTGCTGTCCTACCAACACTTCCATGGCTCGGTTCTTGTTGGTTATGGATTTGGTAATACTCTTCTCCTTTCGAATTTCCTCTTTTTGTTGCAATATGAGATCTTCTGTCTCGACTTCTATGTATTCGATTTTCCTATGTCAATGCAATGACATTTGTCTTATTTATAAATATCGATCCTTCAATCATATCATCACTAAAGTCATGTACTTAACTGTTTCAACTAGTTTCAAAGTTTCTCACTAACACTAAGCACAACACATTAATTAGTTGAGCTACGAAATTGTTACAATCTTTACAATAAAGATTCTCACATCGTAATTACAAGACAAACATAATTACAGTAGTTGTGACAAGAGACGGTTGATACACAACACGTACGATAAAGGATCGATCTCATATGTTTATCCTTCATGTTAGGCCTTTTGGACGAGCCATGCACCTTTATAATTATTTCTATAGAAAATTAACTTGCTCTCTGATTTTCCTCTGTACATCCATTTGGCCAATTGCAGATAATTCTGCTGCTGCTGGATTCGGCGATATCTTCCAATGTAGCAATAGGTCAGGTGGGTAGGAACGGGAATTCGCATGCGGGTTGGCTACCAATCTGTAACCAAGTTCCAAAGTTTTGTAAGCAAACCACTGCAGCTGTTATTGGTGGCTTTGTGGCTTCACTGTCCTATCTCTTCATTGTTCTTTGCTCTTTTCACAATGAAGTAAATCTTCTTCCTCCCAAAGATTGATCTTTGCCTAGCTACTATCATAATCATATTGTGGACATTTATTAGTCTAGAAAGCTGCCTCTTTCCACTCCTCTTTTCTAGTTTTCTTCTTCTTCTTCTTCTTCTTCTTCTTCTTATTTAAATGTGTTGTCTTTTCTATAAATAGAAGAACTGCTACAGAACCATAGGTCACCATTGCTATATGTATTTCATAAATCTGCATTCTGCGCTATATTTGTTTAATTATAGGCTTTGGAATAACATTTGATGTATGATCTCATGCACCAATACCAATATGGATCTGTATGAATAACTGTTTGTTTCCACTTATAGAAAATACTGAATTAAGGTACACACTTCATGAGCCATGGAGCTTCTTCGTTGAGATGACACAGATTCTTTCACCTACATGAAATGTAATCTTTATTCTTGTCCTTAGTTGCTGCATCCTGCAAGTCGCAAGATGAAAGATCTCAAACCAAAATCACTTACCCAAGGCGATGAATATAGATATTTTAATTGCAATATCAAAGACTATTTCCTATTATAACGATTGATCTTGAATATTATTTTAACAATATATATGCCCAACATAGTAACCAAAATTAAATAGATCCAACACTATACAATATCACAAACAATTACAATAAAAACCGAATAATCATATTATATTCACGTCATGTCATAAATCACTTACATGACCTTATTTGACCAAGGCAACATCACACCGCCTATTTTATTACATAGAGAATCTATGTAAGAGTAATTTACAAAAGATTAGAAAAATGCAAAGGAATGGGAAGAAAAATAAAAAATGGATTTCTATCTAATAATATCCGCATATCCAAAGTGCATTCCCAAAGTATCCCAACCGCGGTCCCACCATTTTTATTTCCCGCCACAAAAAATCCTTAATACAGTTAATTTTCACAAACATCTGCGGTGTGAGAAGCAATCTGAACCTGAAAGGAGAAGTCTTGCGTTAGAAAGTACAATTACCAAACTTGGTTAAAGGAAGTGATTCAGTCCTAGAGCATCAGTTGACAACTTCTCGAAAAGTCTAAATATCCTTTGATCAAATGAAGATGAGTTGCAGCAGAACAGGAGCTCTCATCACCACCACTCATTTTGGTGGCGCATCAATTTTTGATGATACTAAACAAAGTTTTAAGTTTCGTACAAAATCGCCATGCTCAGCCACCATCAGGATCTTGTGCTCTTCGCCAAGCCCAGAATTGCAGGTTACAACAGGTATTATGAATGAATCTTTGCCGTTGGAAAGCTTTGGTTTCTTTTGAAATTGACATTTTTTTTTGGGGCTGTTTTGTAATGATTACATACCCAAGGACTTGATTCTCCTTAGATAATTGGAGGAAAGTATGGGAGGTTTTCACTGATTTCTTGACAATGATGAGGGAAAGATTTCAACTTTTTTTTTTAAAAATAGGTAGTATGTAGTTTCACTCTATTGCTTGATTTCTGTACTCTGGTTCTATTGCTTGTTTCCCTGGTCGAAATTCAGATAAGAACTGAAACGGGTTTCTAAAAGATCCTTTCTTTATGTGTTATTAATGAGATACTATAATTTTATGGCATGCTTTATTGGTCTGAACCAGCAGTTTTATCTTACAATTCGCCAGTTAGTCCGAATCTTGATGATTTGACCTATGGAATTGGAACTGTTAAACTGAAATGTGAGATGAAATAATGACAGAGAAACTCGGAAATAATAGTACTTCGTTGACTGGTGGTGCATATGACTTTGAAAGAGCAACCAGATCTCTCACCCAGAAAACATTGTTTACACCCAAGAAAGTTACTCTAGTAAGGCATGGTTTGAGCACTTGGAATGCAGAAGGTAGAGTTCAGGTCTGTGGCCTTCGATTTTAACTAACAAATTTATTTACTTGGTTTCAATTTTCATCCTTACGTTACACTTGTATAATGTCTTTGATGTTGGTGCAGGGAAGCTCAAATCTTTCCACCTTAACTGAAGTTGGAGTGGCTCAAGCAGAAAGATGTAGAAGGGCTTTGGCTGATACTCATTTTGACCGATGTTTCTCTAGTCCGATTTCACGAGCCAAGGTTGTCAAAAAGATCAAGATCCGAACTTGGAGATGTATTTTTGCTTATCTCATTGTTATAGTGCCTTAATCATCATTGTTTATGCAGGCCACAGCTGAGATTATTTGGCAAGATAGGGATCAGCCACTAGTTTTCCTTGATTCACTGAAAGAGGCTCATCTGTTTTTTCTTGAAGGAATGCTGAATGGTCCGTCTTCTTTTCTTTCATTCTGCAATTCAACCCATATTCACTTCTATTAGTACTGTACAAGTTATCCATACGCATTAACACGATATTACATTAAGATTCTTCAGCAGCACCTATTTCATTTTACTAAATCATATGTAATATATGGAGGCAGTGGATGCTATGCAGAAATATCCAAAGGAGTATTCAACATGGAGAGAAGATCCATCAAACTTTGTTGTGAACGGCGTCTATCCACTCCGTACACTTTGGGAAACCGCTGATGAGGCTTGGAGGGAAATCTTGTCTAACCCTGTAAGAACTCATTGCTGTTGCTATCTATTCCTGATTATGCATTGAAAGTTCATGGACTTGAAATTTCTGATACCCTTTTTTGATCTGTAAAATTGTGGATCAGGGAGAAAATTTTTTGGTTGTAACGCACAAATCAATGCTGAGAGCACTGATCTGCATTGCCCTTGGACTAGGACCGGAAAGGTATGTACTAATTAGCAGCTTTGCAGTTTCTCAATGATTGATTTAGATGATATGGCTTCAAAATAGCGGTGGTGGATTGAACAGTCTCTTGCATTGGTTCAGGTTCCGTGCAATCGATGTGAACAATGGTGGATTATCTGTGTTTAACTTCAACAAGAAAGGGGAAGCAATGCTTCAATCATTAAATATGACGGCTCATATGTACACCGATCACATTTACCGGTATCAGAACAAGTGATGCAGTGTTGTTGTTGGTTACAGAACAAAGCCAAAAATAGACTCATGTACTGAAGTTTCCTGATCTCAGCAATGCAATTCTGTCCTTTAAAAGTGTCACAAGAAGACAGTAATGAAGAATCGGACAAGTCGTCCCAATGTGTGATGAGTTAAAAGAGTGGTTGCAAAGTAAAGTTTTTTTTTTTTTTTTTTGGGGTACAATGCAAAGTAAAGTTTTGATGAACAATAAAGTGATGTAGATAAAATAATTCTGTCAAATCCATTGCTTGCTTTGTTGACTTTGTTCTATTTTCTCTCCGTAACATGTCTGAAATCAAATTATGGTGAATTGGATCACTTGGTTTACGCATTTGCTGGTAACACTTTGAAAAAAATTAGAGGTCATCCGAAATTCTTAATTTAATACCACAACTAACACAAAATAACCTTTAGCTTGTAAGTAGCCTGCATTTTTCCAACTTATAAGACAGTCTTGTTAGGTAGTTTCTTCGTCCCGAAATTATTGTCCATTTTCTGTTTTTATTTTTAGTATAAATTGAACTAAAAATAAAAAATTCAAACTGGACAATAATTTTTGGATAAAAAGAGTAGCATGTTTCCTGTTCTATTTACTGTTTACAGATGACAAATTAAAACTTGGAACTTGCATAAGCATAAGAATGCGTTAATTAAGGTTTTCAAAATCAATTTATCGCATTTTCTGTGCAAGGTTTTATGAAAAGGACGGCTTTGACTTATAGGACTTTGGAACGGGGCGTACCATTTTGCGAGATCGATGAATGAAAATCTTGCGGATTGGCAAGCCATCGATGCGAAGAGAAGCCCTACACAGAGTTCATCGTACCAACTACTTCGCCGAGCCGGCGACAATCTCAAACTCCTCGAACAAGTTCACGCCAACCTCATCGTCAATGGCCGACAGCATCATCTCCCGCTGCTCACCCGCCTCGCGACCTCAGCCATTCATGCCGGGGCAATCTTCTACGCCCAGAAAGTGTTGCTCACGGCTCCAACCGTTGATTCATTCCTCTTCTCGTCTCTCATCACCACCGCCTCAAAATCCCATTTCCCGATTCACACAATCTTCTTCTACCGTCATATGGCCGCACATAATATTCCCCCTACAAACTACACCTACACTTCTTTGATCAAATCTTTCTCGGAGTTAAGAGATAAGAAGGCAAGTAAAATGGTACATGGCCATGTTATAAGGAAAGGGTTTCGTCTTGATCGATATGTTGAAGCTGCTTTGGTGAGTTTGTACTCCAAAATTGGGGAATTGGAGTTCGCGAGGAAAGTGTTTGATGGTATGCCTCAAAGGAGTCTTGTTGCTTGGAATTCTATGATTTCGTGTTATGAACAAAACGGGTTACCCGAAGCTGCAATCGAGGTCTTTCGTGAAATGAGAGAGTCGGGTGTTCAATTTGATTCTCCTACACTTGCAAGTGTATTGTCTGCTTGCGCTAATGTTGGGGCGCTAGATTTGGGGATTTGGATACATGAGTGGATACAGAATAATGACGTTCACTTCGATGTGATTTTGGGTACCGCATTGATTGATATGTATGCCAAATGTGGGAATGTAATCAAAGCCCGCGAAGTTTTTGATCAGATGAGTGAGCACAATGTTGTGGCATGGACTGCTTTAATTTCAGCTTATGGAGTCAATGGTTGTGGCAAAGAAGCTACTAACTTATTTCGCTTGATGATTGACTGTGGAACAAATCCGAATGAAGTTACTTTTATTGCTGTATTATCTGCTTGTGCTCATGCTGGGCTAATTGACGAAGGGCGTGAAATCTTAGCTAGTATGAGGAGGTTCGGCCAAGTGCCGAGCACCGAGCATCATGTTTGCATGGTTGATATGTTTGGGAAGGCTGGATTGCTTGATGAAGCATTTCAGTATATCAAGGATCTATATACTGTTCAACCGGCCCCGGCAGTCTGGACCGCATTGCTGAGTGCTTGCAAAAAGCACAAAAGTTATGATCTCGGTGTTCACGTTGCTGATAATCTTATTGCTGCTGAACCTGAAAGTGCTGGACATTACATTTTACTGTCTAATATCTATGCATTGGCTGGGAAATGGGAACGAGTCGAGATGGTGAGGGATATCGTGACAGGTACCCAATTAAAAAAGGTTGTTGGCTATAGCATCGTGGAGATTGATCAGAAGGAACATTTTTTCCGTTCTGGTGATGTATCTCACCCCGAGACCATGGCCATACGCCAATTTTTGGATGACATGATTCAACAGATCAAGGCAGTAGGCTATGTTCCAATGTCACAATGCATGATGCAGCAAATGGAAGAAGAAGACAAGGAACTTGCACTTAGATACCACAGTGAGAAACTCGCAATAGCGTTTGGACTGTCGAAAACAACAGAAGGTAGTACACTTCGAATTGTGAAAAACGTGCGCATCTGCGAGGACTGTCACATGGCTGTCAAGCTCATCTCATTAGTTTACAAAAGAGAGATTATCGTGAGGGACAACCTTCGTTTTCACCATTTTAAAGATGGCTCTTGTTCATGCTTGGATTATTGGTGATTTAATCCTGAATTCCTGACAACAAAAACTTGTGAACCAAAGTATGTCGACTTCTTTTCACCAGTTATCAGTTGCAACTTGCAAGTTGTCTGTTGCCACCATTGAAATTCTACTTCATGAAATCCTTAAACTGACAAAGCACAACTGCCTGATTAGTGTTCTATGTATAACTTGTTGGTCTGCGCATAGCTTCCAAATTTTAAGAAGGGGAGCAACCTGATGCTGGAAGCAAACTAAGAAGGTACACTGGCATCCACCACCATGGAGGGTGAAACTCAATGCTGATGGGATGTATTTTACAGAGCGACTGGGTTGGCCACTAAGGTGGATTGATGCGAGACACTGTGGAGGGCCGAGGGCGTTGGGTTTGATAACTTGGATTTCACAATTGTCATGACACTATCACTGGCTCTAAGCTTTGGGGGTGCTAGAATTGAGTGAAATCTTTCTTGGGAACTCGATGAATGGCATATACATGAAACTTGATGACAGGAGTATCCTGCTAGTGGTATAGGATATTAAGAGGCCGGCAAGTCAACACGGAGGCTTAATCAAGAGGATCAGAGAATTGAGTGACAAGATTGAGTACTGGAGGTGCAGCATTAACTACAAGGAAGCGAATTTTGCGATGAACTAGCGTTTTTGGGGTTGAGGGAATGAATCATGGGGTCTCCAGGACTCCCAAGAATGTGGCTACCCTGTGTGAGATCAAACCGGGGTTGAGCAATGTTTACTATCCGGGTGGAAAAACTGTAGTCTTTGCTTTGTTTAAGGTAAATTTTGGCTTAAGATTTGTTGGGTTGGAAGGTAATATTTTGATATGACTACTAATCCCGAGGGGCAGTGCAGGGCTGCGTTTAACTATGTTGAGTCGAGCAAGGGAACGTTGACTAGCCAGCATACAAAGGCGGCGGCCCGCCACCTTTTTGGGCAGATGCGCCCGGAGCGCGTTTGTCACCTCCAAAGAAGCAGCGCGTGGATTGGATATTTTATAGCCGATGCAACTTCGACGTGGAGACATAAGCTGTATTTTCTGCCCATTTAGCCGTTGGAGCGTTTTGGCGCGACTTGTACTGTAACGGACTGGCATTTTTCATTCATTTATTTATTTATTTATATTTTTTTGGTGGAATGGTTTTTAACCGTAATTTACTTCGTGACTCGTGTGTTCCCTTTGTAAAATTTGAACCTAAACAATTAGTAGAAGGAATGTTAACCAATGAACGGAATCTTGGTCGAATAAAAGGTACAGTATATATTACAAAAAATTTTATTAAACTTTTGGGATTCAAATCATAATCATTTCATAAATGTTTTCAAGTTGCATGCATGTGATCTTCATTGCGTTTCAGAAGGTCACTGAATTCGAGATCCAACTTGCTCATTTCAATTACTTATTTATGCACATCACCTTTTTTTGGTAAATTATGTTACTAAAACTCGAAATCTTATAATGAATACAACTTCTACTATATAGCAAATCATGTTATATTAGTAGGAATATACTACCTCAGTTTCGAAATTATTGTCCAGTTTGAATTTTTATTTTTAGTACAAATTGAACTAAAAGTGACAATCTAAACTGGACAATAATTTCAGGACAAATAAAGTATATATCTTGGGCTAAATAAAAAAAAAAAAACTCTATCCAGTAGTTTGATTTAACACTTATTTGTGAAGACACCGAGTGCACCCAACTTACATACAAGTTGATAGCAATACTACCTAAAGAAAATTACTCCTATCTAATTGTCCAAAATTGAAGACCGAAGTTGGGAAACTAACTTATTAATTTACCATAGTCTATGAGTTAAATAAATACTGACAAAACTATAACAAACATTTTTTTACAGCATCTTTTCAAATCTTTTTTTTTTCGGTCGAATTTTATCCATCACTTTCGTGCAACAAAATTCCGTATAAATGCCGGATTCCGGATTTTTCTCAAAAAGGAGAAAATACAAAGATAAATACTGGATAAGTGAGTGGATTACTTGCATGAATATTGGAAAAAAGTAGGGTAGCTTTTTGGCCTTTTTAAAAAACATTATAAATGTAAAATTACGTCATCTTCTAGTTTTCTTTCTCCCACAGTCCACTTACAACAATCTTTGCTTCGATTTTACTTTTTCAAAGAATATACTCATTTTTTTTCACCAAAAAAACAAAAGAAAATTAAAAATATTCGGTTGTTGAGAGTTAAACCTCTAATATTCGAATTCTAACTCAATCTAAACATGTGTAACCAAATATGCACAAAACTCAAATGAATAATTTTAATATTTTAAAAGAAAAATACTACTCCCTCCATTTTTTTCATATGTCTTTCTAGAAAAATCATTAAAACCAAGAAAACATTAATTAATATAGTTAAAATCCAAAAATACCCTTATTTATTATCTACACAATTCATCGTAAACCAATAGAAATTCGTTATAGATACTGTTTCATTTCCAATGCAAGAGTAATATTGGTAAAAAATAGTCAAATATATCTCGATTTCATAAAAACGACATATATTTAAAAAAAATTCACCAAATCCTAAAACGACATATATTTCAAAATGGAGGGAGTAGTAAAATATTTGCCAGAATCAAGCTGTTGTAGAAAAATATTTGTTCGAAAATAAGTGCAATCAAATGTTACTCCATAATAATAATTTTGTTGTATAGAAACCCATAATTGATTATAAATCCAATGGAACGTGTAGCAGAAAAACAAACAATTTCAGGTGTCACGTTTCAGTCTTCCATTTATTACTAGTATTACTACTAAACTTTTACTACTATGTAGCATTAAAAATTTTCCATTACTACTGCTTGGACTGTAACTTACACTTTTTAGAATCCCATTAGTCACGTCGTATCCACTCGCGCTTCTTTGGGCGCGTATACTTCAGCTTTATCCTCCACTACTACACCTTCCCTTTTTTGACAGTGACCCCTCCACTCCAATTCTCCATAGCTACTCCACCCACCTCCGCTCTTCTTTAGCTCATCAGAATCTCTTCAATTCCATCAGCACTAAGAACAACAAAAGGTTTGTGATTTTTCCCTTTGGAATTTTATCCATTAATTGCTTTTTTGTTGTCTTTCTTATGCTTGCTAATCATACACTATTACAGTATATTCGTTTGCTGTTCGCCTTTTGGTGTCATTTTTAATTCCTTTTGCTATTTGGATTCATGGCTTTTCATTATTGTTGACGACAAGTTAAAGAAATGTTGCTGAACAAATAGTTCTTGCTTTTACAGGAGGAGTTGATGAGATGAATTTACGGCAACGGCCTCAAGCCACGCGCGGCCGCGAGCAGCCTTACCCGCCGCCGCCTCCGCCGCTGCGCCAGTCTCCGCCGTCGGAAACTTATAATATCATTCCCATTCACAGTCTCTTGTCGGACCATCCTTCCCTCCGTTACCCGGAAGTAAGGGCCGTCTCCGAAGCACTTCGCACCGTCGGCAGCCTCCGGAAGCCGCCTTTTACTCCCTGGAACGATTCCTTGGATATTATGGACTGGTTGGGGCTGTTCTTTGGCTTCCAAGGAGACAACGTGAAGAACCAAAGAGAGCATTTGGTTCTTCACCTTGCCAATTGCCAAATGCGCCTTCAACCACCACCTGCTGTTGTTGACCGCCTTGACCCTGGAGTTCTCCACCGTTTCCAGCTGAAGCTACTCAAGAATTACACCTCCTGGTGTTCTTATCTCCGGCAAAAGTCTCAAATCCGGCTCCCTCGGCGCCCGACCGCTGACCTCCCACGCCGTGAACTCATGTACGTTTGCCTCTACTTGTTGATTTGGGGCGAGGCTGCAAACCTCCGTTTTGTCCCCGAGTGTCTCTGCTATATATTTCATAATATGGCCTTAGAACTCAACTACATTCTTGATGATCATACTGATGAGAATACGGGGCACCCTTATGTTCCTGCTACTTGTGGGCAATATGGTTTTCTCAATTACGCGGTTACTCCTATCTATAACACCATCAAAGGTGAGGTTGAGAGGAGTAGGAATGGGACTGCCCCACATTCGGCGTGGCGGAATTATGATGATATCAATGAATACTTTTGGAGTAAGAAGTGCATTAAGAGATTGAAATGGCCTATTGATATATCTAGCAACTTTATCTCAACCATTGCAGAATCAAGAGTTGGGAAGACGGGATTTGTGGAGCAGAGGACTTTTTGGAATCTTTTTAGAAGCTTTGATAGGTTATGGATTATGTTAATATTATTTTTCCAGGCTGCTATGTTCGTTGCTTGGGAGGAAAGGGATCCGCCGTGGAACGCCTTGGAGAGTAGGGATTTGCAAGTGGAACTGCTTACCGTGTTTATTACTTGGGCAGGTTTAAGGTTTATTCAGTCGATTCTTGATGCTGGAACGCAATACAGTTTGGTCACCAGGGACACCATCTGGATTGGTATTAGGATGGTGCTGAAAAGTCTAGATGCTCTCACGTGGACTGTTGTGTTTGGTGTTTTCTATGGGAGGATTTGGAGCCAGAAGAATTCTGATGGCAGGTGGTCTTATGAGGCAACCCAGAGAATTTTCATGTTTTTGAAGGCTGCATTTGTGTATCTTGTTCCCGAGTTGATTGCTCTGGTCCTTTTTGTTCTTCCCTGGATTCGAAATGGAATTGAAGAAGTGGATTGGACAATCTTTCGTTGGCTAAGCTGGTGGTTTTATACTCCGATCTTTGTAGGTCGGGGTTTAAGGGAAGGACTCATTAGTAATGTAAAATATACGGTGTTTTGGATTGCAGTTTTGGTTTCAAAATTTTCTTTCAGTTACTTCCTTCAGATCAAGCCTTTGGTTGGCCCAACTAAGGCACTTCTGAGATTAAGGAATGTGAGGTACCAGTGGCACGAATTTTTTGGAAGCACGAATAGAATGGCTGTGATAATGTTGTGGGTTCCTGTCATTGCAATTTATCTGGTGGATTTGTTAATCTGGTACTCAATTTTCTCCTCTATTGTTGGGGGAGCGATTGGGTTATTCTCACATATTGGTGAAATCCGCAACTTTCAGCAACTGAGACTAAGGTTCCAGTTCTTTGCTAGTGCTTTGCAGTTTAATCTTATGCCTGAGGATCGGACTCTAAATGCAAAGTCTACACTTGTGCACAAACTACGAAATGCATTGCATAGGTTGAGACTGCGATATGGACTTGGTCAGCCTTTTAAGAAGATGGAATCAAGCCAGGTGGAGGCAACTAGGTTTGCATTGTTGTGGAATGAAATGATTATAACCTTCAGAGAGGAAGATCTGGTGAGCGATACGGAGGTGGAGCTTATGGAATTGCCTCCTAATTGTTGGGATATTAAGGTCATTAGATGGCCATGTGTTCTTCTTTGTAATGAGCTGTTGCTTGCTCTAAACCATGCTGTTGAACTGGAAGATGCACCTGATGGGTGGGTATGGTTCAGGATATGCAAGAGTGAGTATAGACGGTGTGCTATTGTTGAGGCTTACGATAGCATCAAATTTTTGCTTCTTGAGATTGTTAAATATGGGACTGAAGAGCATGATATTGTGAGTAACTTCTTCACAGGTTTGGAGAACAACATTCGTTTTGAGAAATTCACGGCAACATACAAGACGTCTGTGTTTCCCAAGATTCATGAGCAGTTGATATCTCTCATCAAACTACTACTTATGCCTCAGGAAGACATGAACAAGTTAGTGAATGTAATGCAAGCCTTGTATGAGCTATCGATACGAGAGTTTCAAAGAACGAAAAAGTCAGTTGCGCAGCTGAGACAGGAAGGTTTGGCACCTTCAAATCCCTCGACAACTGCTGATAGTCAACTATTTGAGATTGCTATGGAATTCCCTGACAAGGAAGATGTTTTCTTCTACAGGCAGCTAAGACGTCTGTATACAATACTTACGTCGAAAGATTCAATGCACAATATCCCAAAGAATCTTGAAGCAAGAAGACGCATTGCTTTCTTTAGTAATTCTTTATTCATGAACATTCCACGTGCTCCACAGATTGAGAAAATGATGGCATTTAGTGTCTTGACTCCATACTATGATGAAGAAGTATTGTATGGAAAAGAAATGCTTAGAAGTCCCAATGAAGATGGCATTTCTACGTTGTTTTACTTGCAAAAGATTTATGCAGATGAATGGTCAAATTTCCTGGAGAGGATGCGTAGGGAAGGTATGCAGAATGATGATGACATTTGGGGTACAAAGGTGAGGGATCTTCGTCTTTGGGCATCTTACAGAGGCCAGACACTATCACGTACCGTGAGGGGTATGATGTATTACCACAGGGCATTGAAAATGCTTGCTTTCCTTGATACTGCATCTGAGATGGATATAAGACAGGGATCCCGGGAAGTTTCACTACAGCAGAACAATAATTTGGGTAGCCTTGGTTCTGGGCTGGCACCAACTTCTCAGAATATTGCCCGAGCAAGTAGCAGCGTGAGTCTTCTTTTTAAAGGACACGAGTTTGGCTCTGCCCTTATGAAATTCACTTATGTTGTTGCCTGCCAAATGTATGGGCATCATAAGGCAAGGGGTGATCCACGTGCTGAAGAAATTTTGTACCTGATGAAAAACCATGAGGCCCTACGGGTAGCTTACGTTGATGAAGTTTTCCTGGGAAGAGAAGAAGTGGAATACTACTCTGTTTTGGTGAAATACGATCAACAGTTGAAGCAAGAGGTTGAAATTTACCGTGTTAAACTGCCTGGTCCAGTAAAGTTGGGTGAAGGCAAACCTGAGAATCAGAACCATGCACTCATCTTTACTAGGGGTGATGCAGTTCAGACGATTGACATGAACCAGGACAATTATTTTGAGGAAGCACTGAAGATGCGGAATTTATTGGAGGAGTTTAATGTGTATCATGGAATCAGGAGGCCAACCATCTTGGGAGTTCGTGAAAATATCTTCACTGGTTCTGTCTCATCGCTAGCTTGGTTCATGTCTGCTCAAGAAATGAGTTTTGTAACTTTGGGACAGCGTGTTCTGGCAAATCCTTTGAAAGTTCGAATGCATTATGGCCATCCTGATGTTTTTGATAGATTCTGGTTTCTGACTCGGGGCGGCATTAGCAAAGCTTCCAGAGTGATCAATATCAGCGAAGATATTTATGCTGGTTTCAATTGCACATTGCGAGGAGGCAATGTCACACACCACGAGTACATACAGGTGGGTAAAGGACGTGATGTTGGGTTGAATCAGATATCGATGTTTGAGGCCAAGGTTGCAAGTGGAAATGGTGAACAGGTCTTAAGTAGAGATGTTTACAGGTTGGGTCATCGACTAGATTTCTTTCGTATGCTGTCATTCTTTTACACTACTGTTGGGTACTTCTTCAACACCATGATGGTGGTAATTATGGTCTACACTTTCCTCTGGGGACGCCTTTATCTTGCTCTCAGCGGGGTTGAGGATCATGCGATGAATGCTGGAAACAATAAAGCGCTTGGTGCAATTCTGAATCAACAGTTTATAATCCAAATTGGTGTTTTCACTGCCCTACCAATGATAGTGGAGAACTCTCTGGAACGAGGCTTCCTTCCAGCAGTTTGGGATTTCATAACAATGCAGTTTCAGCTTGCTTCTTTTTTCTACACATTCTCAATGGGAACACGTGCTCATTATTTTGGGCGGACCATTCTGCATGGAGGTGCCAAGTACCGAGCCACTGGACGTGGTTTTGTTGTGCAACGGAAGAGCTTTGCTGAGAATTATCGGTTATATTCTCGCAGTCATTTTGTGAAAGCAATCGAGCTTGGAGTCATCCTGATAGTGTATTCATCGAGTAGTCTCTTGCCTTCCAATACATTTGTCTACATATTAATGACCATCTCAAGTTGGTTCCTCGTAGTATCATGGATTATGTCGCCTTTTCTGTTTAATCCTTCGGGATTTGACTGGTTAAAAACTGTATATGATTTTGATGATTTCATGAAGTGGATATGGTATAATCGAGGAGTTTTCATAAAAGCAGATGTCAGCTGGGAGACATGGTGGTACGAGGAACAGGATCACTTGAGAAATACTGGTGTTTGGGGGAAATTGCTGGAGATTATTTTGGATCTGCGCTTCTTCTTCTTTCAGTATGGGATAGTGTACCATTTGAATATTGCTGGTACAAACCGGAGTATTGTCGTTTATTTGCTATCCTGGATCACCTTGATTGTGATCGTGGCGATTTACATGGTTATTTCATATGCTCAGGATAAGTACGCTGCCAAGGAACATATATATTATCGGCTGGTTCAGTTGGTTGTAATCACGCTTGTTGTACTTGTGATCATTCTGCTTCTCAAGTTTACTGCCTTTCAATTTCTTGATCTTATCTCAAGTCTCTTGGCATTTATACCCACCGGATGGGGCATGATACAGATAGCCCAAGTGCTTAGACCTTTTCTGCGATCCACTGTTGTTTGGAACACAGTAGTATCATTGGCTCGTTTGTATGATTTGATATTTGGGATGATCGTTATGGTTCCTTTGGCTATTGTTTCCTGGATGCCTGGTTTAGAGTCAATGCAGACAAGGATTCTATTCAATGAAGCTTTCAGCAGGGGACTCCAGATATCTCAATTACTTACCGGCAAGAAGTCCAGCTTTGACGTATGATACGAGGTAATGGTCTGTCTTAAACCTCCAAATATCAAACTTCTCCATGTTTAAACTCTTATTAAGAAAACTTGGACATGAAATCTGATTTTATAATATGAGGATGGTGACTTGGTTCTTTCTTGGACGATGTTATCTAAAAAAGATATAGCTTCTTCCGCATTTATTTGTGGTACATTGGGATATCTTGAAGTTTATTCTCTGTACAAATGGTACTATTAACCTAAGGTTAATGCTGATTTTGCATATTAGATTATTATTCTTGTTTTTTGCATCATTTATTTTCAAGGTTTACTGACCATTTTAAAGGAGAAGTACCTTTATCCTCTTTTTTTAGAGGGAGGGAGGGAGGGGGGTTTAAATTTTCACATCATACTTAGAATTTCAGAATGGCCATCACGAGTATAACAAGATGGAAAATAATAGAACTCAGGTCCTCCTATATGCCGTTCCTTCTTCGCATTTATCGAGATGGAAAGTTCTTTGTCTGACATGATTAGTTTGTTTCTTTGCATAGAACTAGTCTATAGTCCTCCCAATAGTCCCATGTTGATGGAGTTCAACCGTTCTTTCTCCCTTTTGCTACTTTTTGAAATTTCAATCGTGATAATATCTTGTCCCCAGTAAGGTGCTTGAATACAGTTTGGTCTAGGATATCGTTTCAAGAACCTCTTTTAATGATGTTAAAGAATTCAAACAGAACATGTTTCGAAAATTCATGGTACATGTCGAAAGTACCATGCTTTCTGTGCTTTTCTGGCAATATTTCCTGAGTGTTGCAGTTGCATGAAGATCTAATTTACAAGGTTTAGTTGAATTATTGTGTTATTGCAATGTTTGCTAACCCTAACTATAGTTTATACCCTGTCATAATTGGACAATTTTCAGGGGTGTTGGAGAATTTCAGTGGAGAATACATTTTTAACTGCTGCATCAGAGTATTCAATTTGCTTCATCGGAATCTTACTGTAAATTATTTTGCTGCTCTGACCCTAAACAACAACCAGGTACAACCTGAAATTGATTTCTAAGAACAATCATTAGTTCTAGCTTACTGATTCTGTGTTCGTCAACTCAACTAAGTATGATACCAGATGTAATTGGTTGAGTCTGCAATTTTTCAGGGCTGTTAGAAAAGTTGCAGTGGAGGATATTTCTTTGGGCTGCTGGATCCACGTATTCAATTTGCTTCAACAAAGTCCTGGTGTAAGTGTTTTTTTGCTGCTCTGACACTACACGATAGCCTGTTAGAATCAGAAATTGATTCCTTAGTGCAGTCATTAGTTAGATGGCTTACAGCTTCTCATTTTGGAGTTAGGCGTTGGTTAAGTAATTCGTAGGAAGAAAGCATAACCTTAGTTCCGTGTACATATTTTCCACTTGTAAGGACATCAAAGTAGGTGTTACAGAATCCTTCTGCTTTGTTTATTCAAAGGCTAATGCATCTTGCAGCAAATTCATTGCTGAGGGTTGAAATCTTGCTGTTTCCTTTTCGACAGTGGGAGCTCACCCCTAGTCCTAGGAACGAACTTTGCTGTTATCAGTCTACTTACGAACTTTTTCTCCTCTTGGATTTCCAGCAATTGTGTGTTCTTAAGATCTCTGAACGTGTTCGTGAGATGGAGAATGATATTTTTATCCTCTTGGAACATCAACTTTTTAAAGTGGTGTAATCCTTTATTCATTATTTAGACCAAAACACTTAATCACAATCTCCTCCTCTTAATGCATTCATTCACGTCGCACTTGAGCTCGCTTATGCTTAATTCCTAGAGAGAAAACGAAGCATGCCAACCGTGTTGAAATCAAGGACCACATCAAGATGATCCATAAATAATAACAGAGCTTAGAAGAACTATAATGGGACAGAAAGTATTTAATTCATGAGCTTAACACGACCATCAAGGAATCCACTCAGCTTATTTTGGTCCAAATAAGGGTACAAACAATCTCCAAAACATAATCTGGCCAAATAAGAGGAAACAAATTGTCGGGTAGGAACCAAGGTCTAGAACTAGAAGGGAAGAAAACATTCATGGATGCACCAAAATAATCTTAAACTATTGAGTTATGTATTGCAATTCTACTGCACCAAACACAAATGGAAAAATTGCCAAAAGAACAGTTCAAGAAGAATTTGCTATACAATGAAATGCATGGGTATATTTGCCTACTCAATCTTTCAAACCCCAAGCTTTGGGCCTAATAAATCAAAAGCTCCTAAAGACAAATGTGTAATATTTATAATATGAAGGTGCTATCTGCCCTGAAGTATTAACATTTTGCAAGACATTAACATATTAAAATATCAATCCATCTTATACGCAGACTACTAGGTATCAATGCCAACTACAGGCACTTTTTCATACACTATGTTTTGCTTGAATCTCTTGGGGAGAAAGCAGCGCCCACCAAACCTTTGCTGCAAGTAAATAAGGAACGCAAACAGGAATCCGAGAATGCATATTACAATATCCCAGGCAGTGGAGTAGTAATCCATTTTCGGATTACCATAAATCATGCGGACCGAAAATGTCGAACTGTGAGCCCTGTAAAGATCATACACATGCGGTAACATCCGAACCAAAGAAGTCCCAAGGTAAAATGAGGGAGCAAGAGACCTCTCTTTGTTGTCACAGAATGAATTGAACAGAATCTGAGGGATCAAGAATCCATCCCGTATCAAACCAGCATACGCCTTGAACCCGCCCCAAAAGGACTGTCGTTGTTGTAGTACCGGGCGTAACACCATCAGTGTCCTTCCATGAGGTTTTGATGCAAGATGAGCAAACCAGGCAATCAAACCGCCACCTAAGTACAACGGCAAGCACAAAAATAGAACCTTCTTTTCAGAAATCCACAGGCTTTTCTGCCCTTCAATCTTGGTTTTTGCAGACCAAGTCAGTTGAAGCAAACGGAACTCTAACAAGAAAGCGACCATTGTAATCACTCTTACTAACACCTCATTAACTTCAATCCAACCGTCAGTACCAAGATATACATTCTGTTTGCGATTTGACAAGAAAAGTGCTTCAAAGTTCAGCAACAGAGGAATCATGTGCGCCAGGGTCAGTACAGTCAGCATAATTATGGAAATGAAAGGGAGCATTTCTGGATGCTTTTGCACATAATATAACTGCAATCCAACAAAGATACATGCCAGTGTGTTGGAAACAAGAACCATTGTCATCTCCAGGTCCATCCTCCAAATTGACTCTTTAACTTGATTATAATAAAGGGAGTGCGAAGAAATCTGCAATGGCTCAAAATAAAGAGGATCAGATTTCATTCTTGTGCTTTTTATGGTTCCTTTAATGGTAGATCCCCCCTTTGCTTCCAGTGGTGGATACTGCATTTCCACAAAAATTTCACAATCTAGAGAAGCATTTCTGCCAAACTTAGCATAAGGTACTGGAACACGCATGCAGCCAACCATGTAAAGTTGCCCTGTTTTGGAATTATATATGCCCTCGGCAGAAATTCTCACTGAACTAAATTGAGGTAGTTCGGTAATGTTCAACCCATCCAGTGGCCTAAAGCTTAACTCATAGCTGATATTAACCAAATTACTTGGGCTCTTTTTAATATGCCGGCCTCTTGATTCAACCTGTCCAAACACTCCATCAGGCGTAAAAGATTTATCATCCACAAACAGCGGGGAAGCAAAACCAAATACGTGTCCATTCTGGGTTCTTACCAACATGTTAAATCTCATATCGCGTGATGTTGCCTCGGGAAAGTTCCCCCCTTTGCCTCTAGTTATCATCTTCTGTGCATAAGATTGCTTAACTTTCTCAATCTCAGTATATTCATACTGCACCCCGTCATGTCTCAAATCTCTGTTGATCCTACTCCGAAATTTAACCCTACCAAAATAACCAGTCTCATCTTGCCTTCTACTGCTCCATATCTCCCCAACAATAAAGTCCCTCCCCCTCAAATTATAGAACATAGGCAGCCTCAAACTCAACCGGATTGAGCAATCACCAACTGTACCCTTGCCATCTAACATTCGACAAGCGACCATGTCAAGTCTTCTCTTATCATGCTCCCACTTCCCCTCGGCAGTTACAGTGGCATTGGGATTGAAATTTGACCTAGCACCATTGCTCATAAAGCCCAACAAATACCTCACAAAACCACTCTCCCAACACTCTACTTCATTGAAAAACACGCTGCTAGGTAACGTCACATTGGATCTCCCACTCTGAAGAATATCACAGTTCACGCGGTCACAATCATCTTTGTACTCCAATTCAAAAACGCCAGCTTTATGAATTAGCAGGCACAGTTCATTTGCCCTCTCTAATGTTAATGAGACATTTGACACATTATCACAAGGCTGAAAAGAATTTTCTTCCATTGCTTTACTGATCAACTGAAACTCATAATTCCTCAAATTCACACCTAATATTACCAAAGTTTCAACATGATCGCCACCAGCATTGTAGATGTCCAACGTGCCATTAATAAAAGTATTAAAGATGTCCGATTTATCGGGATAATGAAGCTTGAAAACACTGAAAAGAGAGCCATACCTCCCTTCAAAACCCGAACCCACCATGCACAGCTTCCCGGATGTAGAATTCCAAAACCCACTCAAGGTAAAGTCATGAGACCCCGAACGGTAGTACGAAGAGTCCACCGGGATCCGGGGCGGTCGGTAATGGACCAGCCGAAGTCCACGGCGAGTGGTATTCAGAGGATGCCCCGGGAACCGATATCGCCGGAGAGTAATTGCGGCATCGAACTTGAAAACGCCGTCGTTCGGCGTCTTGTAAGCTCTGGAGGACCTGAAAAAGACTTGATTAGGGGAGGTGACCCGGGAAGGGGTAATCTGGGTTCTTCCGGCCGAGTCGGTGAACTGGGCATGCCAGATAGTGAGGACGATGGGGTCGGTGAGTGGAGTGGGCGATGAAGGGGACTCCGGGACGACGTCGTTGCAGTACAGAGAGTAAGAATTCCGATGGTTCTTGGTCTCGGCGGCAGCAATAGTGGTTGGACAGATCAGAAAGAGAAGAATGAGAAGGTGAAACGCAGTGATGTGGACTTTGTGAAAGTGTTGAAGCCATCCCGCCGGAAGAAAAATTCTGGGAGTGAATCTATTTCTATTTACAGGGTTTAGATGCGACGGTGGCGGAGATGAGGTGGAGGAAGAAGAGGAGGCCATGGCGGTCGGCGTTAGTAATTTGCTCCGACTTTGGGAATTTAGTCGCTTAAAAAATCTACCATTACTTGCCGACCATCAAATTAACAAGTTACAAGTGTGTATTAATTTTAATCATCAAGAAAAGATAAGAAATTACAGTTATAACCTTTTTTGGCACCAATAGTAAAGATCCGATTAAGGATGTTCAAGAAATGTGGTAAAAGAGGGTTCGAGAACTTTGTGATTGCAGTCAAATTCTTTTTTAATGTAAAAATAGATCGTTAGTTGCAAAAGAAAATGCCATTTTCAACATAATGAAAACAACAGGAAGTAAAATTCAACCAAAAAAAAAAAAAAGAAGAAGAAGAAGAAGAAGAAGAGGTAAATACTAAATAAAGGTGTAGATAGAGCTAATAAAAGGTTGAATGTAAAAATTTTTTATTTTTCAATCGTAAATTTATTAAAATTTTCTTCAAAGTAAAGTTGATCCATGAAAATTGATTATAAATATGATAATGTATAATCAACTATTTGATTTAATTGAATTTCTAGGACGAAATATTCTGAATTGCAAAATATTCGATACATGATCTCAACTTACTAATTGCAAAATTAATCAAATGGTACTTGTATATTTTTCGCAGCTGTAGCAAGAGATTCTAGAATGATTTTTTTGGACATTCTTGATCATTTATTTAGAAAGTCAGGCTTTGTTTGTTTGTCAACTCATTTTATATTTATGCCTTGTAAAGGCGATCCAGAAGTGCAGTTTGAAAGAACGGTCGATGAAGAAGAGCTTTCAAACAATGACGAGGATAAAGATGCCACAGCAACATCAACCTTAGACCTGACTCCTTAAATATCATCAATCAGCTCAACTTGCAAATTATACAAGTGCAGGTATCAAGCTTGGATGCTAAAAAACTTGTGTCCTTAAATGTGATAAGTTATGACAGTGAAAATGATTAGGAAAAAAAAAAGAGAAGAAGAAGAAAGCATATCACACACTCCACCAGTCAACTAGCTGTTGCAGCACATCTTCCCAGAAACTGCAAGAATTACAGTTTTCTGGTTATCCTTTTTTTTTAGGGTTGACTGGGATTTTTATTGCAAGCCAATCATATGATACAGAACTTGAAGAGTTTTGAGGATTGTATCTCTAAGTACATGCTGATTACATAAACATTCTCACCACACTAACTGTTTCCATTACTGAAACCATGTTTTTCTTTTTCTTGTATTTACACATTTCATTCATAGATCAACACCGCAACAACCACATAAGCTGTTATTGGTGCCAATATAAATGGACAAAACACACATTCCATTTACTAATGGAAAGCTATTCGGACTGGTTTCACATTTCATTGCAAAGCATACCCTTTTCAGAAAATGCCTCGATCAGTATGGGGACAAGCTTGGAAAGCATGATCTTGAAGCCCGTGGAGCTTCCGATTTGATCAGTTTTCTCATTTCCAAATGGAAAACCTACTGGTGCCCCGTCCATGTATGCCTTGCATGCAGCTAGAATACTTTTGTACCGTTGACGGAAGTGCTCCCCTACAAGTGCCTCAAAATGCTGCACCAAAATTCAAACAGATCTTGAATTTTGTTTTTGTTGATATGCATAAATTTGGTCACCAAACATATTCAATAATAGTTTACCTTTGGTGGCTTGCGTAGCACATATAACATTGACTTGCAGCTTACAAGAAATGCATTTTCATTGTAGCTCACCGAGTTTTTCTCACCCTCGGCTTTCCCCACTTGAGAATCGTATCCAGCCTCGTTGAAGTAAGGTTTTTCATTTAGTACGAGGGCTTGGAGAGATAGGAGAACTTGAAGGACTGTGGATTTTTCAGGATTCCAAACTTCACTTCCAGAGCCAGTCCACGTATTAAGAAGACTTAAGCAGACCTTTCCAGATTCATACAAGTTAGGATTGACACGAAGTCCTCCCGAATTGTAGTAAACCACCTGAAGATGTTACACATACATGCAAATTCATCAGCTTCAGTCGAACCATTTTCATATTGTACCCATTAGTACCACCATGTAACTGTTCTTGCATACATAAGAACAAAGACAGCATAGTATGTTGATTCTACTACTTGTTGAATGAAATGACCAAAAATCTCTCTTAAATCTCAATTTTATGAACCTCAAAGAATGTCTCAAATACAAATGATTTTTAAACTCTGAGTATGATCACCTGAAATACAAATGCAAGTACCAACAACTAAGTAAGGTAAGTGTACTCACTGGTGGCTGGTAAGGATATTCTGAGGGAAGAAATATGTCAAAAAAGAACAGTCCATCATGATATGGAGTTCCAGGGGCCCCGATGATAGCAGCCCGAAGTAAATTCATGTTTTCCTCGTATATTCGGACGAAGATTGTTTCTGTTAAAGAAAAGAATAGATCGTTTCTGTTAAGAATGCATATAAATCTTACGATTGTAATGGCATTGTAAAGTTTGGACACCAAAGCTTGTTAACAATGATGGATTTCCAGTTCGCTTTACAAATACTGAGACTTGAAAAATAAAAAAGCCTGAACAAAAAAAGTCTTCCAAGTCAATTTAGCTCATTAATGTGATTTCAAACAATTTCCACTTCACACTAACGGGTAAGGAAGCTGTAGAATATAAACTTTCAGCTCACCAGTTTTTCTGACTTTGATGGTTGCTCAGGACAGAGGAAGTTCATAAAGGAAAAAAGAAGTAGAGGAATTTTACTCGTTTCATTTAAATAGTTTCGAAATAAAGTTATCCAATGAAAAATGCTTAGGCCGTACAAAAAACTGATGTTTCTCACCAGGAAGATCTTTTTCCAGAATGCTCCACTCTCGCTGGACCTTTCTAAGCCAAACTCGGTTACTCTACAGAGAATAACCAAAGATATTATGGAAACAATTTTATTTTATTTTATTTAAAAAAAAGACTTAGATAACCATGTTTTGTCTGTCTCACCTGACTATACTGTGTGCCATTTCCAGCACCATCAACAAAGTGATGGTCAGAGCAATCATTAACCATATCAAACTGCCTGAAGAGTTCAGGACGGTTGCTGCTAGATAGGGGGGCAGGATCCATTTTCCCATCAGCTTCTTTGATGTTCTGCCCTAAACCTGCTTCCTCAACCACCTCTGAGTTATCAACAACAGGTGAACTGCCGGTTGGATGCATATCATAAAGCTCCAATTCGTTCTCATCACTACAAGTCAAAGTGGTTTCTCCAGCTTCCGGTAAATGTCTATATGACCCAAATAGTGACGTACCAAGGGAACCAAATAGGGTCGAGCTGATACTTGCAAAAAGCCCAACGGCTGATTGAGGAAAAGAAGAGGAGCTGGGGCTCCATGTACTTTTTTTACATTCTTCATTCTGGTCTTTGGCACTTGAGCTCTCCTGCATATTTGATCATTTGATCAGTTGATGGTATTTTCAACAAAGGGCACACTGTTGAAATTTCTATCAGTATTCCAATCTAGTAGATCTTCGTGAGCTGTGATTTGATCAATAGTTTACATTTTTATTATTCAAAATAATATAACTTGGCTCCGCAACCGTGAGAGAAAAATAGTAGCGAAGATGAGTCCAGGGAGGTCAGTTGTTAAGGAAAAGGAACATAAGCAGACTCACATAGACAGGGACAAAGAGAGTTACCTTTCCCCTTTGTTCAAGAGATTGGGTGACCGGCAACATGATGTCCTCACTTGATGGTTCACGTTGGCTGAAGGATGTCACCGTGTCAGAGAGACCTTCACATTTATCAACTTGGTAGATCTCGTAAGGAGCCACCTGTATCACAACATTGCACAAAGACAAAAAAAAAAAAAAAAAGTTAAGGAATTAGAGACGACACAAGAATCACAAGAATGCACGTTTCAGAAGATCAAATTAATGATAAGATTCTTGTTAGCGACAATATCATATGATACTATAGATGTAGATAATAACACAAACACAACCAAATACACAGCAAAGTTAGTAACTGAAGTCGCTGGTACCTTGCATGTAGCACCACTAGCCCATTTGACTTCAACCTGTCCATCTTTCAAGCCAGTAACAGTACCAATGCAGGATAAGAAATCATTGGAGAGTGCATTCAGATCCTTGCAACTGTGCTTATTCTTTTCATCAGTGTCTACGCCTGTGGCATCTCTTGACATTGAGTGGGTTCCGAAATTATTTTGATGAGAACAACACCTTTGCAGCCTCAGAACAGCATCACCCAAAGAGTAAGAAAAGTCTGGGTGTTCAACCAATTCGTATGCACTCACAATTTCCTCTGTTGGTTCTAACTTAACAGCGGTTGGTTGATCCACAGAAACAGTGCTCCACTTAACCTTCACGGTTCGTTCTTTAGCATTCACCAATTTGACAACTCCCCACCTATGGACGCTGGGAAGCATTAGACCATCATTCAACCCCTTCTCTAGAACAAACTGCTCTGGCCAAAACTCATGAGCATCGATGACACTAACAGGTAACAGAGAATGCGAATCTAGACCAACTGAATGGCTGCCATCTTGCCATAGCACATCAACTTTAGTTTTTGTTTTGGTGATAGCAGCGATTTCCTGGATATCTGGAGCTGAGTTCCCCTGTCGACGGAATTCTAGTTTTTCCTCTCCTCCAATGATTCCGCAAGCTGGTGCTGTCAAAAAACCATGTTTTTTAACTGTCTTGCAGTCGATAACTGGAATTACACACCAGTCACCGAGCTGCCAATTAGCTTGTGTGGGACATGGTAACAAGGTTAAGTTTTTAAAATCTTGTAAGCATGGAGGAGAAGATATCTTTTCCAAACCATCCATCTGACAGCTAAGCCAATTAACATACACCAGTCCAGCATCCACAGAATATACAGTCCCTCGAGTTCTGTTATTATTTTTCACACAACACAGCCACCTTGTTGATTTGGAATCAGATACAGTCTCCACAAGCACTCTCTGCCCTGGGTAAAAAGGATACTGAGAATCTTCAAGTAAATCTTGTGATATAGGGACAAGTTTCTCAGGGCCCAAAGTGGAGAACTCAGACCTTGTACCATCTTCAAAGAGGACAATGACACGATCAATAATTTTTTGCACTTTTCCAACCCAAGAGCCGCTTACCACATAATCCCCCACCGAAACAGAACGGATCCTTTTTAGAATTTTTGAATCAATGTCATGCAATTTCCTTCCATGGATGCTCTCCAAATCCACAGAGATATCTACATGTACCACCTTGCCCATCTGAGCATATGGATCTTTTGCTGTGCAGACAACGTCGCCAACAATGAATTCCCTTTCAAATGAGAGGAAATCATCGATTTTGCCGATAGTTTCCTCAAGACTTGAAAGAATTGAACACGCATGTCCACTGTACATAAATTCTACATCATCCTGATCCTCGCTGATACTGCTTTCACTGAAGCTGTCAAAGTCACTGATGTCCAAATCCATGATACAGAATCCTGTCAGAATAATTAAGCTCATTAAAGACAACCATAGGGAAAAAAAGCAGAAGTGTTGAAATTTGAATTAAAAGCAGTTTTCCACCTGCTTGCTTTAAAACTACAAGCATCTATCTTGAATTCTTCCTGGTTTAGGATCTCAATAGGTCTTGATCATGAATCAGAATGCCACATAAAAATTTAACCACAAGGTTTAGGTGAGACTGTATAAGCATGTATTAGCATATATATTAGAATGAATCATCCAAGACTCTGATTGGACTTAGGATAAAACATTTGCCATTGACTACCAACAATTGATAGTAAAAGAATACCATTCCAAAGAGTAAAATTTGAGATAGAAGCAAAATATATATTTCCTGGTTACAATTAATAACACCAACAAAAAAATAATAATAACAAATTAAAGGACTAGATACCAATAGGAGATGGAGGAGGCAATACCAGATATTTGGTGGTGACCACTTGCTTCTATAGGAGGGAATTGAAATCTTGATATGGGATCACTGAGATTAGGATCAGCAACCTTCCAAGTTACAAAAGAAGAGCAGAAATATATATACTACGATGTTGCTCGGTGATCAGTAGGATCTTACAACACAACGATCGTGATCTCTCCAAGAATTTGGAGATAAATGCCAAAGGAGATTTGCCCCTGAAGTCCAAGTTAGAGTTGGACCTCAAAATGCCAGAGATTTTACCCCTGAAAGTCTGTATAGACTTAAAATTGCCAAAGGAGATTTGCCCAGTCTATGGACGAACTATCCCACTGGTAAAAGCTACCAGAGAAAGTTTTAGTGACTGATACAAAGATCGCGTCACAGAGATTCCTGTTGCTGAAAGCCGAAGTAAACGAATACTTGATGGAGCAAAATGATAGTTTCTGAACAGTTGCAAGTCCACCTCAAGTAATGTTGGTAACCTCAGGTCAGCCACAGGAAGGTACAAATATGCCAAAGGAGATTTGCCCAAATGAGCTATGCCGCAAAAGAACAAAAAGAAAGTATATATTGCAGTCTGAAAGGAACTTTTTTGTTCTTCCAAGACTAGTAATATATTGCCAAAGGAGATTTGCCCTAGAAAGAAGCCAAAAATTCAGTGAGATCCACCCTGCTGATTATAATGATTAGCCTCAGGTAAAATAGTATGAAATGACAATGACGGTTCGCAGCCACGATTCTTCAATAAGCAATAGTACCACTTCCAAGGAAGTAACACAAAGTCATCAAACTTAGCAATGAGAAAGATACTTCTGTTCCCATGCATGTAGCAAAAACCATGTCGGTGTGATCCTTTAGGGAGCCCAGAGAGCCTTTAAGCTTTTAAACCTGTTAGAATACAACCAGGAGTGAGCATACCTAAAGTATCATTTGGTCCTTCTTATTGGTTAAAAGAAGAAGACTCACAAGCTCGCTCATTTTTTTTTCTTGTAAAAAATATGAAAATATTATTTGCACATTTGTAACGCTTTCAAATTGGTGAAAGTGATGAACTGAAATTGCATCTGATAATTATACGCCGCCCATTTTCCTAGTCCTGGAAATCATATAAGACCTACTGGATGCAGATTATCATGAAGACTTCTGAATAGCTGCTTGTGTCAAGTTTAATTTGAACCTGAACCTCCTAGATTTTTCAATTAGTAAACATGATGTACAACCTAATACACTGTCGTTTATGCTAGGTAACTTTGTTTCAATATAGAAGCTGAAAATAACCTAGGAACTAAAAGCCTGTTCAAATTTGACAACTCATGTTCAAACTTATGAACTTGAACTTGATCCGAGCACATAATCGAAAGGAAGGATGCAAACAGCAAAGCCAATTCTTCAGTTTGTTCTAAACTCATATGCTTTACAGACAAGTGTCAAATAAGTTCTTCCAGAAATCTACATATTTACGAACATCACGTGACATAGTATATACGTAAGGATGGCCGCTTGTAAATTGCAATTGCAAATTCGACATAAAATTCCTAGCCATTTTGCCCACACAAACAGGGCAGGTCTAGAAGCCTTAAGAAAATGGAAACTAATTATCAAAGCATAGAAAGCATAAGTAGAAAGTTACCATTTTTTGCAGCTCATCAAGGGAGAAATCCCCAAAAGGGTCACACCAATATCACAGCACCAGCCCAAAGAACCCCCCAACAAAGCAACCAAACCTTCAGGGCTAATGAAAGGCTTCACTTTCTGAAATCTTTTCTCACTTTTTGTCTGGTTGCAGTCCAAAACAAGCAAAAGTAGAGAGCAGAGTGATGATGATCACCAGCACCCAGCAAAAAGGAGACTAAAACAAAGGCTATGGGAATTCAGAGAGGCCAATAAGACCCTCCCCAAATCCCACTACCCATTAAACCATTCTCCAAGTTTCCAAACATAGCAAGACAACTTCTTTCAATTCATTTGTCCCTCTGTTTCTTTTCCCTCTTCCAATTCCGTTGGTTCTAGACTTTCTGCTTTTCTCCAGGGACTTGTTTGTGTGGAAAATTGGAAAAAAAAAAAAAAAAAGGAAGAAACTTTGAGTAACTGTTTATGGGTTCTGGTTGTTGTTATCAATCAGCCTAAAAAAAAAAGCAGCAACAACTAATTTAGATATATGCTGAAGAACAGAATATACCACAGTATCCCAGTTGTGTGTGTCTTACTAAAAAGTTCGTTTTGAATCGGTACAAGGCAACAGTCATTCTTACAGATAAACATGGGAATAAACTGTGACAAATGCCGCCACTTCCAAAAGGAAAATAAAATAAAATAAAAATTCAACTCTTCTTCCTATGGGGGTGTTAATTGCAATATGTGAAGGTGACCCCTCCAAATTCCAAAAGGAAAAGTGCAAAACCATTTTCTAAAGGAAGAATTTTGGGACCCAACTGAAATTTGATTGCAAAGGGCAAATTTTGGATTTGGCTAGGGTCATTGCTCATATGTGATGGTGTCTTTTTTTTTCCCCTTTTCTTTTATGTGTATACATTTTAAAGGAAGAAAATAAAATTGCATAAGTGTACCTTAAATCTAAAAGCGAGAATATGCTATTTATTGTTGTGCCCAAGTTGTATATTGCTTTGTGAGAGTATGTGATCTGGTAATTCTCTATGATTTTAAGTCGGATCAAGATTACACTTTGGAATTTATGTATAGAATAAACCCAAAATTTTTTACCCAAAAAAAAAAGATAGAGATTTTTGGATTGTTTGGTCACGAAAGAGACAACAGTAATAAATCCAATCACTACTTACCATGCACTTACACAAATGTTCATTTCAATATGTATTTTTGGCATTCTTTTTTTAAAATTTATGATAGAGACAACAATAACAGATTTGAAACAATAAGGGCGGGCGTCGAAATTAGGTATTCAATATTAAGTGTGCTACAAACAACTCTATAGGAACTGCACATTTTGAAGTTACGTAGCAAAGCATAGAAAGAACATTCTGAGATGGATCCAACATAACCCCCTTAAGCATTCACAAAAAGCTTTGCAAAAAAAAATAAAATAAAATAAAATAATAATAAAATAGCAACCTTGTTTGGACATCAATTCATTTTACATTTTCACTCATTTTACCTCTTAAACACAAAACCCAATGGAAAAGAAAATATCATCCAAATAACTTTCTGATTTACATTTTAAATTCCAACTTGAAACACTTTTTGTTAGTGTAATGACTATTTTATAACTGCAAATAGTTTAGTGACAAATTTAGCAGGATTCCGTTGTTGAGTGATTGTTTTTGGAAAAGTTTTTTTTTGCAGTGACTATAATTGACATTATTTAATTGTTTAGTGATGACTTATACTTGATATTTCAAAATGTAGTTCAAAATACTTTTTTTCAAAACCAACATCCAAACAATATTTTTATTTCCCATTTAGTTTTCAATTTAAAACACTTTGCATTTTTAAGTAACAAAATAAAAATATAAGTTGACGTACAAACAAGCTTGGCTCTATTGGTTGGTGACCCTTTAAAGCCATTATAACAAGTCAATGCCAAAGAGTGGACCTTTGAATAATCAGTATACATTGCCTTGTGAAACCCATCATATGAATCATTGAATCTATTGGCCCCAAATGGCTCCAATTTAATCAAACGTCATGCTTTTCTTTATCTTCCTTTGGTGCTTTTTTGCTTTTTAATTGCGTGTCTTCTCAGTCCAATTTTCTACATTTTTTGAAATGCCTGATCAGATGGGCATATCCCTCTCTACATGTATGATTCATGATGCATTTTAGCTTCTTTGCTTCTAAGTGACTTAAGTCCCTGATTTTTTGGAGAGTATATATTAGTTGATTGGATAATGGATATGGTATGGGGCTGCTAAATTAACAAGATTAATTTGTTGAAAGTTGAAACAATTTGATACGGTAGGGCATGGTGAACACATCCAAAAGAACATTTGAACCATGTGGGATGCATATAAAAAGCAGCAATATGTAGACGTGTTTTTTTAGTATGTGTCACGTTTGAGCATAAAAATTGAAATAAATGATAGTTCAAAGACGAAAGACACTAATTTTCGTTTTAATTTTTGTAATAGTTATATCGACAATAATAATATGACTTTATTGTAGATCGCGGTTATTAATTTTCTTACTAATTGTATCACTACGAGAGCTGATCAGAAAAACAGATGATAAGTAGTAAAGAGGAATACCCAAAGCAGGAAAGGTCGTATGCATTTTCTATTCATTTTGAAATATGATCTAAATTCCAAAAGCATGCATAAGAGGAGAGAATAAAAAAATTTGTAAACTATACCGGGAAATTCTACAAGTTCATATTTCATAAGGGAGCAAAATGTAGTTTACACTCTGTTAATTGGCTCTTAATTAGGATCATCATCCACTAATCCGTTCAAATATATATTCGCATCTAGTATAGAATCTTCTTTATGATGATTTTGATAAAAGCATCTTACTTAGAATCTAATCCATCCTACTAGTACAATTTAAGCAATTTAAATAAAGTTGTGTTTGATACTTTTGCATATATGTGTCAAGAAACTAACTAAAAGTTTAAAACAGTGAGATCTTGATTTGTACATCTAGTTGGTTCGATTGACTAGTTCGACCTTATTGTACTATATAACCTAAAAGAATACTTTTATTTTCTTTTTATTTTGTATTTGCTGAAAAAGGATTATATTAAAGTTTCTAACTTACACAATAATATGCCGAGAATAAGTTGCGCCAATTACATCATGATTTTAGTCATCCAAAAACATATGGCGGTGGTGAATCCAGTCTTGTAATCATATTAGACAAAAGAAAAAAAGAAGTAAAAATAAATAAAGATGACTTTTTGTAATTGCGATCTAACTCACAGAAACAAAACAGTAGAAGCTGCTTTCTAGAATTAAATCTTGATGAGATCAAAGTAAGTCCGTGTGAAAATGGAAATCAATTTTTCTTTATCTATTAATTGAGGTCTACGAGATTTGAACCCCTAATTTTGTAAATTTGCAATACAGCACAAAAGGAACAGAAAGGATAGTGAACGAATGGTGCTTGATTAGTTAAGCAAGTAACTTATTGCAGCCTTAATAACTAAAAGATGGTAACATAATTTGTTATTTCTTTCTAATATATATATATATGTTGGTGCATGCAATCTAAAAAAGTAGATTTTTAGTCTAATGTACTCTTCCATTTTCTTAGTTGGAAAGACATTATGAGCACCAAAAGTTTTCCAATGAAAATGACATTCTCCTAATTATCTCTTTCCACTCACTGCCTAAGAGGTTAACAAGAGAGTGTATTTTTCACCTTTTTTTGTGATGGATATCTAAAATATCAAATTAAGGTCCAACTAGCCCTTAGATTTCAGGATGTATTTAGTTGATTTTTGTTTTTTTTTTTTTTCCCACACACAAACATACAATCAGTTACAATATTCAAGATTTCGCAACTTTAATTTGTATTTTACGACGACTCGCCTTTTTCTTGATTTATAATCGTGTTACGTTTTTTTAATTTTTTTTTTATATAAAATGAAAGAGATAATTATTTAAAATTCTAACGTATTACAACACGTTAGTACACAAACAATATTATGTTCTATCTGGAGCTTTAACATACACGGTGGTTCGCCTCTTAAACTTTTATTTTAACTGCTGTGACTGATCAGAATGCCTGAGTCTATAACTAACTATCAAAGGATGTTAGTAGCTATCCTAATTGAGTTCGATAAAACTGGTCTGTTATGCAGAGATCAAATATACTTCCGGAAACGAAAACCCTTTAAAACGAAAGAAGTTTACGTAATATCCCACCAGAATCAACTTTACGTTGTGGTTCAAAAGGTAGGTAGCCACTGAATTATGATGAACAATTGATAAAATAATTCCTATAACGTAATTGTTTCAATATAAATCGAAATATCTGATCGTTTTGCACCTACATGCAATCATCAATTTCTTGTTTTTTTTTTTTTTTTAATAAAAAAAGTACTCATTTCATATTCCTAGTGTTTGCTGACTCCCAAAAACAAGCCAATAATCAATCCTTCTGCCACCCTGCGCTGCCTCCAGGTTAATTACAGAAAATCTCAACTTATGATGAACAAAGCATACACTATGGTTATAGTATAAGAATTGCCCTGAATGTATTCTCGAACTCTCTCTAAAGTATTGTTGTTTAGTTCAAAAGTCTGTTTTATTTAATCAAGATTTAAAAAGTTTGTGACAATAAAATAATTAACTGACTAAGAGACATTGTAAACATTTTACAGTGCAATATTTCTTCCATCTCATTATGCGAATCTAATAAGTTTAATTTTTTTTAAAAGAAAAATTATTGGTTATAGAAACTGGACGATTAAAAAATAGGATGGAGAGGATAATTATTATGAAATTGATTTAACGTATCATGAGCTATAAAGAAATGCTTAGCCTTAGGTTGATGGGGATACATTTGGGCAGACGCGAGACGTTGTAAGTGGAGCAATATAATTTTGTTGACTATGAATACCATCCATTAATTCCATTATCAAAGTAGAGCTCCTATTCATAAACAGCAGAAGTTGGAGCACTAATTAAAAAGCAATGAAATTGTCACCCTTCTTTTTAAAAATTTTTTTTTCTTCAATTATATAAGATGTTACTTGGAAAAGGCAGGTGACACCTAAAAGTGTCCAATGTAGCACTCATTTATGCACACAGAAAAAAAGCGGTATATTCTTTTAATTCTATTAGTTAATTACATATAAAAAATTTACTCCTTCCATCTTAAAATTATTGTTCAGTCTAAATATGATTATAATTTTAGGACGGGAAGAATATATTTATGAGTGCACTTTCATCAAAATTATTCTTTTTTTGAAAAGTAGAAACCAACCAAAATATCCTTTCCCTCCATCCCAAAACGAGGGCAATGGTTACTTACAATTACAATTACATTTCTCATTTTCGGACAAAACAGTTAAAGAATAATATGCTTAAGTTATTGTTCAACACTAGTTGATTAAATCATGTTATGGTTTCATGCAATTGATTAAGCAGCCTCTTCATCGATCTAAAAGACATAGTATAATCTGAATTGCATGCAATGATTGTCATTTCCTAGGACTACAATTTGATTGGCCAGCACGCTGTCGTCGTGCTTTAGCAAAGCTGAAACATATATACGTGGGGAATTGCTTCTGATTACATACGCTTAGGAATCAGAGAAAGAGCCAACTATGCTTCTTGCATGGTGGAATTTTTTAGTATCGAGTTTGAGTGTGTATAAATACATAATTATTGAGAAACTTGTAAGAAAAAAAAAATCAACACAAGTTATAAATGATGATAAGAATGAATGTAATATTTGTTCCTTAAGAAAATCTTTTATTGACAAAAATTCAGCTTAATTAGTTAGGTCAAAGTATGTTTGACTATATTTGTTCCTTAATGAATTGGAAAACACGCTCAAAACATTCTCTTCTGAAATAAAAGTGGAAGAGGAGAGGAGACACAAAGTGCCCGGAAATGAAATGATACTTTTGCAAACGGGATTTGACCGCTTTGATGTGTTTTGTCCCGTTTTGAAATGACGATAATCCCACAATTTTTTTGAACCTCTTAATGTTAATAATAATGTCTTAATGCCTATCTCTTCCAACAGTAAAAATTGCAACAAAAAAAAAAAAACAAACAAAAAAAAAATGAAACAAAAAGAACCACGTGCAATAATGGTTTAGGAAGACGGGTGGAAGAAACACACTTTTAATTAGTAGATTTGTGTTAACAATTTTTTTGCATAAAGAAAACAGAGATACAACTACATTTCTTGTCATATAACATTACCCTTCCGTTCTTATTCATAAATCATAGATATTAAAGAGAAATTTTATAGCCAACAAGGGAGTAGCTCAATGGTTTGGGCTTTGGCATCAATCCTGGGAGATCAGGATTAAACTCCCACTAACAATACCTTTATGTATTGAATTGTGTAAGTTTGCAGCTTGAGTCGTTTATTTATTTAGGAGAGAGTATCAAGAGTCAATACGAAAAAATTTGGATATCCTTATTGGAGTAGATGTAGTTTACATCATTACATGTTTTTGTCAAGATGAAAGAGTATGTTTTCACCCGCAATAATAGAATTCTAACCATTTATCGTACTATTCGTTTCTCCTAAACTACGTGACTTGCTAATTCGTTCTTTAAAGATTGAAGATTAGCTTATATGAGTAACCAAGGAGATAAGAACCAATTAAGATGAAGTGGAGTTCTCCTCCACGAGTTTATACTAGAAAATCTTTTTGGTTATCATTATGTTTTGCTTACTTGCTACTGAATGGTGAAAGATAACGACTGCCAATCGCAAACATCCATTTCTCTCTTTCCACCTGTGAATTTTATTTATTGTTTTTTAGGGTCCATGAATTGACACAGTAAAACCCACTTCTTTCTGGAAAAAAAAAAAAAAAAACTTAAAGAAAGGAACAAATCATCCATCGAACAATGAATGCGCTTTCAAGTAGTAAAACGAATTAGAAGTGCTAGTCTAGTATTAACTGATAGGTACTGATCCTGTATCGAATGGCAAAACTGCAAATTCTCGTAATGAACAAATAACTGTCAAGGGAATGTGAATGGAATCATTCCCAGTCTGTATATTTTTTCTTTTCTTTTTTACTTTCATGATGGACAGTAAGTACCAAAGGAAGCTACAAGAAGGTAAGGGAAGTGGCTACCATCAGTGGTAGTTTTCTTCAAAACTTTTTTATATTTACAAGTAAAAAATGGGAAATGTTGGAACAAAAATTATGAAGAGAATGAGATTCCTGGGTTGAAATATTACTATGACACTCAACTTACAGTTTACTGCCCCGTGACGATGATTTTGTAACAGGGAAGGAAAGAATGAGATTCGCCTAAACAAAAATTTTCAAGGTGGGGTGATATCCCTGCTGCCCGCGGCTACTTTCCGATGGCGTCTTGATTTCCTGTCTCTCCCACGCTTCGCGGGAAGCTTCTTTGACAGACTAGTATTGCCACTTCCTGCGGCAATCTCCGACGTGTTTTTCTGTTGTAGGTTATGTATAAGTGGGGGAGGATGGACAACATCAACAGAAGCAGGAAGAGGTGGAGGATAACCCCGGTTCTCAAGCACATCTCTGTGGTAACCCTGAATTAAACAAGAAAGTGGCAGCATATTTAAGCACTGAAGGCAAAAAAGAAACAAACCTAGTGCTGCAATCTACGAAGACCCCCCCAAAAAAATCAACTATGCACGAAAAATATGGCTCAAATTTGACATACTATTAAAGAACACATGAATAGTACCTTGCCCATGGAGAGTAACATGCAAAGGGAACTTTATACCTAGAAAAAGGAATCTCAGTCACAAATATGCTTACCTGAATGACAAAGTTGCGTCGTTCACAGTCCAGGAACATATTCAATGTCCAGTTGGTCTTTGCATAGATCTTATCACGCACTGTAGAGAAACTTATCTGGTCTCTGGAAGTAAACCGATCTACTTCATTAAACCACAGACAAGTGAAGAGGTTCGATATGGGGACATGCTCCCTTATGATTACACATCCTTCAGGAACATCTGCAGACATTCAGTGTGAAATTTTGAGTTAGTAAGACAAGGCAAGAACATGAGCAAGCCCCGGAAGCTTTTATTCAAAATAATGCTACTTTAAGAGAGGCAAATTACTGGACACGAAACATATAAAAGCAAACATAGAGAAGCCATAGTCCCACCACTTGTTATAGGTAGTTTAGCTGCAGAATAAGGAGTTAAACCCTCCTTCTTATAGAAGTCAATCTGAAAGTCAATGGAAGCATTCTCATACTTTCCAGCAGCCTTATTAGCTTCAGCTTCCACAAACACATCAAAACGCCTATAATGTCTAGAAATTGCAAAGGTAGCATTTTTCCTCCATAAGAACCTGAAAAGAAAAACAGATTTGCTGAGACTGGAAATCCCACAAAAACCTGAATACTACTGACTGCACTGTCTGGACTCTAACGTAAACAAACCCTTAGAGCTAGTATGCTCGAAAGCTTTTTTCGTGATCATAGATTATATAGTAGGCACCAGTTAGAAAACAAGGATATACGGTTTTAGCATTGTCTTTTACTTCGTAGAACACTTACAAAGGCTTAACGGTTTCAAAGTCTGTCAAGAGCAGGTACAAAAAAACACCAAACAAAAAAGATTGAGAAGACGACAAAGGAAAACAACAGCGAGTTTACAACACAGCTGAGACGCACACAAAAGGATCAAGATCGAAGGAGTATAATACCTTAAGTACAAAACTAGACGGACACGTACATTTCAAGAATGATCAGCCTAAAAATAAAGAATGGATAAATAACATTGAGTGAAAAGAATGCATAATATGCCAAACTGACGATTGCATGCCCCTAAGGTAGCCTTAGTATAGAAAATGAGTGTGATTCGTCTGTTGTACAAATGTAGTTTTCTAGATAAAATCAGACATTTTGCCCCGTTGCCGTAATTGACAAGGAAAGCTTACAGATTGTCTAAATTAGTGTGAAAGAAAGTTCTTCATGCCCTATAATGTAATTCGCCTGTCCTACAAAAGTTGTTTCTCTAGACAAAATCAGACATTTTGCTCCCTTGCCAAGTCTAAATGAATATTGTGAAGGATGTTCCTCCCCGTGCACTAACACACAGAAACACCCACACAAATTGATGCCATATCAATTTGCCCAGACAAATTGAACAATAAGATTGAAATGAGTATTACTGGGTATACAGGGAATGTTTAAATGTATCACAGGACATCAGTATATACAACTGGATATCCTGATTCCTGATGATATATTTCAATCTACAAGGAGTCGAGGATTTCCCAAGCCTACCTAAAGTCTGTCTTAGTAAACGCCTTCTCACCAGAAAATTAAGATTTTCTCATAGAGAAGATATCGAAACATGAGCCCCAAATATTGTCTCATAAGGCAATTGAACTCCTTCAAATTGAACTAAACTTACATAACCATTCACTATGGCCTACACTATTATTAAACCACTGATTTTTTTTAATTTTTTTTATTTCTGCAATTTTTAGGGCATAAAGGAGACTAAAAATCCAAAAAGTCTAGTGTTCTAACAATGAAAGACAAATCTTCACATGAGAGCCAATTTAACGGCTGAAAATATACTTGCTATTCTGAATTCCTTATAGAACTAAATTCATACACCGCATGAAAATGGCTAAATATGAAGCTTGAAATTTCAAAGTCACGAACCAAAGTCAACAAGATAATGCACCTTTCAAGTATTTGATATGGATCTACCACCAGCTCAAGTTTTCCATCAATCCACAAAGAGTAGCGGGCATTTGGGAAAAGTCTATGAAGTAGAAGCTTTGGGACCTGCAATGACAAGAGTAAATCCAATTAGAAATGTCTAAACAATTGATTTGCGACACACATCAGTACTCATCTTAACAGATCAAAAGGATCAACTTTAAGAAAACAGTAAAGGTCAATTTATAGTCTATAAGACATTGTCTAATAGTTCCATCATCCAAGACGAGTACAGGGGAAAAGTGAAACAACCAAACATTACATTATCAGTTTTTCTGCGAAAGCATTCAATAGTCCCCTTTTAATATTGAACTACAATGACTCAAAAGTAAAAGAATCAACTGGGCTTCCATGCCTGTTGGAAAGTAAGGAAGCCCAGTTGCTTCAGGCAGTTCTTTTCACTTACAAGTATGTATAAACTTCCATAGATAGTTCAGAAAAAACAGACAGGACACTTTTAGGCACTCAATGAAACAGCCTAATACAGAAGAATGTCATCCAAAATACATAATTACTTCTAAGAGTAACAAGCTCATTGCTGCAGGAGAAAAGGAATGAGATACAAATATGGCAAGCACTCGCACAATAAAATGAATAGCTGCCAGCATTTACACAATATTTAAAAGTTACAACAAGAATAGAGAAAGGATAAAAGTTTTCCATCATTCCAGTATAGTTACAACAAGAAATCTGGTGGACACAGAGCTTATGCCTCCCACCCCATCGACCTCGATTCTCCAGAGAATTATAGGACATGGAGATTCCAATTCATCAACTAAGTAAACCAAAGTTCAAGTGTAAGATATTTTAAGCAGTATTAATACACTGTGTTGGCATAACAAAATAGGAGAAACTTCTGTAAAGTACAATTGTGGAAATTAGTTAACCGACACTATTCAGTTTAAGTATGAAGAGAAGCCTCAAAAACATGAGTTTAATAGTTACTAATGAAAAGGTTCCAGAGAAGTCTTAAAGATACTATGTTCGATTAATTTCTTATGTGAGACGTGATTACGCCCAAGAAAAAAAAACTCTCCAAAACGATTATCTACACAAATACAGAACATCTGATATAAGTTGAAAGCTGAACTGATATACTTGAGAAATTTTAAGAACGTAAGTTGCAACAATCATCTTGGAGAAATCCACAACATACGAATCGCATATCCTCATTCATTTTGTATTTTCCATCTTCTCTTTAGGAATATATGGCATACAAAATCAATTGCAAACAGTTTTACCTTTCCATTGCGCCTAGGATCAGAGAAAGGAAGGTTGCGAACAAGAACAATTCGCCATAACCCACTTTTCTTGTCATTGTCCACGGCACTAGAATTTCTAAGAAATCCTTCAGTGTCTTCATCCACAAACATATAGAAGCACGCATTTTTTCTGGCATATTCACTAATATTCTTTGGCTGACGTATCAAATCAAAGGCTCCTGATCAGTGTGACATTAGATAAATCAGTAAAAGCAGAAGATCTCATATTCAGTTGTAAGTTTGCAAGCACTGATAATAATTTTACCAAATATTGCGGAGGCAACAACCACCCCTTGACAAGTTTCCATTTCAAGAAGGTCAGCATCATCAATGTCAAAACCTGTCCCTTGTCCAGGCTTGACTCCTTTCACAAATCTACAAGGAGACAAAATAAACAGACAGTTACATGAGATACTGGTGGACCTGAAAGTCAGTATCATTTTGGGAAAATTATAGCAAGATATCACACGGAACACGTTATGCATAAACGTTCACTATTGCATGTCTGCCAGCGCTGAAATCATACCCGCAGTGCACGTTCATAGACTCCCTTACGTCATACGATTCTCTTCTCTGCTCTAGTGAAGGATATCCACCAAACTCTGAGCCTCCGAACTCAGTTTTAGTAGCATTTTCTTCATGAATGTAAGTTAGGTTTTTCAGAACAGGAGAGAAGGAAGGTGCATCCGGCATTAAGGCCAGAACTTGTTCCATAGGAAGATAGCACACAGGACAAGCTGACGGAGGATAAGGAAATACACCAATGAGAAACAATTCCCAAGTCATCAAGCAACCATAAAATGCTAGAGAACCACAAGCAGTTTTTTTAATTTCTAAACAAACCAAACAAAAAAACAAATAAATCCAAGTGAGAAAACATACGACGTGGTCCAGTCCTTTTCGGATCTGCTGGAGGGGGTGGCAACGTGAAACCCTCACATGGGTTACCAGGAGGAAGGGTGTATCCTGTAAAGTATGTCAGAGGAGGTGGAGGGGGTGGCGGGGGAGACAGCAACTGGATTGTTTTTGCACTACTTTGCAATACATTTGCCTCAGGATGGCCAACTTCAACTGATACATTCTCTAATTTAACTGAGGAGACTCCATTACTAAAATCTAAAGTGTTGTTAAATTGAATATTCTTCATATTGTTTTCTGGTGAATCTTCACCTGTAAGCCATGCAAAAATGATCAGATTGTGGACTGAACAAAGTAAAAATAAAAAAACATAATAACAGCATGAATCTCTCCCCCTCATAGATTGCCAGCATAAGCACTCAGTGATAATCATATATCTATCTAATAGAGTAGTGTGACTGAACCTAGGTAACAAGAAGCATCAATCATTCAGCATCAAACCAGCATAAAGCACAAGCCAACCACTTTCTCATGTCATAAAGTTGCATTCAAAGGCACTGAAAACTGTACTTTCTGGGTAAGATGACGACACAACTAAGTGCAGGAACAGGGAAAGGGGAGATTTAAGAATGCCCAAAAAAGAAGTACCTTTGCCAACATAAAGAACCCACATAAATACAACAGCCGAAACGGCACAGAGGAGCAGCATTCCAACCTTCTTTCGAGGTGCGAATTTACAAATCCACGGAAACAACCTATCTTTGTCCTTAAACATCTTGGAAGGCTTCCTTGAAGAGAGAGGCGGCGAACCCTGATTTGGCAACGAACCGTTCTGGAATTGCTGTTGTTGCAATGATCCATAACTTCCTGAAGGTCGAAGACCCAATGACCCAGTAGTCATTGTCGTCTTCCCAATGTCTTTTCTTCGCCGATCATCTCCCCGCCCCTCTAACCCACATTCGCAACAAACTCTATTTTGATTCTTTCCTCTTCAAAAAAAAATTTCACCCTAAAACAACAAAATCAATCCCGCAAAATTTAAATCTGAGCAAAAACCCAATTTCTAATTTGTCTTCAACTTCAGATATAGTCCACCAAGATATCTAAATCTCATTCCCCCCTTTACAGTTCACAAACCCGACAAAACCAATCCAATAACAAACAATATACTTACAAATCAGCTGAAATCAGCAAAAAGAATTGATACCCAGCTTAGCAATCGTGCTCGGAATCAAACAATTGCCACAAAATATCGGTTCTGACTATTTAAATTTAATGCCGCCAACGCGGAACTGCCGCAAGATTAGATTTTGAGAGTAAACCCAAAATGAGAGTTGCGTGTATGGGGACCAAAAATTACAGAAAACAAATCCAAGAAGTATGAATAGTATGAACAGATTGTAGTATCAAGTAAATCAAGGGGACTAAAAAACCAAAGACCAAGAGAGAGGTGGGAAGAAGAAGAAGAAGTTATAATGAGAACAACAGGAACAAAAACCGTGTATCTTTCTTTCCCCTAATCCCTAGTGGAATTGAATTGTTGAGAATCAAAAATTTCGATATTCACATAAGAGGGGATCAAATGAATGTTAACAAAAACAAATGATGAGAATGATGATGATAAATGGCCCTGAAATTGAGATAGATTTGGGGGATTTATTTTCCGTAATTTCTTGTTTTTATTTGGGGGGTTATTTTGTTGGGAGGCCAGCAAATTTGATTTCAGATCATGGTGGCGTACGTTCTTACAGTTTTGAAATAATCTTTACTACAGATTTTTGTTTTCAATTATATTAGTGTACAATACTACAAACAATAGTTTGTTACTACTACTTGGTATTATTAAATGGTATACTTACTAATACTCCTCATTTCCTAACAACAATTAAATCCTAATCCTAAGTACTAACCATTTGGATTTTGTAGTTAGAAACGACACACACACACACACACACATAATTGCACCAATTGCGCCTTGTATAAGACGGCAACTACCCTCTTCTGGAAACAATTAATTGGAATTAAGTTAAAGAGATTCCTTTTTGTAGTGGTACCAATTATGGTTTAGTAACAAAATCATTTCGTTTCATTGAGATTAAAATCTACTTCATTAAGTGTATTTTTGTTAAATAGCAGGAATGGGTGAAGTTACCCTTAATAACCGTGCTAGTTCATTGACAATAATTTTCAAATGAATTTATGAATTTACAATATCGTGGCCACAAACTGGTTTTACCAAAAATAAATGTGGACTTATTTTTGTTGGTCATGAAGGCCAATAAGAACTTATATTCCTCTTGATTCTAAAGCAAGGAAGAATCACAGCAGAGATACCAGAAATTAAATGGCACATGTAAGATGATGATTAGCTTAACAAGATATATTAAAAATGCATATTGGACAGGAACATTGCATGAGACAACCTTAGCTAATAAATATTCTTGATGATAACAAGAAGAAGATGATGAACTGAATCCACATAGTATTTGATAATACTTTTCACTTATAAGAACTAAGAAATATTATCTATGGTTTTGTCATTTCTTATTAATTTCATGCAATTCTAAAAGATGCCACTCTTTGAATTTGTCATCTTCTTTTAAACCTTAAAATTGTGTTAAAGTAAAAATTTCTTGATAGGAAGGGTGGCACAGTGAGAAATTATGATTTCAAGATAGGAATACAGGCACGGTAAAACAAATGAAACCATTTTTTTTTCCTTCAATGAGTATAATAATTTACAAAGCCTGACTTGTGGAGAAGTTTATGACACTTAATTTCCAAAAGAAGAAATACTGCTTCCTCCGTCCAAAAAAAAAAAAAATCCACATTGAGTTTTGAGTCTTGTAATATTTTTAATACAAATTTGAAAACTACTATTTTTATGGGACAGGGGTAATATTTGTTTAAATACAACACTTTAAAACAAATTAAAGCAAGCAAAACAACGAAACAACAGCCAGACTAAAAATTCAACATTTCTCCTCATATTGTGTTTTTAAAATACAAATATTATCCCCCAACAAGGTTTTTACTTATCTCCAAAAAAAAGAAATCCCACCCCACAGTGGCTTGTTTAATTTTAGGAAAAGTTTCTTTTGAAGTGACAATTTTAACGTAGCCTAAACAATTTTTTTAAAAAAAATAATATTAATAATAATAACCGTAGATGGTATAAACTATAAACACCAACTAGAATCCATATACAGTATTCTCAAGGATATTCTCTTTCATATTTTTTTTTCTTATTTTCTTTTTAATATGATTATGAGACTTTCCAAAAAGCTGTATTATTCATGATTGAGAATGTTACCAATGGATTTTCTTTGAAGCAACTGATGATCTTCTACTTACTTGCCTAAGCAATTTTTAAAAAAAATTTATTTGCCTACGCAAATTAAAATATCAAATCCGCATATATTCTCGTCGGTGGCTTATTGCAACTACATTTTTAGTAGGTTAATGTCAACGACATTTTTAAAAACAATTGTGTTTTTTTTTTTTTAGTATTTTCCTAATTAACCTAGACTTGCACTTAGTTAAAATTATTAATTTTGTATTCCACTCACAAAAGGGTTTTAACCTTGTTTGAAATCGCAAGTCGAAACAAATAAAAATACTAATAATAATTGAATTTCTGACTTAATAATTACCCATTGCTAAACAGCGATTCAGATTGATTAATCAAAATATATAAGGCATTTAAACGTATTTATATGTACGACAACAACCAGGGACCACAAGAACCATAGGAAACAAATTTTACCAAAAAAAGATGTTACAGCCTACAGGCGGCAAAGTCTCATTTTGGGACTAATAATAGTTACAAATTATGAAAACTTTAAATTAATTGATAAAGAAATATGGCGAAGGATTACACGCACCATTTTGGCATACCATTTTTCCTATCAGTATCAAATAAATTGACATGTTTTTTCTTTTAAAATACATTATAGATTTTTATTTATTTTTTTTATAAATGTAAGTAACACCCTAACTTACAACCGAATGAACCCTTATAGGTAAAGATTTGATACGTGTTAAAATCATTTGAGTATATATTGTAAGTAGTGCTATGCTAAAAATGATGTAAGAATTTATTTTTTGCCAGAAGATATATCTTGCGGGGATAGATGGATGAATATTCCTTGCTCGAAGAAGAGAAGGATATGCACGTATATTAAACGTGTTATTTAAGTGATCAGTGAAATTTACTAAATTTGAATTGTGTATGTACTAACTGATCCATTACTACTCTTATCATTTTATTTTATTTTATTTTTTTGTGAGAAAATATGAGCGTGTATATCAAAATACAAATGGTACGAATTTTATTTGTGTCTCTCACTAAAACAATTTGATGTCATTGAGATCATTTAGATCAAAACAGTATAATACTACCATTATTAGGTAAAAAAAAATATTACTCCAACTTCACTAACTGGTAGGAAATGGTGGTATACAAAATTTGGACCGCTGGGGCTGAAGTAAAAGAATAAAGGATTGAGAAAAGTCCTACCACTTGCTGTTGTTGAATCTTCGTGGTCAATTTTGCACGAAGAAAACCCTAAAAGATAAAATATAAAGTTTTTTTTTTTCATTTTCTTTTTCAAATGAGTGAGGGAATATTTTGACTTGAGAGTTGGAACAGGTCAGGAAAAATGATTAACAAACCCGGTTAGCAGCCATCGTATTATCAGCAATGGTGTAGCCAAAAAATCAATATAGGCGATCGAAAACTTAAAAGAAAAAATTACTAATAAGTTACAAAATTAATGTGGCGAGTACGAAAAATTATACTTTAAATAATTAGTTTTTTATTAAAAAATTTAAGATACCTTTATTAATTAGAAAAAAATTGAACAAATGCGACTGCATCACTCCTTCCCCCTTATCTTCACCACTGCTTTATGGTCTGGAAAAAATGTTTAAAATTTCATCAGTTCAATTAGGGAGGACCCGAGTCTTACTTTAGAATTACGTAATCAGAGTCTTTATATATGTTTCCTAGTAAATTCTGTAAGGTTATTTTGGACTTATACACTAAATATATAATTGTATATTATATGCTATCATAAAATATAGCCCAATTAATGTGATCTAAATTATATTAACTAGAGTTTTGGGCTAATTATTAATTAAGTTAAAGTTGTGGACATCATTGTGTAGAAACCTAAAAGACCAGGGTTCTTTTCTGTGATGGGTGGAAAAGAAACCCTACTACTATATAACTGGTTGTGGTCCCCGGGTGAGTCTTTACGCCGTCAAAAACTGCCTTCCCATTTGTCAGTTTGAGAACTCACGTTCTTTACCCGGTTAAAGAAATTATCTGGAAGATCAAATCAAACCTGAAGAAATTATTCATCCACAATGGATTCAGGTACGCTTCCGCATTAGTTTGGTTCTCGTTATTTTATTTGGAGTGTTAGGCTAAAGGATTTAATCCTACAAGTGGTATCAGAGCCATCTCCAACTCAAATTATTGAGAAATTCGGTTGTTTTTTGTGTCTACAGTACGGTGGTAATAATCTATTTGTTGCGTCCGAATTCAATCTTTAGTATTTTTTTGGTTCGGTATAATAAAGTTTAGAATTTAATTTAAAATGTGTACAGTTTTACAATTTGCAAGGTTTAATATGTTCCCATGGGGTTTTTTATATTGTTTTGGTTGTTAAGACTAATCTGGATCAATTGGCTTCAAGTTCTCGGTTTGGCAATTCCAAGATTGAGAAAGTTTTTTTTTTGATGAGGTTAAACAAAATTATTTTTTGGCCGAATTTGATCAAGGCCTTAAGGGTTTGCGGTTTTGGCTTCAGATTTCAATGATGTAAACTTTTGGTTATGATCAAAATTATTTGATTCGGTTAAAATTCATTACAAACCGTTTGTGTTCACGGTTTTTTTTTTTGTTTTCAGATTCAGCTTCGGAAAATTGATTTTGATTGATTAATTATTTTCTGCCACCTCCGTTGCTGTAAAACGATTCTCGGTTATGCCACAATCATCAATTAATAAATGTCCTTATTAGAACGTTCGGTGTGAAGTGCGATTTGTAAATTTTAGTTGGGCTTTTCTTTTGACTTCGAATTGTTTCTTCGCTTTGTTCCATTTCGAACTAATTTAGGCTAACTACATATTGCACGCATACATTGATCAAATTGCTATATGTAATAATGGTGTTTAGTATGCATACTAGTTCTATTTGATCTTTATATATATAAATTCGGTCAACCTTGAGTTGATTAAAAAGATTAAGTTTCTAGCCCGAAATATACTAGGATTATGGTTTAATGTGATATAAATTTAAATTTGGCATAAAGAATCTATCTTTGGACATCTAGTATTTTTAAATTGATTAATTAATATAATACGTCACCAAAGTGACCTCTTTTGTGTTGATTAATTAATTTAAAATACCAAGGTGACAGTATGTGTGTTCTGGCTTTATGCGGATAATGACCGGCCCTAAGGAAGGTTATTATTTGGCCGAAGTCAAAACATACTTGTGGTAATAAACGTGTGACGATTATTTGGTATTTTTTGTGAGTAATAAGTCAGTCCAAAGAAAGGCTTGTTATTTAACAAAATTTTATTGTCAACGTTTGATTATTACGACAAGAGTACCCACTTGCAAATTGTTGTTTCTGTCCAAAAACTAAACTCATTGTTGTACTAGGTATCTTGTAAATAGGGAAAGCCAATTTTTAAATTTTTTATTCATGTTAAAGTTTGTTTTTTATATGTGAGCTTATGTTTGGTTATTTTCTGTTTATGCACAGTTGATTCTACTGCGACTATTTCTGCTAATATAAACTCCATTCTGGTTTTGAGTGGTGCAAACTTCAAGAGCTGGAAGGAAACTGTCCAGCTAGTTCTTGGTTGCATGGATCTCGACCTTGCACTTTGGGTTGATTGTCCCACTCCTCTTACGGAT